ATAAAAATATTCTTGTGTAGATTTGAATATATTAACAGCAGTCTCTATAGTATACTCTGAGCTGACCGATTTTATTCTGTTGACCCAGAAAAATCAGCAGCAGTTTCCGGTGTGTTATTGCCATCCCCTGGGCAATGACTCCAACTTGTTTACGGTTTCCAACCCTCTCAATTTTTCTGCGTGTTTTGTTTTACACTCTATGATTGGGGCCGCCTTGCACGGCTTGCACCAAGGAGAAATAACTCCAGCCGGATCTGTACATCGAAATTCATCAAACATGTTAACTTTACGAAAATTCGTCAAAAATAATCAAAATTTTACTGAAGGTCGTCGAAATTTGACTGGATTTCTTCATCGGAATTTGACTGAAATTCATCAAAATTTTACTGAAAGTCATCGAAATTTGACTGAAAGTAATCGAAATTTGACTGAAATTCATCGAAATTTGACTGAAATTCATTGGATTATTTGTTCACCGAAATTCACAGTGATTTGGCTTGCACTCGCTCGTTGTTTGGCAGGGTCTCGGTGCGCGCGGCGCAGGGCCGCATTTAAATCAGTGGAGCGAACCGGTTTCTTGCTCCTTGCGCTGCCGGGCCGCGCCGGGCCGTGCAGCACACTGTCTCTCTCGCACTCACGGGGCGTTCCGGAGGGTGCGAGAGAGACGGAGCGACGAAGAAGGCCGTGCAGGACCAAGCCGGCTGGTTTGAATGCGCGACTTTGCCGGGCTTGCCCCCCTCCACCCGCATGGACCCCCTGCCGAGTCGCTTCTCTGTCTCTCTCGCACCCCTGCGGCACGCCGGCACGCCCCGTGAGTGCGACAGAGACAGAGTCAGTCTGCTGGACCTTATTATGGCGACACACATTCAGCGTGGGCATTGTGTTGATAAATCAACTCCCCCCCCCTCCATTCCCCCTTTCCAGTGTACTGGGGCGTTACACTTGCACAAAAGTGCCTCACTCGCAGTCAGAGTGCGATCGGGGAGATCATTTATGCATTCGAATAATCCAAGATCCCCGCCGGCGCGTTGATTATTGTTTCCTTGGCGAAATGCTAATCTTGAAATGTGAAAATCCCCTCGGCTGCGTGTGGCCGACGCGTGTGGCTTTTAATGCACTAAAGCGAACCCCTCAGGAAGCGAGCCCGCTTCCTCATCTCATTGCCACGATCGAAAAATGTGCTTCAAACACGGACATCTTCCCCCTCCAGACCGTGTTGAAAGTTATTGCAGGCTAGAATGGTTTTCAAATTTAAGTTTTGGAGTTTATTTTTGTGACTGCTGGCAGCAAAAGTCGTTGTAAATTTTACAAATATCCACAATTTTTTTTTTTCAAACATCGGCCTCTTTTTTCATTCCCGGAATGCGTTCGAACAGTGTATACACTGTGCCGATTGTTATTTGAGCTGGCTCGGCTGCGTCGCACCGAAAGGAGGGGGGGGGGGGGGGGGTACAGGAGGAGGAAGTACTTGCATATACATGTCGGGTCCAGCAGTCACCTTGGCGCCTTGTCTCGTGGGGCCCCGAAAAGGCGTCCCGAAACAACAAAAACGAATCCAATCATGTTCTCCAAAACGGACGCGAATAAATCAGAGGCAGCGCCTTTATGAATCACGACGACACGGGACGACTCTTCTTCGTCTACACTCCTCTTACTTCTTCTTCTTCTTCTTCTTCTTCTTCTTCTTCTTCTTCTTCTTCTTCTTCTTCTTCTTCTTCTTCTTCTTCTTCTTCTTCTTACTCTCCTTCTTCTTATTCGCGATAAAACCAGACGTGCGTGAATAACGCCCCGCTGCAAGACAGGTCGGGGTCAACGTTCATTTTGTTGTTCCAAAAGCCACTGCACTTCCTGGCTGCACGGACCGAGGCCCCCCCCCCCTTCCCCTTTCCCGCAGAGTGGGCGGGGCCTCGACAACAACAAGGAACAACAGCAACAACATCAATAATAATAATAACAACAGAAGACCAACAAAAACAGTTACAAGAATACAGGCTCCTCCGGAAGTGATCAGAGCTATTGGTGACGTCAGCCTGGGGGGGTCACAATCAGGGATTGGGTACAGAGGTCTGAGAGGCAAAAAAAGAGAGAGAGAGAAGAGAGAGAGAGAGAGAGAGAGAGAGAGAGAGAGAGAGAGAGAGAGAGAGAGAGAGAGAGAGAGAGAGAGAGAGAGAGCTGCTGGCACCACACTGCCAAAAACGCTCCTGCATAGCAGCCCTTCCGGCTGGTCCAGGAAGTGCCTGGAAGTCCAGGACGCAAGGCGCAGCAAGGCGCCTCGTCTTTGCTCCGCGAAGTCGCGATCGGCGGCCTCGCTCGACCGTCGCTCCGTCTCTCTCCGTCTCTCTCGCACCCACGCGACACGCGGCCGCCGCCCGTGAGTGCGAGAGAGACGGAGGATCGCTCCGCGGCGTTCGAAACCGGAGTGGGCGGCAACGCGGCAACCGGCGCGCGCGGCTTGACGCCACGGACGCACAGTGGGCTAGAAGACCGGTGGAGGCGGCCAAAACTCTAGACGCGTTTTGAGCTCCAGAGTCGCTAAATGGGACTCGAACCAAACCTGTGACCCCACCAATGGATTGCTCTCCGAACGAGCAATCCATTGGTGCGGTCACACGTTCGGTTCGAGTCCCATTTAGCGACTCTGGAGCTCAAAACGCGTCCAGAGTTTTGGCCGCCTCCACCGGTCTTCTGGCCCACTGTGGGACGCCGAGGAGACGAAGAAGGGGGAAGGGAGTAGGAGGGGAGGGGGAGAGGTGGGAGGGGTGCACCTGGCGCCGCGCGGCGAAAGGGAAGGGCCACTTTTTGTCGCACTTGTCGCGTTCCACTCTTTGACTGGTGCTTTCTTGCCGACCGCTGGATTCCGAACAGCACTCTCTGTCTCTCGCTGTCTCTCTCGCACCCATGGGGCGTCCCGCAAGGGTGCGAGAGAGACAGAGCGATGAGTGCACCGCGAGGGCATCCGGCCGGGACGGCCAGTGGCACACATTTTCACCAATGGTTTTATGCACCGCGCGGCAATGAGAAATCGGACGTACCGCTGAGTTTTCAGTGGAAACTTTCGCGTCAATGGAAGTTTTCGCGTCGCGACGGTTTGTTTGTTGTTGCGCTGCTTTACTTCTCCTTGGGAAAATCCTGGGTCCGCAGCTGACTTGGTGTCGGCGCGGAGCAACTGGTGCGAGTGGGGAGTGGGGAGTGGGGAGTGGGGGGTGGGGGGTGGGACGCCCGACGAGCGAGGCTGGGCCGCCCCGCAGTGCGGGGCTGCTTGGCGGCACCGCCTACCCGCCGCTCCGCGGGCGCTCCGGCTCCCCGACGACGCACAGTGGGGCGGCCAAAACTCTAGTCTCGTTTTGAGCTCCAGAGTCGCTAACCGGGACTCGAACCGAACGTGTGACCCCACCAATGGATTGCTCTCCGAACGAGGAATCCATTGGTGAAGCCACTCGTTCGGTTCGAGTCCCATTTGGCGACTCTGGAGCTCAAAACGCGACTAAAGTTTTGGCCGCCTCCGCCGGTCTTCTGGCCCACTGTGGCACGTCGAGCAGCCCGAACGCAACGATGGCCATTTTTCGTAATGATGGTGGTACGTCCCTTTTGATGGCGTTTTCTTTTTGTTCCCCCTTTTCTGATTGCCAACGCCTTATCATGGTCGTTTGATAAAGCCGTACGATGGGCCACACGTGTTGCATGTGTCGTACTTCTTCTGTGTGTGTGTGTCAGAGAGAGAGAGAGAGAGAGAGAGAGAGAGAGAGAGAGAGAGAGAGAGAGAGAGAGAGAGAGAGAGAGAGAGAGAGAGAGAGAGATATCGTCCTCTGAAGCCTACATGTCGTCTGACAGTTGGGCTGAGTGACACATGTCCGAACGCAAACACACACACACACACACACAAAAGCGCGCACAATGATGTGTATCGCGAAAGTGACCTTCAGAGTCGCCGCCACTCGTCAATGGACATAATAGGTGCGAAATAATTCGTCTGCAACAACAACAACATCAACAACAACGCGATCACCTGTGGACACGAGTCATTAGTCCGCTGGGCGGCCGGCAGAGCGCGCGGCGGGTTGCAACACACGGCGGGGCTCACGGCTCGCGGCTCGCACTCGATGGCGACGGTATTGACTCGGCCACCGCCGTGCCCAGTGCACAGTGGGCCAGAAGACCGGTGGGGCGGAAAATCTGGCCGCGTTCGAGTCCCAAGCGCTAAAGGGGCCAACGGAAGTTGCCCCCCCAAGGTTCCTCTTGGGAACTGTGCGGCAAGGTGCTTCGGTGCTTCGGAGGCCTCGTTTGAGGCGCACGCCACGGCAGGCGCGCCACTGCACAATGGGCATTGTAGAGCCGGCAGCGCGGTGACAGTGTGCCAGCAGTGTGCCAGCAGATTGCCAGCGGGCCGGGCCGGACAGACAAGATGGGAAACGCTGCCAGAGCGCCGGGACTCGGGGGCTGTTTTATTCTCTGCCTCTGTCCCTCTCTCCTCGGCCGGCCAGCAGAAGTGCGAGAGAGACAGAGCACCGTTCGGTCGTAAAACTCGGCCACGCGTTGGCCTGCTAAGCGAAGCGCATGTTGTTGATGATGGTCATGGTCATGAAGTCGGTGATGATGATGTGCTTCTAATGCGAGTGGCCCGCGCTCCGCGCAATCGGGCCACTGACAGTGCCTCCGCATGTTCCGTGCCTCTGCATGGCCGGCACCTTGATGGGGACCCGTTTCCGCTGGCGAGTAAATCACGCAGAGCCGTGCACAGTAGGCCAGAAGACCGGTGGAGGCGGCCAAAACTCTAGACGCGTTTTGAGCTCTCGCTCCGAACCGAACGTGTGACCCCACCAATGGATTCCCAGTTCGGAGAGCAATCCATTGGTAGGGTCACACGTTTGGTTCGAGTCCCATTTAGCGACTCTGGAGCTCTGCACGCGTCTGGAGTTTTTGCCGCCTCCTCCGGTCTTCTGGCCCACTGTGCGGCCCTGACCCTTCGCCCTTTGCTTGACGCCTCGCCCTTGTCTCCGCAGGCCCTGCCACCTGGCACGAGAAGTACCCGCTGGCCGCCGGGCCCAGGCAGTCCCCCGTGGACCTGAGCTCCAGCACCGCCACCCAGGAGGAGGACTCGAACGCCAAGCCGCTGCACCGGCGGTACAACCCGCAGACGGGCTGCGTGCTGGGCAACACCGGCTACGGCTGGAAGGTGCAGATCGCCGGGCCCACGACCGGTGAGTGCCCAAAAGGACTGGCCAAACTCTACATGCGTTTTGAGCTCCAGAGTCGCTAAACAGGCCTCGAACAGAACGTGTGACCCCACCAATGGATTCCTCGTTCGGAGAGCAATCCATTGGTGGGGTCACACGCTCGGTTCGAGTCCCATTCAGCGACCCTGCTCAAAACGCTCAGCTCAAACCGCGTCTCGAGTTTTGGCCGCCTCCACCGGTCTTCTGGCCCACTGTGTGACGGGCTTCCTGCTTGCAGCGCGCAAGGACGACCTCATGTTCTGGTTCTCCGAGCTGAGCGGCGGCCCGCTGGCCAGCCGCTACCGCCTGGAGCAGTTCCACATGCACTGGGGCGACTGCGACAACGAGGGCTCCGAGCACACCGTCGACGGCCAGTCCTACGCCGGCGAGGTGAGGCGAGGAGGGACTCACGAACGGAGTTTTGTATCTTGGCGCCAGTTTAAAGTAGTACATCAGTTACAAACAAAGTATTAAAAAAGTTCCCCATTTGATCACTGTTAAAAAAAAAGTCGAAATTTTCAGACTTTTTAGGATGAAGTCAATTTTGAAACCCAGTGGTCTGAAATTTTAGACCCCCGGACACTCTGAATTTTTGGACCACCTGTCGTCTGAATTTTCAGACTAGCAAGTACTTTGAATTTTACGACTACCAGGTAGTCTGAATTTTCGGACTAATGGCAGTCTGAATTTTTCACCTCGCGGGTTTGAATTCTAAGCCGCCCAGGTAATATAATTACCACTTGTCAGGATGTATATTATGTTTTGGAGATGCATGTTTTAAATTGCTGAGAAACATGGAATGCATGCACTAAATAGAGCAGTTGTAAAACAGCTCTTGTTGTTAAATGTAGCACCCAAAGTTGCGCAAAACTTTTACTAGATATGATATTTTGCTGAGAGAGCTTCCCAAAAACAGACCTAGTCCTCGAATGTAAGACTCCAGGAGATGCAGCTGTAAACACTGGAAAGCAGCATGTTGGATCCAGATGCACACTTTGTGCAAACTTTTCCGGCACGATGAAAATACTTTGGGGACGAGGATGAAAGAGGAGTGGCAAATTTCCAAAACGCCACCCACTCGCTCATCACCCGTCCCTTTAGTTTGGAAGACGCAATATCAGTATAAGGCTACGCCACTTTCACAGCCTGCTTGCCGCGGATTTCGGATGCTTCAGAGTGGTGACTGCACGCACCCGAAGCAATTTTGGAGCACAGAAAGGCGAAGGCAAAATGGCACTGTACACACTGTGCTGAGCGCCGATGTAACACATAAAACGTTCCTTCACGACGGAGCGTCACAAGAAAGATGACACGCGACGCGGACTCGTATTCGGATGCGATGTGCACTGGTCTAGAGACAAGCTAAAACTGACGCATTCTGTCCAGAAATCCCGAGTGGCCGAGGGATTAAGTAGGATTAAGGGCCCCCTCTGACCCGGGCTTCGTTCCAGGCCGGAACCAGGGCAAACATGTCGCATCCTGCAGCTACCAGCGGAGTGCAGGCTGATATTACACTCAACACTAGACGGCCGTTCGCTTAGCTGAGCAAAAGTCTATTTACTACTGCTCTAGCAATTCAGGGTCCATAGCACCTGAAACGCAGTCATGCCTTTTATCAGAAAATAAAGCGTCAATTTCAGACTGCGCAGGATGAAAATTCAGACCTTCTGCTACAAATGACTGTTTTAAGACCCCGACGCCGAAAACTTTTACCGCGCCATCCAAATATTCAGACTCTTAAGTCCGAAACTCATTTTTCAGACCACAAGGTGTAAAATTAAGACCAACTGTCTGAATATTCTGACTCAAGTCTGAATTTCAGATTCAGACCACTAGGTCTGAAAAAATTGGTCTGAATTTTCAGACTTTTTTTAACAGTGATCCATATCGATAGAAAATCATGCGCTGAAGTCAGTGTTACCAAACAAAATGCTCCTTCCTGAACTCGTTTCTGAGATAAATGCAGTCAAAGTTGGGATTTTTAACATGGGTCTTATGGGGAATGGGTCTAAAAAACATGCTAACGTTTACTTTTGGCACATAAGGAGTAATAAGAAGGCAATGAAAAACTATAGTTAGATAAAAAACACTACATAGAATCAAAATCCTTCCAGAAAAACGGGGGTCCCTGTCCATAGATGAGAACTACAGAACAAAGAATGTCCGAAAAATGCCCCCTTTTGGGTCAGAACGCGACTTTGGCCGTTTTCATAGTTGAATTGGTCAAAACCCTGTAGGGTTACATCAAAATTGCATATAACTTAAAACAGAGTTTGGAGCTTTATCTGTAACTTGATGCAAAGCTCAGAGCATTACGACAAATTTCAATTTCAAAAATTTTTGGCGGGAAGCCCTAGCTGATGTACTACTTTAACCGTTTCCGCTTCCCTGCCGCAGCTCCACCTCGTCCACTGGAACTGCGACAAGTACAACTCGTTCGGGGAGGCGGCGTCGCAGCCCGACGGCCTGGCCGTGCTCGGCGTCTTCCTCAAGGTGCGTCCCTCGGCCATCCAGCCCCGCCCACGCACAGTGGGCCAGACCAGCGGCCAAAACTCTAGACGCGTTTTGAGCTCCAGAGTCGCTAAATGGGACTCGAACCGAACGCGTGACCCCGCCAATGGATTGCTCTCTGAACGAGGAATCCATTGGTGGGGTCACGCGTTCTGTTCGAGTCCCGTTTAGCGACTCTGGAGCTCAAAACGCCCCTCGAATTTTCGCCGCCTCCACCGGTCGTCTGGCCCACTGTGCCACTTGACAAGCAGCCAGTCCGAATCTGAAGGCACTTGCCGGGATTTTCCTACTTCTTTGTAACAGTGTTGGTTCTGATTGTCAGGTTGGTGAGGCCAACAAGGAACTGCTCAAGGTGACGGACCTCATGAGCCAGATCACCCACAAGGGCCAGCACGTCGACATCACCGGGGAGGTGGACCCCACCAACCTGCTGCCCGGTACGTACACTGGATCATTATCTCAAATTATATTTTTTAGTCTAAATCTTTATTTTTAGTAACTGCAACTTTGCATTTTTTTTCAGCCAAGTCAAGTTACTGGACTTACTTGGGGTCTCTCACCACCCCGCCCTGTAACGAGAGCGTCATCTGGATCGTCTTCAAGGAGCAGCTGACGGTCTCCCAGGAGCAGGTCAGACTCTCTCACTATTTGTGCCTTTTTTAAAAAAAAATTGATGCCCTTGCCACGTACACTGTTCGTTGTTTCTTAAAATTAAATTGTGACTTTATTTCGGCCGCAGCTCGAGGCGATGCGCGGCCTGCGCTGCTACTCCGAGGGCGAGGCCTGCCCCTGCGACGAGCTCAAGGGAGTCCTCCTCAAGAACTTCCGGCCTCCGCTGCCCCTGGGCAACCGCCGAGTCCGCGAGTGCCGCGAGTAACAGGTGTGTGGCCGTAGGGCGCACCACCGGCGCACAGTGGACCAGAAGACCGGTGGAGGCGGCTGAAATTCCAGACGCGTTTTGAGCCTCATAGTCGCTAAGTAGGACCCGAACCGAACGTGTGACCCCACCAATGAACTGCCCTTCGAGCGAGCAATCCATTGGTGGGGTCACACGTTTAGTTCGAGTCCCATTTAGCGACTCTAGAGTTCAAAACGCGTCTGGAATTTTGGCCGCCTCCACCGGTCTTCTGGCCCCCTGTGCGGCTCCGCCCAAGTGCTGGCCGCTTGGCGTCTGTGTGTGCCGCGTGCCGCCTGCGGCGCGGCGGGTGGGCAAGCCCGCCGATCAGGCCAGGCGGACGGGCGGCCTCGCTCGCAGGCGCTTCGACACTAATAAATGAACTTAGCGCTCAGACCTGAGCCAGCGGCGACCAAAGGAAAAGTTAAACAGCCGAACCCCACCGGGGGCCTCATTGTCGGAGTGCTGTTCCGGTGCGTTATAAGGGTTCGACCCTTTGTTTACCTCGTTGTTTGGAGGCTGTTAGCCACACTCATGATGGCACCAAGAAAAGGCCTGCATAGCAAAGGGTGGCCGCTGGCTCAGGTCTGAGCGAATGTACAGTAACGCGCTCTTTTCTCGTTTCCAGGAGGAGCTGATCTCAGTGGACTGCAGAAGGCCGTGATGCGTGCGACGCCACGGCGACACTCCGACCACACACTCCCCCACCATCACTCCCAACCCCCGCCTCCCCCAGCATCCCCCAGCCTCCCCACCCCATTTGACCACGTGCCAGCGGTACCCGCACTGCAAGTGCCGGCCAGATGAACATCATCAAGATTCCGTTATGATTACGTATTGACCAATGGTGCCTAGTTAGTTCGTAGATAAGTGTCTGTTGTCTGTGTCCTCGTGGCGCAGGACACAGCAGGACACATTGTGATCTTAGAGGCATTTCTATAGATTGTAAACAAAGCGTGTCAAAATTGCAGTACATGGGGGAAGAACTCGTCTCTGATATTAGCAGTATTTCCCGCATTTTCTGAGTAGCAGCACAAAATATTGTTGGGTTGAAGATACCAATGAGGGAAGATAACATTGCTGTGAAGTGACTGTGAATATTTTATTTTCTTCAGTTGAGGGATTGGAGACTGGCGAGCAATAATGCGCTTAAGTTATGTTGCTAACTTATTTAATATCCTGTATTGCAGAATATTTTTGAAAAGAATGAATGTTGTAAACTTGTGATATCTGAAAGAAAAGTTATGTTTTGAGTGATTCAATGTAAAAAATATTGTTCATGTCACTGTTAATGTTGTTTTAAAAAAAAATGTATTACACAGTCTGTAATAGTCTTAACAGTTTGAAGATTATCTGTCTGCTGTTCAAGGCGCCCTATATTCGGTGGTCCTGCATCACAATAATTTAACTATGAATTAAAATTTTTATCTGTTAACTTGCCGACAATCCACACAAAACCCGTGTAAAATTTTTCCAAGCCAATGATATTTTTTATAATGCACCTGTTTTCTAGAAGAGCAAATAAATTTGCAATCACCATAGTGAGCGATTTCTACTTCATTTTCCTTTTTTAACGTCTTCCCTTACACAATTGCGGCATTTAAAGTGGGTGAACACAACTTGTAGGAAGTTTCATGAATGAATGTGGTCTGACCCAAACCGACCTCACCCCGTTTTCTCTGTCCCACCACATTACTTCATTTCAAAACTGGTTTGATTTTTGTACATTGCATGATAAATTATCAGAAACCAACTTGGTGGAACTGAACTCAACAGCATGAAACATCTCCATCGGAACCCTTCAATACAGTTTCTGTTACCGAGCAGAGGTCCACTAATCTGCTATCTAAATTGTCATATCATCCTTTTTTTCTCTTTTTTCCGAGGGAGGTGGGCAGAGGAGCCGGCAACGACTGGTGGCCTGTTTGATTTGGGCGCTAGCTAGACGGAAACGGACCATTCAGCAGGCAATGAAAACACCAACGTTCCCATGAAAAACAGTGTTAACTTTTCTTTGCGGTGCACGAGCCCTCATCCTCGACAACCAAACTTTGGGAATGTGAGCTTAATGCAAAGAAATACGACCAAATTTTTACACGAAACTTGACCCGTTTGAACATCAGAAAAGCCATTGAGTCATCGCTTCGTTGTTGGCAACAGTGAGTTCATGTCGTGGTTGTTTAGGCTGCTAGTTAGGCCTCTGCTATTTTCTCGGTCGGTGGTCCCGTGAAAATTTGATCGAAAGTGGTTCAAATTAGCCGTGTTTGGAGATTCGCCACCTGTTTTCCATCGCACCCTTCCATCGTGTCCAGCAATTTGAAATGGTGAGTTTGCGGCGATGCGTCGGGGATGGTGGTGATGAGTTGCACCTGTCAGGTCAGCTGCTCGGCAAGGCTTTCTCTCAGCTGCAGCGAAGGTACAATCGACGTCAGAGCGGAGCCGAACCACCAACACCACTAATTACATCACCATTTCGGTGCTCGCAATATCGTTGTGAAACCAATCGCAATATCGACATAAGCATTTCATGAGGAAACTGACAAGCGAATGTTGTGATAGATTTGTTTTGCATGAGCTGTCATTGAAGGTCCTCAAACCAAGTTTTGTTTATTTTGATTTTTACTCGCTTCAGGATCCGAATGCTCCGTCTGCAGACCATGGTCCTGGCCATGGTGTGGTCCATTGTTCAGCTCATGGACCTCAAGCGTCCCTAACACTCCCCAGCATTAACAGCAGCGAGCCAAGCTCATCAACTATGGTGGAAGAAGCAATGGCAGCTGGTGCATGCGGACCTCCAGTTCCTTACTCACTGGTAAGATTTGTATGTTAAGAATCTTAGTTGTTCATAGCTGGTGGTGTCAGTCAGCTTGCGTTGAGTAGTGCGAAGGCAGCTGAAACGAGAAGTGGCACTTGAGACATGGTACTTCCGTCTTTGCTCCAAGAAGCAGCCCTTGGCCCAAGCCCGCACCCTTCTTGCCATACTCCTGTCGTTGTTTCTATACCCGTTGCACTACAATTCCAGAGCTACGAAATTCCTCCTCCGATGGCGGACTTCTCAGCCCCACCACCATATGAGGTAGCCACCAAACTGCCAACCTATGATGAAGTCCAGAGGGAGAAAAGCCGTGAAGTGGAACTTGGTTTGCCTCCAGACATGCCTCCAGTAAGTTTTGAACTAGACATTCTTTCGACACTCATTCTTAACGATGATATGATTTAAATGGTTCATGCTTTGTTTCCTGAAATTCAGCAGGGGCCTGGACCAAGACCACCTACTGCTATGCCCATGTTCTTGGCAATTGATACTGAAACTCCCGATGAATCCAACAAAGCAATGCTAGGAACTGACTTCATGTTCTTCACTGCATTTGTTGGTTAGTAATTCTTCAAAAGAAGATTACTTTATTTGAACTATTAACTTTCAAGTCAGTGTCTTTTTATACCTTTGTTTCTTCTTTCTCAGTATCATTTCTTTTCAACTGGATTGGCTTCCTTCTGCTGATGTGCTTCTGCCACACAATTGCTGCCCGATACGGGGCTCTATCAGGATTCGGATTGTCATTGTCCAAGTGGACCCTTATTGTGAAACGTTCATCTGATATTACCGATCATGTCTGGCTCTACTGGCTGGTCATGTCATTTGGTATGATGTTTTCCCGTTTTCCTATTTTGTACACATTTTTATTGGCTCTGTAACTGAGAGACTAATGGGTCTTTATCCCTGCTCCAGGTCTGCTGATTTGTATTCGAGCAATCATCCACTATCTGAACATCAAGCGTGGATGGCAACTCTTGTCTGGAAATCCACACGCTCAGGAAAGGCTACTGTTTTTCTATTGAAAACACACCTAAGTCAAAAGGGGCTGACCTATATCCCTCAGCAGGGCTATGGCCTTCTATATTTATTTTTTGCCATTTTAAATTTGTGTTTGAGAAAGAAGCAAGACAGATTTTTGCTACCGAGTCCTGACTGGTTGAGGGCATCAAAGTTATTCCAATCAAATTTTGTTGGCTCAGATTTTTTTAAATTTCTCATCATTTTTCAATTTTGGGAAAACAGAAGGTTAAGGGGAGATTCCTTGTGAGGTTCCATGTGGTTCACAGCTTCATTGGAAATTCCTGTGTCAACAAAGATGATTAATTAATTATAAAGCTTTTGTTAGTTGAAAATTCAAGCTGGTTATCTATGTTCTCTTTTCTATATGTTAGTTCAATATTACATTATTGGTAGCCACACATCTGCAGTAATAAGTTTATTTCGGGACATGATAGTCACTAAGGGACTCGAAGGAATGAATCTGTACTTCGTACCATGTTTTAAAGGGACAGCCTCTTGCCTTCCAGAGATGATGTTTTTTAGGTGTTAAGTGGAGTTTGTCTTTTGAATGTGTCATACAGTAGTTGCACTATTTAATTTTTAAGTGATTTCTTATACTTATTCTACTCTTCATTCTTTAAGATTTTATGGTGTGTAAATTTTAATCCAATCAGTTCAACCTGTTTGTCATGTTTCTCTTACCCTCCTCACAATGTATGCAGTGTCTTTAGTGATGTTCTTGACCATTTTTTTTCTGACGCATTCCAAAGCTTTTTGTTTTTCTTTTGTAAGCTCTGAAAGGAACCAGGAATTCCTGTAATTGAATGACATTTTGGTGAAGAACAAATGCAATTGGAATATTTTATGTCATGTTATTTTAATGATGAGAATTATTGAGGTGTCTTATGTGGTGGGGTTTACCTTTGAAAGGGTTTCTTGATTTTATCTGTCTGTCATGTCAACATTTTTCCATCAATGTTTTTCAAGTAGACTGTTATTGTTTTTATATTTGTTTTTGTAGCATCATGTTTTATTATGGCCACCCCGCAGTCTTGCGTACTATATGGTTGCCCTGCTAAGGTGGTGCTTGTTTCTTTGGTATTTTGCTTTGTGATACTTCAAAAACATTTTAATATAACTCACATGTAGACTAAAGCTGCAATTTTTGATCTAGTTGCTATTCAAAAAATCAAATTGATCTTATCTTGTCATGGCTGTGTGTTAGATAACCTTATATTTTAAAAACCTGTATATGTTAACTTTGTTTCCATCTTTCACTTTCTACATGTGCATATCAGTGCACAAATGCAGCTGCTTTTTTTTAGTCATGTGGATAGAGATATTTACCGTAAGTGTGCAATTTAATTAAGTATGAATAAATGCTGTGGCCACATTCAGTGGTCATATTCTCTCATTTGGTGTACAACTTCTGAAATCACTTTGTAAATAAAACAAGATGTAAAATTCTCATTATCGTGGTTAACTCTCAACCAAGCTTTATTACATTCATAACAAATAACTGTAACGTTGGTAACTGAAACAATGATAGATAATAATCAAAATGAATACAAACTTAAAAAAAATCTTATGTCACAACTCAAGACAAATGTAAAAACCTGTCAAGAAATATAGGATGGTACAAGTATACCTTCAGGACTGAAATTAATGGCAGCCAAGTTCATGTTAATAAATGGCTATGGCACTTACTCCAAACCACTAATTGAAACAAAATGAAGTACATGTGGTACAGAATGTTAAGGGAAATAGCACAAAAAATTAGGCATGACCTGTTTGAAATGAAATGAAGTAGATGAGTAATTAGCCTAACATGCCTTGGCAACACTTAACTTGGCACTTAATGATTGAAACAATATGATAGATTCTATCAATTTGCACTGACACTGCACAGAAAAAAAAGTTCAGGTTTTGACAAAAAAATTTATGAAATAACTACAAAACAATAAAAAGAGGTTACCTTATAAAAATATGGTTTAAGCTCTTTTAAACTTCAAATATTTCTAGCTAAGAAACATATCATTTAGAATATCACAAGTGCATAAGAACTTTGATACACACATGCTTGATACTGTCCCTTCTACAGAGGATGCACTTCAGGAATGAGAACTGTTCTCATACAATGCAAAACAATCAAATTGAAAAAAAAAAAAAAAACAATAATGGGGAGTTTTGATTCAGACACAAAAAATCAAAATACACATGGACATGCAAACAACAAGGGAACAGGACCAAGCTGAACTAGTATGAGCATCACTCAGTCTTCATGCATTACTGAGCAGTCCGTTCTAATCTGACACTCAGTAATATTTTAATCTTCATTTTTCTTTTTTCACCATGCAAAAAGAGCCATGAAGGCTAATATCAGGTACATAGAGGAACTGCTTTTGATTGCGCTTTCCTTTCTTCAACGGATCTTCAAAGATCAACGAATACTAGAAAACAGCTTCAGTACCGATTTATTTTCCTGCAAATGGAACAAGATTGTGAATTACTCCAAGGCTAGAACTGTTAGACAAAACATAGAAAAATGTTGAAACAAATTTTTGAGCACCTTTTGAGAACCTGCTTTCCTAAAAACATTCCAAAACCTTAGAGTTCCTTCACCAGCTCCTGTGACAATGGATTCACCACATGGAGACATAGCTAGGTATAAGACTCTATATGAATGTCCAGTCAGTTTTGCAACTTGGACTAAACTAGGATATTTCCAGACTAATATTTCATTTTGAGAGTAGCCATGGGTGCTAACCTACATGTAAGACAAACAAAGACATATATAAGACGCTTTTGCCAGCAATATTGTAAGATGGCAAGTACAAAAATACTTACGAATTCGTGCGTGTGCTTGGACCAAATAAGATTGCACACTTGACTGCCTGTGTCAATGCTTTGCTTGGGCTGCCCAGTCAGTGTATTCCAAAATCTAATATGACGATCAGCAGTTCCACCACCACTGGCTAAAAGACCATGTTCATGGGGAGACCATGCAATGGCTGAAAAATGAAGTCAATGTAAGTGTCTAGTGCCCCTCTTGAAAGACAACCAACATAAACCACAACCCTCAATAGAAAGTTGAAATCAACTGATTAATGTCACCTTTGACAGCTGCTATATGTTGATTGTATGTCTGGACAGGCGACAGGGAGTGGCAATTCCACACATGAAGGCGGTTGTCGTTGCCTCCTGAAGCCAAGTATTGTTTATCGGGAGACCATTTCAGACCACAAACCTGAGATGCAACAATCAGAGATTAGCAAGAAATAATAAGCCCAACAAAGTTAACACAATATTCATTGGAAAACAGTGTATACCTCTTGTCTGTGGCCTACAAGTCTTTTGTCTGGAACCAAAGAGGAAGTCCGAATATCTCTTAAGAATATGTCTTTATCTCGGCTGCCAGATGCTAAAATATCACCATTCCATGCAAGCGCCCCAACTCTTGTAGAATGGCCTACTAATTTGTTGACTTGCTTGTTCACAGCAACATCCCAGATTTGTACGTAACCGGTGTTAGTGCCAACAGCGACTAAATTTCCCTGAATAATGAAATAAAGCAAAAAATGACTAAGCCAAAGCTAACTACACAATAGAACTTAAAGAAAATAAATGATGAGAGTTCGTACCTTGTCATTCCAAGCAACAGATGTAATCGTGTTATCATCAGGTGCAAGATCACAAAGTCTTGTGACATCACTAGAACTAGCACTCCACAGATACACACTTGATGCCAAACCAACAGCTAAGACATTTTCAGAGGACCAATCAACTAGATTCAAGTAAAAGTCGTCTTGAAGATCAGGGGCATCCAAAACCTACAGATTGATGCAAAACTTAAATAAGTTCATTGCCCAACTCATCAATTAATGGTAACTGCTTAAAGTGGCAGAGTAAGCTACAAGTACCTTAAATGGCATAGTGGATATCTTCTGGGTAACTTTTAGTGGCGACCGGAGCAGAAGTTGACTCTTGGTACTAAGGGGAGAAAGGGAGTATGGAGATGGTGGGTCTGGAATTGCGGGCAGGTACTGGAAAATTAAATAAATGTTAAAGTTAACACTACCACAAAATTTGGAACCAATAAAGACATTATTAATATCATCATCAACCAACCTCAAACAAATTTTTGCTTTCCTGTGGTTGCTCATTTCCTTGTCCCTTCAATGAATCTATATTGGCACCAAGCAACTCATTCTTCAAGAGACACCTGTATGCAGTGCCGTCTCTCCTACTCTCACCATTTTCTCGAGAAGTTTTTTCATACGTAGATGTGGTTCCATTAGGTGCATACTGGAAAGAGAAACAAACATTGTAAGCATACAATTTGCTTAAAAGATTGTTACAAAGTAAAGCTATTTTACTCACAGAAAAAGTAGCAAATCGAGATTCCCAACTATTATCTCTTCGGGAGGGGATGAATCTGTCACCACCAGGTGATTGGAAACCCTTGCGAGGAGGAGTCTGTGCAATACAAATATACAACTATTAGCATTCTGGCAACTACATATACCATCATCAGATGAGATGAATAGTTCCATTATAAATACCGTAGGTGGTGTTGTTGTTTGATTTAAAATACGATTTTCGTATTCCTTGTTCAAAAACATGATGAGATACTTGATCTTGCTAAGTACTTTCAGCTCAATGGACAACTGGCATGATCACCTGCGAAACAAAAAATGGACAACTTTTGAAAGGGAGGTTATTCAACACATCTGTTTTAGGAAGGGATGTAAACAAAGGGAGCACTATGAGAAAGAGAAAGATAACTACAAGAGAAGAGGAACCGTGAAAAAACATGTGGCTTTGATGTCAGTGTAACAAATACATCTATCGGCCTTATGGGGATACGTCCAAAAGAAACAGTGGATGATTGTTGTTACATTTTGGAGGTTATGATGCAGAAATGAAAACATATTTTCATTAAATACAAAATTATCATACAGTGTAAACTACTTTCAAGGATCTAAATGAAGAAGACAACTGTCATTTAGATTAAACAGCCGCAACCGCGCTCCGCATCGAACAAGTTAACAACAAAATGCATTCAAATAAATACGGGCTGCAGAGCCAAAACAAGCGGAACATAAAATTACCTCGGAGGAGGAGGAGGACCAGTCTCACACCCACGCAGAGGGAAAACAAATAGAGTTCAACCACACGAGGAAATACGATCGTGATTTAAATGTTTAAACGAGTTGAATACATGAAGTTTGATTTCACTGGCACTCGATAAGCCGTTAAAACTTTGACGATGTTACAACTACTCACCGACAGAGGGCGTGGGTGTTCCGAAAGCAAAAGAAAGGTTGCACGTTTGGCCGCTAGTGGCGCTAGTGTAATGTAGCCCCTCCAAAACACTTTTATTTTTACAACGGGGGATTTGAAAATCAATGAAGTCTCACAAATTTGCAGCTCTCATACTTATAAGCTCCCGATTTTCATATCCACGCTGTTCGACTTCCGAAAATCAGTTAAGATTTGGGCTTTTGCCTGGGTTTGCCTCTGGATGAAAAGTTCACAAGGACTCAAAATTTCTCATACGATTAGACCGGCATGTGGAAGAGGTTATGTTGTTCATAGTAAACAAAGTGAAGAGCCAAAAACGCTGTATTTCGTCCGTCATTATTTGTTTAATGCTGTCGTCACATTGAATTTTTAGGGTTGAAAATGTCTGTTCAATTTTCTAAGGTGTGCTCTTTGATTTTACTTGAACATTTTGGAGAAATAGTTGAGAAAGTTGGCACAGACCTGTTTCAGTGGGGTCCCAAGCCCTTGACTTTGATTGCCTCCTCTACAAAATTGTCGATTGACAAGGTGAGCCTGATAACATGCCACCTCCTTCAGGTCTTTGGTTTATTTACCTTACTAATTTTGAAGCACTGACGACTGAATCTGTCTAGGTAAAACAATCTCTGTGCGTCCTCCTGCAATACGGGCTAGCAAGTTTTGCAGCGGCCAAAAATGGACGGATTGCTGAGTACTCTCTTCTTCCAGAAAAAGTTTTCTCTCTTCTTAGATATCCTAGGTTGGTTTAAAATGTCTTTCCCTGGTACTGATAAAGTCTCAGATGACAATAACTTTTATCTGTTTGTCCTATAGGTACCTTTACCTAATCAAAACAAAGTTTGGTGTTGAGGCTGAGATGTTAGTGGAAGAATTTCTAAGATCAGGATATGATTCTGCGTCAAAAGTCATTCTCCGGGCAGCTTCACGACTGAAAGAGACGAGGCCAGGTAAGATTATCATGAACTCAAGCATATATGTAGTTTGTGTAGAAACAATGTATTTTTTACTTCTAATGGTGTTCTTATTTTTTCTGACAGGCTCTGAAGGAGGCTCCAACTTTCCTTTATTAAGAGACAAGTTTGTCTTGCTGGTTAATAAACAATTTCTTGTGCGCTGTCCCTCACCTTCAGAAAACACTGACGGGAAGGCGTCAGCTGTTCCTAATCTTACAGCAGAGAAAACTCAGTTGCACCTACCTCCAACTTTAAATATTAAGTCACTGACGCTACTGCAAGAAGGTGAAACTGCTGATGCTGGTGACATAGGGGTTTATTGGAGTGTAAACTTTGACCGGTTTCATCAAGACTTTCGGTGGGAATCCTATTATTGGGTCATTAGATGCCTCTTTGGTCTTGTCAAATATCTAATGTTCTCTTTTTTACAATCTCAGTGACCAAATCATAGTTTCGTCTGTATCCAGAAGAATAGATGAAAGTGCCAGTGAAATTTTTCGGTTGTTGCTGCAGCTCATGTACATCCGAACCGAACCATGGGCTAGGTCATCAAACTATATCCCATATTCAGAACTTCGGGATACCTTAAGAAAAAAGGATCCACAGTCACCCATACTATTGCACCTGGAACAGTATCTGAAAATTATTGGTTGGTCAACTTAGTCTCATCTCTCTAAATTTTTCACACTTAAGCTATCCAACTTCATATCATAACATTATTATGTTTTTATTTTCCAGAGGCTGATTCTACTTGTTTCTTAACTCGTGTTGGAGATAGTGGAGGTGGACAGTTCTGCATAAACATGTATAAAATATTTGAGGCTCTTACATGGACATGCATAGAAAACATTATTGTGGAACGTTTTGGATCCAAAGCAGCTCGAATATTCAGGTTAAAAAAAAACTCAGTCCTTAAATTTTTTCTCGTTTTATTGATTGCTAATACAAAACAATGTTTTAATATCTCAACTTTTCATTACAGGCTGGTAAAGGCCAGAAAACACATTGAGCAAGAAAAAATCCAGAAGATTGCCATGATCCCTGCCAGAGAAGCAAAACAGCTAACTTACAGATTATTGCATGAGAATTTCTTGCAATTACAAGAGATTCGAAAATCAATGGCAAACAATGCTGGTCCAAACAAAATGTTCTTCCTCTTTCACATTGATCTAGAAGAGGTATGAATCACAGTGTTTTAAATACAGGCTGTATCTTACATCTCGCCTTCTTTATGTTATCTTGATCTGTTGTTTAAGGTGGCCCGCATGGTTCTTGACTTCAGTTATAAGGCTCTTTATAATGCAATGACACGCAGGGCCCATGAAAGTGATGAAAATAGGAGACTAATTGAAAAGAAGCAGAGAATAGACTCAATAGCTCTCAACATGACAGAACAAGGAGCAACACCAGACCAGTTACAAGAGGTAATATGATTAATAATAACAACAAAAATAATAATTTGATTTGCTTTCACTGATCAGTAATGTAACTTTATTTGCAGATTGAAGAAATGATGGCACCCCCAGAGGTGGATCTTTTAAACAAAGTGAAGAATAGGGTTCAAAAATTAAGTGAAGCTGAACTCCATTTAGAACAGACAATATTTCTTATGCAACTGTTTTTAAGCTACAATCAGCAATAGTGACCTGAGATAATTTTTTAACCCTTGGAGTCTCACAGAAAAAATTGTTATAATATGGTGGGAAGTGGGCATACATCTGCCACGTGCCATTTAAACAGTGCCTCCTTATGACGTTTGTATGAAGTTTCGCTGTCAATACCTTGTTATCATTTGTTGTAATTAGAATTGGGAAGTATGACATTTTTCAAAAATCAATTGCCTTTTCCGTGAATCTGATGATTTGATGCACAATGTAGGACATGGTGATTTGATGTCACTCTGTCTCTGTCAACACCGTCCCCTCACTGCAGCGTGAGTTAGTGCTTATACGACGGACGTACGCGCGCACGCACACCCAGTGTGGGCCCACGTCTGAAGGGGGCGTGTGGGCACACTGGCCGACCGCCTCGGATGCGGCCCGCGGCCCGACCTCGAGGCCCGGGACGAGCGGTTCCGCAGCGCCATTTGGTCGCTCTGTCTCTCTCTTGCCACTACGGGACGCCTCGAGTCTCACTCCGGAGCAGCCCGACGCACAGTGGGCCAGAAGACCGGTGGAGGCGGCCAAAACTCTAGACGCGTTTTGAGCTCCAGAGTCGCTAAATGGGACTCGAACCGAACGTGTGACCCCACCAATGGATTGCTCTCCGAACGAGGAATCCATTGGTGGGGTCACACGTTCGGTTCGAGTCCTGTTTAGCGACTCTGGAGCTCAAAACGCGTCTAGAGTTTTGGCCGCCTCCGCCGGTCTTCTGGCCCACTGTGCGAGGGGCTCAGGGTGTAAAAGGGAGCGGCAGCAGGCCGATTCCGCGCGTCATCCTGTCTCTCTCGCACTCGCGGGGCGTCCCGCCTTGCGTCCCGCAGGCCGATGGGGTGCGAGGGAGGCGCTGCGACCGAGGCTGCGTTTGGAGTCGCGCCACTGGCAGGGCCTGGCAGAGCCCCAGCGGCGAGTCGTTTCGGACTGGGGGAGGGGGAGGGGCGGCAGCTGTGCCGCTCTTTTCAGCCCGGGCGGCGCACAGTGGGCCAGAAGGCCGGTGGAGGCGGTCAAAATCCCATGGCTTGCTTGCCGACGACGGCTGCCGACGGCGAGAAGGCGGCGGCCGGTGGCGCTTGGAGGCGGCGGGGAGTCGCGGCGCCTTGGTTCCCCCCTTGGTTCCCTCAGTACCGCAGCCAGCTGGCCAGCAGGCAGGGCCAGCAGGCAGCCCCGGGGGCCGCGCCGCCGAGTGTCGCGCGTAGCGTAGCGTAGCGCCCCCGAGCCCCGCGCCGCCGTCCCGTCCGCGCCATCCTCGCCTCGGCGCCGCGAAGCACCGCGAAGCACCGCCAAGCGCCACGCAGCCAAGCCGCGTCGGCCTGGTCAGCGTCGTGGCCGCGGGTGCGCGGCCCGTGCCGCCGCCGCGTGCCGCCGGGCCCGCCGGGCCACCTAGCCGCGTCGCGGCGTCGCCCGTCGCCCCCTCGCGCGGCGCGGCCTGCGGGCACCGCGATGAAGAGCCGGGCGTGCGGCTTCGAACAGCGACGCCCGCGTCGGGCGCGCTGACCACCCTGGCCACTGGTCGGTGACCAGGCCAGCCTCGAGTTGCACCGCGGGCTGGAGCTCACATAAAGTAACGCCCGCGCGCACAGTGGGCCAGAAGACCGGTGGAGGCGGCCGAAACCCTAGACGCGTTTTGGGCTACAAAGTCGCGAAATGGGACTCGAACCGAACGTGTGACCCCACCAATGGATTCCTCGTTCGGAGAGCAATCCATTGGTGGGGTCACACGATCGGTTCGAGTCCTGTTTAGCGACTCTGGAGCTCAAAACGCGTCTAGAGTTTCGGCCGCCTCACCGGTCTTCTGGCCCACTGAGAAGCAGGGCTCGGAATCGGCCCACTGCCTTGCTCTCGCGGTTGTCATTGTCACGGAGCGAGTTGGCCTGCAGCCCCTGCAGACTGATTCCGAGAGTCGTTTTCGTCGCTCTGTCTCTCTCGCACTCAGGGGGCACCCCGTAAGGGTGCGAGAGACAGAGCAACGGAGACGACCCTTTTGCTACCTTGAAACGGCGTGGCCCTCATTGAGGCCACTTCCTCGTCCGGCTCCTCGCCGGTTTGCGAGACGTCTGGGCCCAGTTCCGATTTTTCGGCGGTTGTCAAAAAACACATGCCATCAACCCCATTTTGAATACGAAAACAAATCTGAATCTGCGGTTAAATATGGGTCCAGCTGCTGAGTGGTCGAAATAGCTTAGCAACACAGGAGTGTGCGTTAGGCTTGACTTTGTTTTCGTCTAATTTTGTTTGACGGGCGTATTTATAGGCAGAGGCCTCCTTGCCCGCTCCCTGCCCCATCTGAAAGATAAACTGATGGTTACCATCTGATGGTGGTTTGACGAACGGACCAGGCTGTGCCTGCGGCTCATTTAAAGCGAATGTAGTTCATTTGTACAGTGCGTGTCGAGTCTGTTGAGTCTTCACGCCCGGGCCGCCACTTCCAGTTTCAAAAAGCCGTTCTCGTCGCTCTGTCTTTGTCGCACTCGTGGGACGTGCCGCATGGGTGCGAGAGAGACAGAGCGCCGCGCGATTTGACCCGCCGCACAGTGGGCCAGAAGACCGGTGGAGGCGGACAAAACTCTAGACGCGTTTTGAGCTCCAGAGTCGCAAAATGGGACTCGAACCGAACGTGTGACCCCACCAATGGATTCCTCGTCCGGAGAGCAATCCATTGGTGGGGTCACACGTTCGGTTCGTGTCCCATTTAGCGGCTCTGGAGCTCAAAACGCGTCTAGAGTTTTGTCCGCCTCCACCGGTCTTCTGGCCCACTGTGCGCCGCGGCCCGTTGGCAGTGTACTTCCCGGCTGCATTCTGCAGGGCGGAGGGCTGCAGTTTGCAGGGCGATGAGGTGCTCGTTCACCTTGACCCGGGCCGCGCCGCTATGCGCCCCGCTCTGGTACTGCGGCGTGACAAGCTGCAGACTGAGAGTCTTTTCGTCACTCTGTCTCTCTCGCACGCTGGCGACTCTCGGACGCAGCCTGCTGGCGTAGCGTAGCAGCGCACGGCCCGCTGTGACGTCGACTTGGCACGGCCAAAGATCGGGACGCCGAGCTGACGCTGAGGTGCGGCGGAGGAGCGCGGTGCCGACGCCGAGAGAGACGGGAATATCGCCGCGCCGGCGGGGGGGTTCGACTCCCCGCAGGGCCGCGCGATGCTTATTTTTTTTCCACCGCTGATGAGGACTCGAATCCAGCATATGACCCCACCAATGGATTCCTCGTTCCGAGAGCAATCCATTGGTGGGGTCACACGCTCGGTTCGAGACCCATTTAGCGACTCTGGAGCTCAAAACGCGTCCGGGATTTTGGCCGCCTCCACCGGTCCTCTGGTCCACTGCTCACCATCGTCCTCCCCTTGCAGGCATGGCGGGGCGCGGCGGGCTGGCGGTGCTGCTGCTGGTCCTGGTGGCCGCGCAGTGGGCCGCGCGCGCGGAGGCCAAGTCCTCCAACCTGTGCACCAAGTTCCCCAGCTTCTGCGACCAGTCGGAGCTCGACGACGACAAGAAGGGCCGCTCCACGCACCAGCGGTTCGCCGAGACGAAATGGAGGAAGCCCAAGGGCGAGGCGGAGATCAGAGGTGAGCGGCGCGCAGTGGCTTCGCCCCAGAAGACCGTCGCTGCGGCCGAAACTCTAGACGCCTTTTGAGCTCCAGAGTCGCTAAATGGGACTCGAACCGAACGTGTGACCCCACCAATGGATTGCTCTCCGAACGAGGAATCCATTGGTGGGGTCACACGTTCGGTTCAAGTCCCATTTAGCGACTCTGGAGCTCAAAACGCGTCTAGACTTTTGGTCGCCTCCACCGGTCTTCTGGCGTCCAAAGGGTTGCGCAGCCTGCCTGGGCAGTGTACACTGCAAACTCCCCGCTCGGCCTGACAGTGCTGTCTGTGGCAGGGCACCTGGTGGCGAAGCGGCCGCTGAAGGACGTGGAGGCCGTGGAGCTGGACGACGCGGCCGCGCTGCGCGCCGCCACCATCCGGGAGGCGGAGGAGAAGCTGCGTCTGGCGGAGGGCGGCGGCGGCGTGCGGAAGGGCGCCGACTTCGACAAGCGCAGGACCGTGGAGGACGCGCGCAGGAAGGCGCACCTCATCAAGGAGGCGCGGCGGAAGCGGCGGCAGCGACTGGAGGAGGCCGAGGCGGAGGTGGGTGTTGCCGCAAGACCGGTGGAGGCGGCCAAAAATCCCGGACGCGTGTCGAGCTCCAGAGTCGCTAAACAGGACTCGAACCGAACGTGTGACCCCACCAATGGATTGCGCTCCGAACGAGGAATCCAATTGGTGGGGTCACACGCTCGGTTCGAGTCCTGTTTAGCGGCTCTGCGGATGAGTCGGCCTCCACACTGTGCGGCCGCTGGAGCCGCTGGAGGGGAGCGCCTTGCGGGCGGGCCCGCCCGTCGCGCTCCGGTGCGTGGCGGGTCGGCCTACCCTTGGTTTCACAGGCGCTCGTGGAGGGGGGACCGTCCTTCGTGACGATCTGCCGCACTGGTAAAGCAAAGGCATACGTGCTTTACAGCGTAGCAGTGTTTCCCGCCCTTCAAGGACGCAGTAAAGGAATGCCGTCGGACATTAAAATTTCGCCTGGCGGTCCTTTATCAGTTCACGCCTCTCGCCGTCCCAGGGCGTTAAGGTGGAACGCCCAGGCGGTTGTCTTACCAGTGCGCTGTTGCGTTTGCTTGCAGGAGGACGACGAGGACGAGATGGTGGTTGAGGTGGAGGAGGACGAGGACGAGGAGGACCACGACGACGACGACGACGCGGTGGTAGAGGACGAGGACAGCGAGGAGGAGGACGACGAGGAGGACAGCGAGGAGGAGAGCGCCGAGGCCAAACCGGAGGAGGAGGTGGAAGAGGAGGAGGAGTACGTGAGGAGGAGAGGAGGAGGAGGAGGAGGAGGAAGAGGAGGAGAGCGAGGAGGCGCCGGAGCTGGACCTCCACGACGACGAGCCCGAGGACGACGACGAGCGGCGCGCCAGGAAGAAGCTGCACGAGTCGGTGATGCGGAGGCGGAAGTGGAAGGAGGAGGAGGCGAGGATGAAGCGGAGGGAGGAGGAGAGGAAGCGCGCCGAGGAGGAGAGGCGCAAGGCGACGGAGGACGTGCGCAAGAGGAGGATAGAGGAGCTGCGCAAGAAGAAGCGGCAGGAGGAGGAGGCGCGTCGCCAGAAGGAGGACGAGGAGGAGCGAGAGAGAGAGGCCGAGCAGGAGAGGCTGCTGGAGGAAGAGCGCGCCAGGAAGGAAGCGGAGCTGCGCAGAGTCAGGTAACTAGCGTGTGTGTGTACCAAGGAGAAAACTGTCGCTCAATTGTGTTATTACGAGTGTAGCGAGTAGCACCCCTCGAGTAGTTTGTAGATGCACCACAGTGGGCCAGAAGACCGGTGGAGGCGGACAAAACTCTAGAGGCGTTTTGAGCTCCAGAGTCGCTAAGCAGGACTCGAACCGAACGCGTGACCCCATCAATGGATTCCTCGTTCGGAGAGCAATCCATTGGTGGGGTCACACATTCGGTTCGAGGCCTGATTAGCGACTCAGGAGCTCAAAACGCGTCTAGTTTTGTCCGCCTCCACGGGTCTTCTGGCCCTCTGTGTGCCCCCGAACGGCGTGTCTTGTTTTGTAGCTACGCGCCAGTAGACGTTGTGTAGACCCCCGATGTTGTAACCTAACGATGAACGTGTGACATTGTCGCTCTCGTGTTCGGAGATTGACTCGTGTCGTGAAATTCTTGAAAAATTCGTTCCCGACACTTGAAACCCGAGAAACTGCTTTGAAGATGTGTGAATCGTTTCCCAAAAACCGGCAAGCTGCTCGTTCCCTGCTCTCTTCTGCTCTCTACTTCCGCTTCCGCCTCTCGTCCCGTCCCACCCGCACCCTCTCTCTAATTCTAATACGCCTCTGTCTGTCTCTCTACGCCGCCTGCCCAACATGTATGTGTCGTCCCAGCTCCTCTCTCTCTCGCCACCCAGTTTCAAGGGGCGGCTTTTTCAAAACGGTGTACCAAGAAGCATTGTCCGTTTCGTGGCGAACCATCGCGAGCCTCCAGTATCTTCCTTAAAAAATAAAAACACGCACCTGTAATTTGCTACTTGCTCTAATTTCTCATGTATTTAATACTTTGACGCGCAATACTTAAAAATACTTTAACTGTTGAAATGGAATATTAACTCAAGAACACCAGTGCGTTAATCAGTAACACCATGTCGTAGTCCTTGGAACCAACTGCCTTCTCCTTTTTGCAGAGAAGAGAGAGAGAAGGAAGAGCAGCGTCGACTGGAGGAGAAAGTGAGAGAGGAGCGGCGGCGGCGAGCAGAAGAGCAGCAGAAGGAAGAGGAGCGAAAGAGAGAGGAGGAGAGGCGGAGGGCGGTAGAGAGGCAAGAGGAGGAGGAGGAGGAGGAGAGGAAGCGGCAGGAAGCGAAGCAGAGGGAGGAGAGAGACAGGGAGGTAGAGAGAGAACGCAGCAAGAAGGCGGAGGAGGATGAGCGCAAAAGGAAGGCGGAGGAGAAGCGGAAACGGAAGGCTGAGGAGGAGGAGAGGGAACGGAAACGGAAGTTAGAGGAGGAGGAGAAGGAAAGGAAACGGAAAGCGGAGGAAGAGGAGCGGAAACGGAAGATAGAAGAAGAGGAGCGGAAACGAAAGTCGGAAGAAGAGGAAAAAGAAAGGAGGCGGAGAGCTGAAGAAGAACGGAAGAGAAAAGCGGAACAGGACGAAAAAGAGAAGAAACGGAAGCTAGAAGAAGAAGAAAAAGAACGAAAAAGGAAGTTGGAAGAGAATGAAAAGGAACGAAAACGAAAAGCGGAGGACGAAGAAAAAGGACGGAGAAGAAAAGTGGAAGAGCAGGAGAAGCAGTTGAAGGCAGAGGAGGACAGCAAAAGGAGAAAACAGGAGGAGGAGTCGAGAAAGAAAAAGGAAACAGAGGAGAAATCGACGGTAACAGAAAGAGAGGAAAAGACGAAGAAACGGTCCGGTGACGAAGCAAAGGGGAAAGTGACCGCGAAGGAGGACGACGAGGACGAGGAAGAGGACCTCACGTCCTGGATGTCCGGCTTCCCGGAGTTCTTCGCGCCCACCGCGGACGACGACGTCAAGAACGAGGAGTGCAGGAAGCAGAGCAGGATCTTCGTCCAGCACCTCGCCAAGTACAAGATGTGGGCGCTCAACAGTAAGTCAAGTCCACCTGTCCATGACCTGTCCGGCCGTCGCGTTTTGTTGTGATTGTTTTTTTAATTTGGTCGTGTTTGCCTCTGCAGTGTACGACGCCACGGCCAAGCTCCCCTCGGGCGTGCTCAGCGGCAACGCCATCCAGCTAGGCGACTTCGACGAGTGCCTCGGGGTGGACGTCCGACTGCGACAGCGGTACGGCGCACAGTGGGCCAGAAAAACCGGTGGAGGCGGTCAAAAGTCCCGCACGCGTTTTGAGCTCCAGAGTCGCTAAATGGGACTCGAACCGAACGTGTGACCCCACCAATGGGTTGCTCTCCGAACGAGGAGAGTTTTGGCCGCCTCCGCCGGTGTAAAGGGTATGGTGTACCCCCCTCGGATGTGTACCCCCCGGACACCAAACCCAGGCATGGTGTACCCCCGGTACACCATTCCTAGGAATGATGTACCCCCCCCCCTCGAGGCCAGGGGGTACACCAGTCCTAGGAATGGTGTACCGGGGGGGACACGATTCCCTTTGGCAGGTGTACCGGGGGGTACACCATTTTAGGCATGGTGTACCCCCTCCCCTTTAGGACAGGGGGGACACCAGTCCTTAGGCATGGTGTACCGGGGGGTACACTACCTTAGGATGGGTACCCCCCCCCTCGAGGGCAGGGGGTACACCATGCCCAAGGAATGGTGTACCCCCCGGGACACCTACCCAAGGAACGGTGTACCCCACTCGGGGCAAGGCCTTTATTTCCAGACATTTTTTGGGAAAAAATATTTCCAGATATTATCTGGAAAGCCTTTTTATTTCCAGATATTTATTGGGATTTAACATTTTCCAGATACTTTTCTGGAAAAGGTAGACACTTCCAGAAAAAACGAAAAAAATAAGGGGCATTTCCAGAAAATACCTGGAAATGAAAAAAAATATCGGGAAAAATTGCCAGACATCTTTTTGACCGTGTGTCCTAAAGGGGGAGGGGGACACCATACCTAAGGAATGGTGTCCCGGGGGGTACACCATGGGGGGTACACCAGCCTAAGGAAGGGTGTCCCCCCCGGTACACCTTTCCTAAGGACTGGGGGTACCCCCTGTCCTCAAGGGGGGGGTACCCCATGCCTAAGGAAGGTGACCCCCGGAAAACCAGTCCTAAGGACTGGTGTCCCCCTGCCCTCGAGGGGGGGGGGTACACCATGCCTAGGAATGGTGTACCCCCCGGTAACCATACCTAGGTTTGGTGTACCCCCGGTAGACGATGCCTTGGGTATGGGGGACCGGGGGTACGGGCCAGCCGGGGGGTACAACAACCCGGAGACACCGGTCTGCTGGTCCACTGTAACGCGGAGCCTTGCGCCAGCAGAGTCTCCTTCCTCGGCACGCTGACGGCCTGCTCGTCTGCCTCCAGGTCCGCGGCGGCCAGCGCGGCCAGCAAGGGTGACGAGGACGGCGACGACGCCGACGTGCTGGCGCGCGCCGCGTCCTGGTTCGCCGACCTGGTGCGCCCCGTGCTGGAGCCCGTGCTGGGCGCCAAGGAGGACCCCGGCCTGGTGCACATCCGCGGCCAGTACTGCCTGGCCGGCGTCGACCTGGAGCTGCGGCGCAACGACGCGGCGCTGCGGACCGCGCTGGACCGCAGCCTGGCGCACTCCTTCCTCAAGGGCTCGCTCAACGACGTACGTGGCGGAGGCGGCCAGACGCGTGCAGAGCTCCAGAGTCGCTAAGCAGGACTCGAACCGAACGTGTGACCCCACCAATGGATTCCTCGTTCGGAGAGCAATCCATTGGTGGGGTCACACGTTCCGTTCGAGTCCTGTTTAGCGACTCTGGAGCTCAAAACGCGTTTGGAGTTTTATCCGCCTGCGCCGGGCTTCTGGCCCACCACCCACCTTCAGCAATGAGTGACGGCCGCATGGCCGCTCTGTCTCTCTCGCTCTCATGGGGCGTGCCTAGGCAGCCTACACTCTAAATATGGGGTGCCCAGCAACTGGGCGCCTTTGTCGCCCGCCCCACTTTTTAGGGTGCCAAATGTCACCCAGTTTCTGGGCACCTTTGTCGCCCAGTCTCCGGGTGGACAAATCATAGAGTAACCGGTCCTCTCCCATGGTAGAGCATGCTCAGGTGTCTAGATCCTGGGCGACTAAGGTGACTAGATTCTGGGCACCTTCGGCACCTTAGTCGCTGCTGAGCCATGGGTGAAGGCAGGTTTCTTAATGGTTTGTCCACCCCGAGACTGGGTGACAAAGGTGCCCAGGAACTGGGCGACATTTGGCACTCTAAAAAGTGGGGCGGGCGACAAAGGCGCCCAGTTTCTAGGCACCCCATATTTAGAGTGTAGGGGTGCGAGAGAGACAGAGAGCGCGTTCTGGTTGCAGTCGGCGCACTTCGTGCCGCGGTTCCGCACGCTGGGCTGGGGCGTGTGCGTGCCCGAGGCGTGCTCGCCCCGCGACGTGGAGCTGGCGCTGCGCGGCGCCGTGTCGCGCTTCCAGCGTAGCGGCGCGTGGGGCGCGGGGCTGGTGCGCGCGCGGGTGGGGCTGCCCCGGGGCGCGTGCCGCGTGGCGCCCAGGACGCCCGCCATGCAGCGCCTGCCGCCCAGCTTCTTCCTGGCCGGCGGCGGCCTCGCCGCGCTGCTGCTGCTCGCCCTCGTCGCCACCATCAAGGACACCGGGCACGAGCCCGACGAGCTGGGCGGACGTGAGTGACGCGTTTTGAGCTCCAGAGTCGCTAAGCAGGACTCGAACCAAGCGTGTGACCCCACCAATGGATTGCTCTCCGAACGAGGAATCCATTGGTGGGGTCACACGTTCGGTTCGAGTCCCATTTAGCGACTCTGGAGCTCGAAACGCGTCTGGAGTTTTGCATCGGGGCCGCCGCCGTGAGTGCGACAGAGACAGAGCGGCTTGCTTCGCCGTGCTTGCAGTGTCCGGCGTGGTGGCTTCCTTCTCGCTGCGTCGCAACTGGAGCACCCTGACGGCCCAGGAGGACCCCGGCGCGGACGACATCCGCTGCATCCACGGCATCCGCTGCGTGTGCTCGCTGCTGCTGTACGCCGCGCACAAGGTAAGGTGGCTTCAGCCGCACGGTGGATTTGCCAGAAGACCGGCGGAGGCGGCCGAAACCCCGGACGCGTTTTGAGCTCCAGAGTCGCTGAATGGAACTCGAACCGAACGTGTGACCCCACCAATGGATTGCTCTCCGAACGAGGAATCCATTGGTGGGGTCGCACGTTCGGCTCGAGTCCCATTTAGCGACTCCGGAGTCACTTTGAACGTGAATGTTGCAGCTGGTGCCGCTGGCCGCGCTGCCGTTCAGCAACAGGCGGCTGCTGACGGTGCTGGCCGCGTCGCCCGCCTCGCTGCTGCTGCGCGGCTCCCTCATGTACACCGACACCTTCCTCATGCTGTCCGGCACACTGGCCGCCTTCCACCTCAGCAAGCACCTCAGCCGCGCCGGCAGCCTGGACTGGGCGGGCCGCCTGGCCACGCGCGTCATCAGGTCAGCGGGGCCATTAGTTTTTCGGCGGGGAAGATAGATTTAGCTTTTGTCGAACGCACAGTGGGCCTAAAGACCGGTGGAGGCGGCCAAAACTCTAGACGCGTTTTGAGCTCCAGAGTCGCTAAATGGGACTCGAACGGAACGTGTGACCGCACCAATGGATTCCTCGTTCGGAGAGCAATCCATTGGTGGGGTCACGCGTTCGGTTCGAGTCCTGTTTAGCGACTATGAGGCTCAAAACGCGTCTGGAATTTTGGCCGGCTCCTGGAGCTCTGTCTAACGAGCTTTTGTTTTTCCGGCGCAGGCTGACGCCGACGCTGGGCCTCGTGACGGTGGCCTACGCCTACGTGCTGGAGCACATCGGCACGGGCCCACTCTGGGGGCAGCTAGTGGAGGAGAATGGGCGCATCTGCAGGGAGCACATGTGGCGCAACCTGCTCTACGTGCACAACCTGTGGCCCTTCGAGCAGATGGTGGGTGCCCACTCTGTCTCTCTCGCACTGCGTCGCACTGCCACTCGGAGGCCCCACGATGACGCCTGTCTTTGTCTAGTGCGCGCCGCACACGCACCAGCTGGCCCTGGACATGCAGCTGTCGCTGCTGGTGCCGCCGCTAGTGTGGCTGCTCGTCAAGGCCTGGCCGCTGGCCTCCCCCGTCATCGTGGTGCTCGTCGGCGGCTCCACGTGGCTGCGGCAGCAGGCCGCCCTGCAGCACAACGTCAGCCTGCTCATCTACAACGGGGCCAAGTACGCGGCCCGTCGATCCTTCTCACTCGCAGCTCGCTCCGCAGTGGGCCAGAAGACCGGTGGAGGCGGCCGAAACTCCAGACGCGTTTTGAGCTCCGTAGTCGCTGAATGGGACTTAAACCGAATGTGTGACCCCACCAATGGATTGCTCTCCGAACGAGGAATCCATTGGTGGGGTCACACGTTCGGTTCGAGTCCCATTTAGTGACTCTGGAGCTCAAAACGCGTCTACAGTTTTGGCCGCCTCCACCGGTGTCCATGAGTGCGAGAGAGACTGACGCTCTTCTCGTGTCGCAGGCCGGCTGACCTGTACCGCGCGGCCGACGTGTCGTACATCCAGGCGACGCACCGCGCCTCGGCGTACCTGGCCGGCGTGGCGCTGGGCTACCTGCTGCACCGGGTGCCGAGGAAGCTGCAAGTGCCCAAGGTGCGTATAAGTGCCCCGGTGCACCCGTGCTGAAAGGGTTGCAAACCATACTCTGCCGCTAAAAAGGACTCGAATGGGCCTCGAACCGAACGTGTGACCCCACCATTGGACTGCTCTTCGAACGAGGAATCCATTGGTGGGGTCACACGTTCGGTTCGAGCACCATTTAGCGACTCTGGGGCTCAAAACGCGTCTAGAGTTTTGGCCGCCTCCACCGGTCTTCTGGCAAATCCACTGTTGCAGGTGCTGCTGGCGCTGGGGTGGCTGGCGAGCGCGTCGCTGGGCGGCTGGGCCATGTTCAGCCAGCGGCACGTGGCGCGCCTCGACTACCGCCTGGACGTGGCCGACGCCGCGCGCTTCAACGCCCTCGCCCCGCTGGCCTGGGCCGCCGCCATGGCCTGGCTCATCTTCGCCTGCTACACCGGCCACGGAGGTACAGTGTGTACACCGCACAGTGGGCCAGAAATCGGCGGAGGCGGTCAAAATTCTAGACGCGTTTTGAGCTCCAGAGTCGCCAAATGGGACTCGAACCGACCGTGTGACCCCACCAATGGATTGCTCTCCGCACGAGGAATCCATTGGTGGGGTCACACGTTCGGTTCGAGTTTAGCGACTCTGGAGCTCAAACCGCGTCTAGAATTTTGGCCACCTCCACCGGTCTTCTGGTTCACTGTGCGTTCGACAAAAGCTAACTAACCTGCAACTTTTCGAGAGGAAAGCAGGCGCCCCAGCAGCCGTGGGGCGTCCTGTTCAAGTGGGAGATAGACATGCGTAACCTCGCTGGTTGTTCCTCCAGGCGTGCTGGACCGGGTGCTGTGCGCGCGGCCGCTGGTTCTGCTCAGCAGAATATCCTACGCCTTCTACCTCGTCCAGTTCCTCGTCTTCTTCTACAACGCCGGCTCCGTGCGCTCGCAGAGGGAGTTCAGTGTGACGGCGGCGGTGAGTCCCCGACACATAGTATACGCCGGCGGCCAAAACTCTAGACGCGTTTTGAGCTCCAGAGTCGCTAAATGGGACTCGAACCGAACGTGTGACCCCACCAATGGATTCCTCGTTCGGAGAGCAATCCATTGGTGGGGTCACACGTTCGGTTCGAGTCCCATTCAGCGACTCTGGAGCTCTGCACGCGTCCGGGGTTTCGGCCGCCTCCGCCGGTCTTCTGGCCCTGACACTGAGCTGGCTTGCAGCTGGACCTGTGGGAGCTGGTGCTCGTGCTGGCGCTGGCCACCGTCGTCACGCTGCTGGTGGAGCTGCCCATGCAGAGCGTGCGTTCCGCCCTGGGCAGCAGCAAGCGCCGCCAGAGCCTCAAGTGGGAACCCCCGAGCACCCCGACCACGCCGTCGCCGCACGGTGAGCAAACCGAATGCCGCGCCGAAATGCCACATTCCAAAGATTGGCAAGCCACGATCTGAAATCTTGACCAGCTTGCCAGTGTTTGGCGCTTCGGACGCATAGTGGGCCAGAAGACCGGTGGAGGCGGCCAAAACTCTAGACGCGTTTTGAGCTGCAGAGTCGCTAAATGGGACTCGAACCGAACATGTGACCGCATCAATGGATTGCTTTCCGAACGAGGAATCCATTGATGCGGTCACACGTTCGGTTCGAGTCCTAGTTAGCGACTCTGGAGCTGAAAACGCGTCTAGAGTTTTGGCCGCCTCCACCGGTCTTCTGGACCACTGTGGGCCGGCTGCAATGCCAAATGTCGGCGAGGAGGGGAGTATTTCAGGTCCAGGCTTGCCAATTTTCGGCATTCAATCCGGCTGACCAATTTTGCGGCAAGCAAACTTGCCGCCGCATTCGCTGTGTGCTCACGGACTTTCTTGTCATTAGAATTGGCAGCCGCTTACTACTACAACCTAAGCACGGACGTCTACACATCTCACGCCAAAAAGGAGTGAAGACGGGAGTCTGCCGGCAGAGTGCCAGCGGTCCAGATAACCGTTCGTCAAGGGCCGAAGTTGCGACGCTCGGAGGAAAAGACTTAACTGCGACGTGAGTCGGTTCGTTTATGTGGCTGTGTTTCCCACGCTTCTCGCTCGTCAAGCTCTTTGCGCGCCAAAAGCGCGGTGCACGAACCAAGAAGCGCGATCTAAGTAACGCACTGAGACCTCTTACTGTTAATAGGTAATACTGCGAAAAAAAAGTACAGAAAAAGTACGGAACATGTGTGGTCAATAATTTGCCTGGACCGTCCGTACCTGTCCTACTACGGAACTTCTGTACTTTTTTTCCGTACCCGATTACATGAGTTCTTATGGGACAAGTACGGACGTTCCGTACTTTTTTCCGTACTTTCGTACTATATTCGTCTGCACCTTTTCCGTACGAAAGTTCGCAATTTTTTACAGTATGCTTGAGGACGGCAATTTCCACTAGACGAGTGGTAGGTGCATTGAAACAAAAATCTTGACATACTGCCATAGGCTCATGACATTGCCGCCACACATTTTATGTTGTTTTGTACATATTTTTTTTTATCAGTGTGACCGATTGTCTCTCTGCTGAGTCGAGTGGTTTACTGCGATCTCAAACTTCTTCTTCCTCATACGTTTCGAATAAGGTTGTATGTAGAGAGAGCGCTGTGTCATTTTACTCGACTGTGAGAATCATCTTGCTATCAGTGTCAATATTTCATCATTCATCAGAATATATTTAATAAGACCTAAGTTGTGTTTTCTTCCACCGAAACCATCCCACCACTTTTTAAGGGGGCACACCAGTGAAAATCACTAGTGGCCCATTTTTTTTTTTTATTTTTTTTTTTACTAATCATTCCGAGTCGAACGCCACAAACCCCACCTCTGAATTCAAATTACTTTGGCTTTTTAAGTTCTCAAAGAGTTAACTTTTATTTATGGGCTTTTCCCTTTAGGTGCGAGAGGGACACAGCGATGAAAACGACTCTCCGAATCAGTCTGCTAGTCAGTGTCTTTTCTTTGCCGTATTGTTGGTAAATAGTCCATTTTACACATTTGATTTGAAAGTATTGTTCTCCTAAAAGTAAGTATTTTCCCCTCCCGCTTTAAAAAAAAAAATTAGCCATTATCCTGCAGAAGATTTTGTTTGGAAATGTAAACGTCGCGTTGTGGACGGACAGCACTGTGATAAAACCCAAAGAAAACAACAAAATATTCAAACAGCAAGTTTTTTCTTAATTTAAAGGAAGTTTTATATTTATTAGATTAAATTAACCCGAAACAAAAATCTAAGTACCAATGATCGTCCTTAGGAACAAAACGCTTCTTAAACTATTTAACTGTTTTAAATCTCGTCGTTGTAGTTGGTTCGGCCGCTAGCTTTGGGAAAAAGTGTCCTGCAGGACCTTTCCAGGACACGCTCTCCGAAATCGGCCAAACGTAAACATTGTTCTTTGTTCTCTTCACTCTCGACGAGCTAAGCATGAGATTTTTACGTGACTCCGCCTATTTTTCCTGGTGAAGCTTGGAGTGATGTCCCCCCTTAACTTGGCTTTCAGGCGGCCTTGGCACTTCTTCTGCGGAACTTGACTCGCGTTCCGCCCACGAGATGGGACGAGAGGTCGAAGTACATGTTGTCGATGAGGCTCTGCAGGTCCTTGTGGTCGTCGGCGGGCAGAATCTCCAAGGCCCTGAGCGTGGTGGCGAGGAAGATGGTCATGTTCATCACGGCGTACTTGCCCCCGATGCACTTCCTGGGCCCCATGCTGTAGGGCATGTACGCGTAGGGGTGGCGGTCCTTGCTGCGCTCGGGCAGGAAGCGGTCCGGGTCGAACACCTCGGGCTTGTCCCAGTACCTGGGGTCGCGGTGCACGGCGAACATGTTGAGGAAGACGGTGGTGCCCGCTGGGATGGTGCGCCCGCACACCTTGGTCTCCTCGTAGCACTGCCGAGCGACGATGGGGATAGTCGGGAGCATGCGCATCACCTCCTTCATCACGCGATTAAGGTAGTGGAGCCTGAAAAAAAAGGAGGTGGTTACGGGGTCATTTATTTGCTTCATATTGTCGGCAAATGCATGTGCATAGTGTTCACGCCAAATAATTTTCCCAAATTTTAAGTGAAATTGTCTGCGAACCGATTAGTGGGGCCGTTCACGCATCAGGAAAATTGGCTTGGTAACAAACATTCAGTTAGTTGAAAACTTATGCCCTTGGCTGACCATTTATCGACAATCTACTTTCGACACATAATTTTAGTCGCAAATAAACCAGAAACGAACTCCCAAAATTTTTATGGTAATGATGCTGCGCTTTATGATAGAATAAACGAATCCTGAGTGTGGAAGTCACAAGTAGCCAGCTATCGACGACTTACTTTCATCAAAATTTCGAAAAAAAGTCCCATATTTGGTGCATCTGAATCTAAACTTCGAATAGTTAAATACGGTGTCATTTGCACACTGCGTGTTTACGGATGTTTTTTTTTTATTTTTAATTTTATAGGCGCTGCTTGTCAATAATTTATAAACTGTGAGTAATAGTAAACTTTTTGAAACAGGATGAGAATCAAATCAGCTTTTTTAAAGCTGCTGATTCCATTCATTTTGTTGGCTAGAACATACTGGTATTTTTTGGAAAGCAGAGGACATTGATTATCAACCAAATTCGTTGGAAAGCGAAAATTTGGAGCAACGGAATTTTAGTCGTATTTACAACAACAATTTTGAGAAAACGTGAAATTCTGGAGAATGCATTCAGAGCCCTTATAACACACATGATAGTTGAGGTGTCTACACTCTGAAAACCTTACAAACTCTTTAATCATTACGAAGTAAAGTAACTTCATATGATAAAGTATTTTCAGCATAGTTAAGCATACAAAGTAATTAGTTCGTAATTTACGAATTATGTCTTGGCATACAAACTAGATAGTTTGTACCTGCTCAAAATTGTTGGTAAGGTTTTAAGCGTGTACTTCAGTAGCACTCACTGAGGCAGGTCCTCGAGGGAGATGGGCCTGTCCCCGATCACAGAGTCCAGCTCGGCGCACACTTGTTCCTGCACGTCGGGCAGCAGCGACAGCGCCTTGAGCATCCAGGCCAGCGTTGAGACCGTCGTCTCCACGTTGGCGCCGAAGAACGTGATGAGTTCGTCTCGCATGGCGCTTTCCTCCACAAGCTCTTGCGCCTCCGCGGGGGGGTCCAACATGATGTCCATGAGTGTCTTGCGCGATTGCACGTAATCACTATCGCCCTTAAAGTTTCTGATTTCAGCCTGCTTCTTCTTTATGAACCTGTTGCAAAGTTTGTCAACAACGTCCTTGTATTTGTGCACTGTCTTGCCAAGCGGAGTCAGTGCGAACACTCGATCGGACCACAGGACCGGGTTGAAGGACCTTTTGTTAACGGTTCGCAAGAAGAGTTCTATAAACGAGCAGACGTCTATGAGCTGGTCTTCGAACTCAGAGCTGTCCGCGGACATGGAGGTGCGCAGGAAGTTTCTCACGGAGGCTTTCTTCAGGTTTTCCACCACGTCCACGTCCTTGCCGACCTCGACGCGGTCCACGTAGCCCATCGCCTCCTCGCGGAAGATGTCCACGAAGCGGTTCAGGACCTGCTCGTTGAAGCCCGGCTCGAGCCACTTGCGGTGCGCCTTCCACTCGGGGCCGTTGAGCTGCACCAGGCCCTTCTTGGCGATGATGTGGAGCAAGCCGTAGAAGAATCTGGACTTGTCGTCGAACTTCTTGCAGCGCACCACCTCGCTGATCTCATCCGGGTCTTGCACCACCACAATCAGATTGTTTAAAATGGAAAAACGGCACAACTCCCTCCGGCCGCCTACCATCCGAAGCAGAGTCTGCAACACCGTGTCCGGGGTCACGGAGATGAACTCGAGCGCGTTGCCGAGGAGGAACAGCGAGGGCGGCCCGGGGATGGCCATCTCCAGCTTCCTGAAGTGCAGGTAGCTGCAGAGGAGCCGCGTCAGCAGCACCACCACGGTGAAGGCCACCGCCAGCCCCATCACTTCGGTCACCACGGTCATGTCTGCTCGCTTCGTCCGCGCTGTGGACACTGAGCAGCCAGTGTCTAGGGCCGCGTGGGACCCCCTCCGGGACCCCCTCCGGGACCCCCTCCGCCGCGCGGCCACTTGCCTAGACGGGGCGGGAGTAGCTTCGTTCGTCAGGTCGCTTAGCTCGACGCCATGTGTCCGACCATTCAATTTTCAGTGTGTGCCGATTTTGAATGGAATTGGCCACATGTCTTGTTTTGCACGATTTCCCCGTAAAAGGCTGGTCCTCCTTTCCCAGCGCAGTGGAACGAAGCTAGTAAAGAATTGAGAAGAAAATCGCGGCTATAAGAAGAGGCAGCTCGCAATTTCATTTTCTCAGTCAAAAGGAAAAGACACAGTAACGCTCCCACCACCTTTTCTCCCTGAAGGGCTGGAGGAGTGGGCGGGGCGGTACATACGCCCGGACCGACTGACCTGGCTGGTGGTGAACCAGGCACTGCGAGCGAACGGCATGGCAGCGCAACGCGGTGGCTGCAGCATGGCGGCGCCACACCGCGGGCAGGCGCTCAAACCCAGCAGGGTCACTCCACGATTAATGCGAGCTAGTCTTTGGGCCTGTTTGTGTACATAGCATTAGAGGTGAGGTCAGTGCCTCTGTATATTTGGTTGCCTACCCTTCTAACCACGTAGTCTTGTAAAAAAAAAAAAAACAGTTTTTTTGAAAGGCATAGCATTAGATCCGAGTTTGGAATCATTTTTAAAGCATACCATAAACGACAACTTGTGAATACACTTGAGTGCCAAATGTCACACTGTCATAACCTGTAATCACATGTTTTTGTGTGCCGTGGGCTTGGTAGCCCTGAAGTCATCCGAGTGGAATAGAGGTCTAGACGCGCGGCGGAGGACGCATTCTGTTTTCGAAGTCAAAATGTTTATTGTATCTTTTCAGACCGAAATTTGGCGTCATTCGTGAGGACTTTCGCGTTACTCTTAGGAACCTGCCACGCTTCCTGCGCGTACGGTTACGTGCTCTGGCCGAACGGTGTTAATGAGAATAATGGGAATAATTTGGTTTGCCTTGAGGGAAGTGTTCCTGACGCGGAAAGAAATAGTTCAAGTATGATCTGGCCCGCTGGAAGAGTCCGAAGGCAACGTCCACCCCTCAACCTTTAACGGCTACCGCCTGCACTTGACTCTAACGGTGAATCGGTTGGCTTTGAGGACGCTCTGCCACATTAAGAAAAAATAATTTGAAGAAGCCGGTTTGTTTCTCAAATAAAATAATTGGACTTAACGGCTTGCGGCGACATTCCAATAAGTTGCTTTGCGTTTCCGCAAGGCCAGACTCCCTCCAAGATTACTGTCCGCATCTCCTGAGAATCGTGCGCAAACAACGCGTGGTGCCGACCCATCACTCGTCTTGCCCAATTCGTGAATTCGGGTGCCTCCGGCATTGTTCCCGGCGTAGCTCGCGTGCGTCCCAATAGGCTGCAGAAAAACACCGGGTTTCCAGTGGGTCGTGTGACAACTGGCCGATTCGGCGAGTGGCCCTGCTTCCTCGCATTGGCTGGGCGTGGCATCGCTGTGGCATCGCTGCAAAACCATTGGCAAGTTCACTCCATTGGCGCTCCAGTGTGAATGCTATAATTTGCACTGTAAATATCTTAGGGTGAAACGCTGCACCACCACATTATGGTGGAGATTTTCTCCATCATATAAACAAAATTCGTCAAAATATGTATAAGGTTCAGTGATCTCAATGGTATGTTAGAAAGTCAGCTGCACCACCATAATATGGAACATTTTCCCCATAATATGTAGAAGCTTCACTGTACAACATTTAGAGTGTGGTCTTCTTGGATCGCCTTCTAAAACGCTAAAATTAGGCTAAAATTAGCCCGGGACGCTAAATTTTGTCAGGGCAAGAAGGCCAAATTCTGGCATTCCAATCGAAGCGCCACTAGAACGGCCAGGAAAAATGCCAGTGGATTTGTGGAGATGACGTATTCCTCAACAGAGATAGTGAGCTCGACCATGACGCACACCGAGCGGGCCGAGAGTTTCTGACCTTTTATTTTGCCGAATCTTGTCGGTCGTTCCGCGAGCCACGAATTCCGTGTTCGGCACCGCTCTTAAAAGAGGTGTAACCTGGTATTCAATACGCTTTGGTGACGTCTGGTGACGCCAACATAGCTTTTGTTTTTAGGAAGGGAAATTTCCTCTCACTCTTACCACTCTTTGGACAGTTTCGGTCTGTCACACTACTATTTCGACGGAACACAGACACATTCATTTTGAGCTGCGTTCTGCTTCGTTACCATGACGAAAAGTATTGAGATGAGCAACGTGAAATGCACCGCAAACTCTGTTAGTCACAAATTGCTGTCATTAAGAGTCAATCTGATCCTTATCACCGGGTTCGCCGAAGACTAAAGCAGACCTGTGTTTAGTCAATCAAACAGTTACGCTTGAAGATGTTACGCTTAAAATGACGAGAAATTCTCCTGTACAAGGAGATAGGCTTGGTGGATGAGCCTGGCGACACAACGGCCAAACGGCCATTTTCAATTTTGTCGAACAATCTGTATATCCTGTCTCAGCGTCCGATGTGCCATGACGTTTAGTGAGCACTTACAGGCGTTTCTGACGCAAAAGTGTGGGAATGTCTTCTCCTACACTGATTGTTCCGGTCCAGTGGGGGGCCAAGACGCGGCGACGACGGAGACTCCTGCGCACGGTTGGGCGGGTTCATGACATAACCGGAATAGCGCCTATTATCACACCCCCCACGACAGCAACCCGTCCTCTCAACCCGCAGGCAGGCGGCCGCAGGAAGCACGTGGCTTTGTGACGTCGCTGGGCTAGGCTTGGCTGGGCTGGGTGGGTCGCCGAGCCGGTCCACCAGGCTCTGCCAGGCTCCCGGTTTCGGCGGTTTCGGCGGTCAAAGTCAAGGTCTTTCCTCCGTTTCTGCCGTGTTCCGCCCCGTCTCTACCAGCTTCATGGACCACCTCGCCTAGCAGAGGACGCCTAAGGTGGACGAGTCCACCCGGCCACTTGCCAAAAACACTTTCCATCAGAGCTAAAAAAATTTGCACGAGCAGGAGCTGCTAAGCTTGTAACGGCAGCAATCTTTTTTTAGCTGTATGGCTTACTTACATGGTTCGCTGCACTGCGGGGGAAAAATTGAGCTGTGAATTTTGATGCCACTGTTCACTGCACCCTGAAAGCCCTGAAAGAAGGTTTCCCCGGAACTCACTGCGTCCCGGAGAACGGCGCTCACTGTGCGCAGGAAAACTCTCTGTCCTGACCCCGCAGGCCCACACAATCACAAATACCAGCCGCAATCTTCTTTTTTTCCTCGCTGTGTACGACACGCCTCACGCTACGGCACATGGAAGTACCACTACCGGTCGCAAAAGAACCCAAACCGCTCCGGCCGGGCCATGGCCCAGGCCGGCCCAGGCAGGACCGCGCTGTTTTCAAACTCCTACACGTGACAGGCACGTGTGTGGGGGGAGCGGCGTCAAGAAGCGTGCACCAAAGTGCCGGAGGACATAGTTGGGGCCCGGAGTGTGGAGCCACCAGAGCGCGAGGTGAGCTGGACTCCGGTCGCCCTAAATTACTAGGTAGTTTTTTTGTGCATGTAGCTTGTGCAACTTGAGCATGCGCGTGAAACGCACCAATTTATGCGCTACGGCACCCCGTTTCGTGCTTGCTTACGCACAAATTCTTGCATTCAAACCCATAATTTATATCAAAATTAATTTTCTGGGATAACTATGATGAAGCAAGAGAAAGTTAACTGAACACGTATTGAACCGACCGTCTTCCTCGGTATGTCCGGCCGTCTGTCATAGCGGCCTGGTCACACGGTGTCGCCAGGCCCGGCCCGGCCTAGCCCGGCCTGGGTTGGATTCTTCCGTAATACGTAGCCAGTGTACGGTCTTTAGTGGGAGACCCCTTGCATTTCTGTCACGCTCATGCAATGATTCTAGAAGCTTTGATGCCGTCAATTTGTGACGACATTGTAATTACTTGAATGTGATGACATGTCGCCCACTGCATTGTCGAAGTGACAACAAATTTTTGCAGCGTAGCTGCGCCGTGTGTCGGTCAAGGCATCTGAGGCACTGCTGGGCCGGGCCCACACGGACCCCTGCGACATGAAGGATAGGCTGGCCCGGCAAGCACCACTGCATGATGGGCTGCCTTGCTCGCAGGCGCTGCTCCCTTGCCTTGAAACAGGAATCCATTTTCTCGCACTCCCCTCAACTTGATTCCTTTGGGCTTACTTTCCAGAAAGATGTTTGTCTCTATCGCGATGCGTTTGGCCCAAACTAGATGAAACGTTCTTTGTCCACATTCAATTGTTTGTTTGTTCAAAGCACATCCGACGGTTCCACAGTTTTGTAGCCGTCTGGCGACAAAAATTGTTCCTTTTTGGACTTTGCCTTAAAAGTATACCCCAGGATTCACCCCGGCCCGAGATTCCCAAGGGGGTTTAGGGGGGCACCCCCGGAAATTTTCTATACGATTTTAATGAGACTTTGAAAACTTGGTAGACTTTGGAAAACGCTGATTCTCATCCCTGAAATCTGGTTAAAAAGTTGTGCCAATTTTGAGGAAAATTCCCCCCTGTCAAAATCCCCCCGGGGTTTCCATGGCAAAACTTCGACCTTGGGGTTAAAAGGAAAAAAGAGGGGGGGGCCGGCCGGGGGGGAAAACCCAAATTGCCGGGGGGCTTTTTTTGGGCGGGGTCGCCCCAAAACCCCTGAAATCAGCACGTTCAAATTGAAAAATTTTTTGGGGAGAAGGGAAGAAAAAAGGGAAAAAAAAAGGGGGTTAAAAGGTTTTTTCGGGTAAAACCCCTTATCCAATAATCTTTCCTTTGAAATTGGAAACATGTTTTGCAACCCAAAAAATTCCACCCCAAACCAATTTTTAAAGGCGGCGACTTGGTCCTTTGCTTTCGCTTTTAAAAGGGGAGAAACAGTGCCCTAAAATTAATTCCCCTTGCTTCCCCAAAAAAAATTTTAAATGAAGGGGCCCCCCGGGTGTTTTTTTTTAAATTTTTTTAAATTCAAAAACATTAAAATTTTTTAATTTTAATTTTTTAAAAATTTGTAAAAAAATTTTTAGGGCCATACCTTTAACCCTGTTAGTTTTTAAAACCCCTTTTAAATTTTAAACACCTTTCTTTCCTCCAACCTTAAAACATAACAAATTGATCGCTTAATTTAATCGTATTTTTTTGGGTTACTTTCGCTCTTTTAAAATTTGTGAGTACACGGAGTGCTCTAGTGATTCACCTCTCGGTCGCGGAGAGGTTCCACCAGGCGGAGTTTAGTGGGGAAGGCCAAGGCCCCCCCCCACTTTTCCCTCTCCCAGTCAGACATTATGAACGCCTGACTGACACCTCCTTTCCCCTCTGGAAACCCAGTCAGCCATGTCTGGGAACGGCCTGACCTGAAGGCACCCACATCACATTCCCCTGTAGGCAGGCAACCCATCCACCAGCCGGGCTGGCCTGCCTTTGACCTGTCGGCCTTCAACGCGGCCCCTATTACCTAGGCAACCCATCCGCCAGCCGTGCTAGCTTGCTGGCCTCTGCGCGGCGCTGGTCTATGTGTACGCTTGAAACTATTTTCCAAATTGCCATTTCCGGAGGAGCTTGATTCAATCTCGGGGGGGCTGGGGTTCGCCCCCCCCCCCCCCCAGGCCCTAGATAGTCGCCTGAAAGGTAGGCAAAAAGTGCTACTTTGCTTCCCCCCCCCAATAGGCCGCCTCTGGATCCGCCACAGCCCACTGTGTGTGTGCGAGAGAGAGAGAGAGAGAGAGAGAGATGAAAGGGGTGTGTGTTCTCGTGGCACTCGGAGAGCGACCGTTACTCCAAGGGAAGGTAATCTGGGTTCCTTCTGTTACCAAATTGACTAGGAAAACTGGACGTTTCCTCGCAGGGTAGCACTTCCGCGGCATTTTGCTGGACTGCCTGCTAGACTGGCTCACCTTTGTGGAGGGGCGATGCCAGGGCGATGCCAGGGCGATGCGGACGTCGCGCTTTGCCCGAATCCCGCCGACCGTTCCAGTGCAAAAACGTCTGCTGGCGTCACACTGCAAAACCCAAGGCGGAATAGGCTGTGGGCACAAGGACTAGTTTCGTATCTGCACCACAATCGCCAAACTCTTCACTCACTAAATTACTGTGCACGGGCCGAAGCGGGTCCAATAAGGTTTCGTTTCACATTGAAGCGGGTGCGAAACGGGGTCAGTTGGGGGTAATTTTGGGACACGGGGAGAAAATGAGAAAGCTTTTTTTAAAAAAAAAATATATAAAAAATGAGACAGACCTCATATTTTAGAGCTTATGCCAGACTATAAATTATTTTCACGATAAAACTATGACGTTTGGCAGAGCATGAGTTCTTAACTGCCAAATCTTGTTCAGAAAACAGCCGTTCCATTTTTAACCAGTGTCCAAAACTTACCCCAACTGACCCGAGTACGAAGGTGACATGGTTCACATTGAAACGAACGTGACGTCACGTTGAAGAGCCAAGATGGCACCAAAGAACAAAGTTCGATTTCCAAAAATGTGACGTCATATGACCCTTGAACTCCTCGGACCCATCGCAGACAGGTTAGAGGCAAGGCGGCGCGGAGTGACGTCTATTCGGAGACAGGTCTTTATGGGCGTAACAACCTCAAACTCAACCGGGTTTGTGACGCGGCAAACCCGCCAAATTCAAACGCGTCATTTCTTGTTCGCGCGTCATCATCTCTTGTGTACCAGTTGCCTAACTACGTACTTTGTGGGTGTTAAAGGTGCACTCTTTTCGCCGCCTTGAATTAATGTGCACGAAAAAATCTATGAATCACACGTTTAGCGGCACAGCAAAATACGCGACAGGCAGGCGCGGAAACAGAGGGGGGAATAGGGGGAGGAATTTATGACACCTAGACAGCCGGCGTAAAGACAGGAAAAAAGCCACACTTTGTGAGTAGGCAAATTTCGAGCCCCCCTAAAAGCCGCCTCGGCCAGGAAGACTTCCTGCCTAGGGGCAACCTGGACTAACCGGACGGGAGGCTGGCTGACGTGTGTGTGTGTGTGTGTGTGTGCGTTGGTGTGCGCTCGTGTGTGCGCATGTTGTATCGAAATGGTGGGGGATTAAGGAATCGAAATGGTGGCGGGGGAGATCTCTACCAGCTACCCGAGCTCGGCTGGAGCGGCACTTGATCAGAGTCGTGCTATCGATACCAGAATCTGGTGCGAACAAGACGCTCTGTTTCTCGCGTTTGTCCTTACAATGGTGGCCCCTCCGTCCTCCGAAGGCCTGCAGATGCCCGCAGGATGGAGAGTGTCTGCAAACCAGCGTAACAAGGTGCTAGCTGATCTGGGAACAGATGAGGAGCGCCTGGACATCGACGCCAGAAGTATCCGAGCTTGGGTCAACATGCAGCCACACTTGCCGTTCCTGCCAGGTGAGCCTCACTGCTAATTCATAGCATACCCACTGCCGTGCAATACTTTACTTACTGAAATATTTTGCGATAACGATTTCTCAGTGTTGGCGATAAGAAAACGCCTTTCGCAGTAAAAATTTGTGAAAAAAATTGTGGCTGATTGCACATTTTTGGAAGAATGATCGAGTGGAGATTGGTCGAGTAGAAATCGTGGCTCAATTGCAGCATGTAAACTGTGGGTATTGCTACTGAAATCATACTGCAGAAGTGCAGGATGTTATCGAAGTGTGTTCCATCCGTTTTGCAGAGTCTGAGATCACCTGGATCAAACACTACCTTCTCTGCTGCAAGAACTCCATGGAGAAGACCAAGCAGGGTCTCGACCAATACTACACGGCCCGCACCGCGCACTACGACTTCTTTGGCCGCTACAACATTAACGAGGAAGAACTGATCAAATATGGCAAATTCATGTACGTGCTCTGGGAAAAAAATGTTGCCGAAGGAACCGTTTTAAATTCAGGAACTTTCTTTTGAAGTCATCCAATAATCATCCTAAATTCACGAAGGATCTTCCTGAATTTACCAACGTTCCTTCGGCAACATTCGCCCTCGTGAATTCACAATGTATTTCTTACGGTGTAGTAGTTTGTTTAGAAAAGTCTAAACGTTTGTGTACCAGTTTGTACGTGGTGCAGCATGATTTAAAACCTGTGAAGGTCTCGCATGAAACTGTGCTCAAATTTGCATAGATTTAAGCATCTTTTACGCATGGCATGCAAATTCCGCGAATGCACAAAGTGGTACAAGTTACACGCACCAAATTGTACATAAACATTTCTGGAGAGACTCACAGGTTCTGTTGATTGCAGGTCCATTGGCATCTCGAAGGAGCTGACGCCGGGCCTGCGACGGGTGCTGGTGGCGCGCAACAGGAGCGAGGAACAGACCGAAGAGGACTTCTCACGCATGTGCAGGCTGAACCTACTCAAGGCTGATGCACTGATTCGCATGGACGTGAACGCCGGCTACGAGGTGGTCCTGGACCAGAGCGACTTCACGCCCGGCAACGTCAGACTGCTCATCTTGGGCCTCAACGTGCTCAAGACCTTCCTGGCCTGCGTTCTGGTGAGGATGGTTTTTGCGACAGGGTGTTGCCGGCATTTCCGGAACTAGTTTCCCCGTTTCGAGAATGAGAAGCTAAAATTGCTTCAAATTCGCGTGAATTCAATATACAATCAATCGTCGAATCCAAAACATTATTCCAATCTAATGTCAACTCGAGCGTGACTGTCACATGACTGCCGCGGCTCGCTCAGTGGCTGCACAGTTTTTGCCTACGCACAGAGGCAAAGTGTGGCTCTTTGCCTACCTGTCAGGCGGCTTTTCAGGGCCAATTGTCCTTCTACCCTCGGCTAGATCCGCGCTTGTGCTTTGTACTCGATTAACGCGTAAATTTTTCCAGGGTTCCGTTCCTGCCAGAGTGAACCACGTGCACATCATCAACTCACCTTCCTCCTTCCGAACGGCCTTCTCGCTCTTGCAGCCCCTGCTCAAAGAAAAGCTGAAAAACCGGGTAAGCAAGAAGGCCTCGTCCTCGACTGGGCCCTAGGGGTTGCCTTGAACTTGAAGCATTGTGTTTCGAGCCTCCCCCGTCCCGGTGTGTTCGTCACGAGTAAATTGTTTGATTACAACTGAAAAAAAATGGCAATTTGCCTTAGGTGACGCTGCACGAGGACCTCAAGAGCCTCTACTCCCACGTGCCTCCGCAATACCTGCCCAAGGACCTGGGTGGCGACCTGCCCTCCTGCGAAGAGATGGAAGGTGAGAGCTTGTGGCGCCCAGAATTCCTGCGAGCTGCCGGTTCGAATATCATTATTTTTCGGACCTCTTAACTTTTCATCCTATCTATAGATAAGCATGGAGGCCTTAGAGCTGTGCTTAAATTATTCAAGCGTAACGCCTATAGCGTCACGCCCTGACTTTATCGGTGGTGAAACGACCAAAACTCGGCTCCTACGCACGTCTCGCTCGCATTCGCACAGGCCTGTGCGATAGCGGAAAAAAGCGCCTTTCTTTCGCACGCACGACACCGGTCCGTCGGTCCGTCCTCCCAGAGCACGTGGCGTGCCGCGAGCAGCGGAATCATCCCGAGAGTCGTTTTCGTCTCTCTCTCTCTCTCTCTCTCTCTCTCTCTCTCTCTCTCTCTCTCTCCTCTCTCTCTCTCTCCCTCTCTCTCCCTCTCTCTCGCTACCCCACGCAACGCCCCTTGCGTGCGAGAGTGACAGAGCGACGAACGCGACGCTGAGTCTGCGGGAGTGACGTGGCTAGGCTGGCGTGGCGTGGCTCGCCCAGCCGGTCCGACCGGGCTCGTAGTTTCGGCGGTCAAAGTCAAGGTCCTTCCTGTGTTCCAGCGGAGTTCCGCCCCGTCCTGAGCAGTTTCGCCAGCCACTACGCCGTGCAGAGGACACTGAAGGTAGACGAATCCAAGAGGCCAGGCGGCCCCTCCAAGATGCACGCCGATGCACAGTTCGGCTGCGAAGGCAGCTTCAGAAGAATGGCACTAGACTAGTTGACGCGTTTCGTGTCGGCGGCAGCCTGGCCGCCTCAAAAATTTAAGACTGTGATCGCTGTGTGAAAGTCTACACTCCGTTACGAGGGAGATGGTTGGATTGTGCATTCCAAATCATTTTGTTTCCGATGCGAAGCATTGTCTTGTAACTTTCCCTTGTTTTTCGGAAAACCCTCCAACTCACGCTGCAGCCCAGCCATTTTCTCAAAATGCTTCCTAAAGATTTAAATACGTCTCCATACCATAGACCACTCACTTTGTTCTCTCGTGTAGACTTCAAAATTTACTCGATCGACGTTGCGAACATGAAAGCGAAATGTCATCCGGGAAGGTGTTGCCCAGTCCACTGTGTGATAGGAACTGAGAAGGCACGTCTGTGTTATTTGTCTATCGTAATTTTATGTAAGTTATTTTTTTAGTTATGTAAATGTAATTATTATGAAATGCTAGGCCAGCATTTCTCGTCCTGTTCTTAGTCTGTAAATAACGATTAAAGCGTGCACGCTTTCAGTCGGAGTAGAAATAGTAATCGCGACAACGTGGTTGTCACACACAACCAAATGTTATTTTCATTAAAATCCTGCTCGTACCATTTGGATCCTTTTTTTTTCCTGCTGACCTGCAGCGAGGACACGTGGGCCAATCCAGGCCACCCCCAACCGACAGGTCCACAAACCCGGCGACTCAAACACAGTATCAACGTTCTTTAAAAAAAAAAAAAGCATTTACCGTTCTAAAAACACAAACATTTCCATCAGTTTTTTTTTCAGAAGTAACCGCCTAAGTACAGTTCTCAATTCACACGCGATACTTTTACAAGACAAGTCGTGATTGAAGTTATTTTTCTGACAGAAATTGCCGTGACTTTTTAAATTAGGAAACACCCTCATCGAGGAAACGAAGGTTCTTCATATTTTTCTATCATCCTGTCTCACTGTCCTGAAGGATGGCAGGTTCGAAAAGTCAGCAAGCGCGGATCCACCGGGGGGGGGGGGGGGTCGCAAAAGGACAATGCCCCCCCCCCTGACCCATAGATAGCCGCCTGAAAGGTAGGCAAAAATCACCACTTTGCCCCTGTAAGTAGGCACAAAAAGTGCTACTTTGCCCCCCCTTGGGCCGACTCTGGATCCGCCACTGATAGTCAGACCATCCAAACCTGAGCTTAACTTTGCTACTTGGTTCGTTGCTCCTTGCAGTTCGAGGCCCGTTTAGCGACTCTGGAGCTCAAAACGCGTCTAGAGTTTCGACCGCCTCCACCGGTCTTCTGGCCCACTGTGCAGTGTGCGGCCTCTTTTAGGCTCGCCAGCCAGGCAACCGCTGTCTGGCCAGCCGGAAATTCGGTACTCGCCGCAGGAGTACAAGCATGCTGACACTTAAATGTATCATACGCGTTGCTCCCGAGGAGTAGGAGTGGGCCGGCCGGCTGCTCGGAGACGCCGCGACGCCATGGCGGCCAAGGAATGGCCAGTCGCGACCGGGAGCGCAGCGGAGCCCAGCGGAGCGCACTCCTAGATGGCAGCCCTCACGTTGGTGCTGGCGGGGCTGGCGGCCGGCGCCGCGGCGCTGCTGCTGGCCGCCCTGGTGCGGGCCGCGCTGTCCTACGCGGAGTTCAGGAAGCTGGAGCTGGCCATCCCCGGCCCCTTCTCGCTGCCCGTCCTCGGCAACGCCCTCACCTTCGCCACCGTCACCCAGAACAACATCTTGGAGACGTGCCTCCGCGTCATCGGCGGCCGGCGCGAGCTGTGCCGCATGTCGCTCTTCAACCACCTGGTGGTGGTCGCGTCCGACCCCGAGGACATCGCCCAGGTCCTCAAGCGCAAGGAGTTCAACGACAAGGCCCAGTTCTTCTACGGCTTCATCCGCGCCATCGCCGCCAAGGGCCTGCTGCAGATCAACGGGCCCGACTGGAAGGTGCACCGCAGCGCGCTGGAGCCCGCGCTCGCCAAGGACGTCATCGAGCGCTACATCGACGTGTTCTCGGAGGAGGCGGACAGGTACGGCGCAGTGCTTCCCGCATCAACGGCTAGAGATACAAATGTTTTGCAAAATTTTGACGACCCCTGGCTAGCAAATTTTATTTGAGATAGGGCTACTCCCGGGTCGACTCTCTCTCTCTCTCTCTCTCTCTCTCTCTCTCTCTCTCTCTCTCTCTCTCTCTCTCTCTCTCTCTCTCTCTCCCTCTCTCTCTCCTCTCTCTCTCCTTCTCTCTCCCTCCTCCCTCTCTCTCTCTTCTCTCTCTCTCTCTCTCTCTCTCTCTCTCTCTCTCTCTCTCTCTCTCTCTCTCTCTCTCTCTCTCTCTCTCTCTCTCTCTCTCTCTCTCTCTCTCTCTCTCTCTCTCTCTCTCTCTCTCTCTCTCTCAGGCGTTAACGAGATTGAATGGCAGGTTCTCCAAGAGCATCCCCCGGGAGGTCCTGGACGTGCACAAGGCCCTGGCGCTGCCGCTGGTGCGGATCTTCACGCGCACCTCCATGATGACCGACGACCTGGACTCGGCCGACGAGCAGCGCCTGCGGGACTCGGTGCAGCTCCTCGACCAGTGCCTGGCGGCCGTCAACGCGCGCAGCTTCTCGCCCTGGCTGTGGCCCGACTTCGTCTTCAACAGGTAGGGCCAGAAGGCCGGTGGGGGCGGTCGAAACCCCGGACGCGTTTTGAGCTCCAGAGCCGCTAAATGGGACTCGAACCGAACGTGTGACCCCACCAATGGATTGCTCTCCGGACGAGGAATCCATTGGTGGGGTCACACGCTCGGTTCGAGGCCCGTTTAGCGACTCTGGAGCTCAAAACGCGTCTCTTGTCCGGCGGCGCTTGACTGGCGCTTTGCTTGCGCAGGACGAGCATGGGGCGCAGCCTGAAGCGGCAGCTCGCCAACATGCGCGAGTACGTGGACGCCTCCATCGTGCAGCGCCGGCTGCAGGCCGTGCGCGACGCCAAGGTCTGCGACGTGGCCCTCGCCCGCAAGCAGATCCTGCTGGACAAGATGCTGCAGAGCGAAGCCTTCAGCGACCAGGACATGATGGACGAGATCGTCACGTTCCTCAGCGGCTCCACGGACACGTCCATCGCCACGCTCAGCTTCGCCTTCAAGATGATGTCCATCTCGCCCGAGATCCAGGACCGCGTGCGTGCCGAGGTGGATGACGTCCTGGGCGTCGGCGCCGACGCGCGCTGCGTGGACCTCCACGACTTGCCCAGGTGAGGAAAGACGAAGTGGTGACGTTCGTGCGGGCCTTGCGTGCGACTCATTACATTGCCGAAACAGCCAACCAGCTTTGACAACGCTCGTTGTAGGTTGAGTCTCCGGCGCACAGTGGGCCAGAAGACCGGTGGGGGCGGCCAAAACCCTCGACGCGTTTTGAGCTCCAGAGTCGCTAAACAGGACTCGAAGCGAACGTGTGACCCCACCAATGGACTGCTCTCCGAACGAGCAATCCATTGGTGGGGTCACACGTTCGGTTCGAGTCCTGTAATCGACTCTGGAGCTCAAAACGCGTCTAGGGTTTTGGTCAGTTTCGGCCGCCCCACCGTTCTTCTGGCCCACTGTGACGGCTAATGCCCCTGGCCCACAGGCTGCAGTACGTGGAGCAGGTCATCAGGGAGACGATGCGCATCCTGCCGCCCTCGCCGTTCCTGGCCAGGCAGGTGTACCAGCAGACGGAGCTGGCCGGCAAGACGATCCCCGCCAACTCGACGCTCGTCGTCAACATCCACGGCGCGCACCACGACCCCGAGCACTGGCCGGACCCGTGGCGCTTCGAGCCGGAACGCTTCGCAGACTTCGCGCCGGGCAAGAGCCACCACCCCTGCGCCTTCATGCCCTTCAGCGCGGGCCCGAGGCGCTGCCCGGCCAGCCTCTACGCCATGATGTCCCTCAAGATCATGTTCGCCACCGTGATGCGCGACCACGTCGTCGAGCCCGTCGACGACGGCATCAGGGAAGCCAAAGACTTTAAGCTCACCTTTAACGTGACCGCCAGAATCGTCGGAGGCACGTGGGTCAGGTTCAGACCGCGGTCAAGTTTGGCCGGCTAGTTTCAGGCCCGAGGGGGAATCACTTCCGGGATACAAATCAAATGAATTTTAGTTCACTTTCGGTTCATTTCGGGCAACAACTACTGAATTTGAAGAAAAATTAGATACATTTTAACTTTGTAAATTTTGAATTTTCGGTTAATATTGGAGTTTAAATTTGGCTGGAGTTTCCCTCTTGTTCAGGCCTGCTAGGGGCAGCTGTTGATGAAAATATTCCCATGTTTCTTTCGTGACCAGTGCAAAGAGTTTTTTCTTTGAACAGGCGGTTTTTCCTAGTTTAGTTCAGTTTTTGTCATTGTATTATTTATAGAGTGTTATTTATGTCACGGCTTTGCACACAATAAATGTAAAGTGAAGAAAAACTTTATTTTTGTTCTCGTCGTTAGGAACCTGCCCCTTAAGTTTGAGTCACTCTGTAAAATTTTCACCATGTAAACATCTTCAACGAACTGATTGATCGGTGGGCAAACTTCGTCCTCGACCGACCGACCGATCGATTCCTCGACCTGCCGATCGACTTTTTTTTGACAGACACCAAGGGAATGCACCCCATGCTGTGCAGCCCTTATCAGCTCTTGAGCCACGCTGTCGAGAAGTTGCCCAGAAGTATGCAGAGGAGTCGGCAACCCTTTTCGACACTGGTGCATCGTGGGACCTCTCGCACTCCACCGACCCCATGAGCACGCGAGACAGGGCTAAACCAGTTTGCAGGGCATCGATCCGCTGTGCTCACGCAGGCGAGTCCCTATGCGCACACTTAAAAACCTTACGAAGTATTTTGAGCATACATAATTTTCTTTGTTATACGAAGAAGTAGTTCGTAAATTACGAAGTATTTTCTTTGTAAGCCTATGCGTGCTCACACAACTGCTTTTCTTTGGAAGTCCTGAAACAGTTTGTAAGGTTTTCTGAGTGCGCGGCGCTCTGTGGGGGGTCCTGCAGTGGTCCTGCACGTCGCTAAGGAAGGCAGGCTTTGCAACATTGTCGCACTTAGACCATTATTAGTCGCGATGACACTTTGCCTGTCCGGACGCGCAACGGCCTGGGCCTTGACGAGGTGCGAGAGTAGCAATTACTCGCGTCAACCGTTCCCAGTCCCAGACAGATGTTAAGAGGCCAACAAGTGGGAACCAAAAATTAGCCTAAAAATTCTTGTTACCGAGTGACAGGCAAAATTTTCACAGTGGGTCACTTATAATCGCAGCCCTTGTGTCGGGGACGACGTGGCTGCCCAGCCGTGACTCGCCCCATTAAGCGTCCGGGTGTACAGTACTACAGTGCGCCCCCACAGGGCTGCCGAGGCCGCCAGAGTGCTGTGGTTGTCGCAGTTTGTATCTTTTTAAATCTTGATCTGACTTGTGCCCATGCAGTAAAGCCAAGGACTCGTCTTCGTCCTATTTACGGTAACTACTCTCAAAATGAATCGCCGAGTGTACCGGCGGGCGTGACTTCATTGTAGCACCGAAAACGGCATGACCGAAAAGCCAATTGGAAAACAGGCGACTTTTGCCGTGAGTTTCTGTCATGCCATAATTCAGCCGTGTGTCCATGTAGCGTGAATTCTGTTGACATTCTTTTCTTTTTTATTTCTTCAGGCAGGGATTTGGAGCAGACCAGTCCTCGAAACGAAGCTATGAATAGGAAGGCAGGCAGGTCTGTTCAATCGGAATCGCACACTGGCGCAGGGTACAGGCAGCCCGAAGATGCTTCTCTCTGTGCACACGCCACCAGAGATGAGAAAAAACATCCAGACTCCAGATTCATCATTGGGCGAAGAGTAAGTTCAGTACATCATTAATTTCCCCGCTTTACCACGCATAAGCTAAGAAAAATTCGATTTTAAAATACTAATTTGTAAAACTTATTCACTCTTTTTGTGGTAGATTCTCTACAGCATTCCACGAAGATGTACTCGATTTTCCTAAGCCATGGAAGCTTGTAGTCGTAGCTTGGCAAATACTAGGAGGGTTTCCAATACGCAGGAGGTGAGGTATTCTACGATTGGTCGCAATCTGGGAGACTCGTGCGTGACCGTCCCATCTCTAAGTAGATTGATTGACCGTTTGCAGACCGTGCCCCGAGCTAGGCGCCCGGAAATGGCTCATCAGCTGGATGCTCCGTGGGATATCTGTCGTTGCCATGGGAAATGCACTGTTTGCAAACTACACCTCTTACGTTACGGTCAACTTTCAGCTGGTACATTTTTCTCCCATTGTTATTTTTTTTTGCTAAGATAAGAATATTTTTAACCAAAATCAGTCCTTTCCTGCTTCTTGCACCTTTCCAGACTAATAGTTGATTCCAGTGTTTTAACGCCTTTTGTGCAATGTGCACTGTGCAATGTTGCTTGCCGTCTAATTCTAACCGGGGGATTCGCGTCGCAGGGGGAAGGAGCTTACCTGAAGAACGCGCTGAACCGCGTGTCCCTGTTGATCATGACGCTGAGCAGCCTGCCCTGCATCCTGCACGGGCTGCTCTCCGCCAGACGCCTGTCCCGCTTCATCAACACCCTGCTGCTGCTCATCAGGGAACTGCAGCCGGCCAACCAGCCAGGCAAGCGCGCACTGTAAAAAAGTTTAGGTAGGGCAACCAGAATTTTAGTGCCATTTACCAGAATGTGTAGTAAAATGTGAAAAGTGTCTCAGGACAAGGGATGTGCAATTCTAAAAAAAGACCTCAAATCTGAACAGAACTTGAAAAGACATTTTGTTCAGTAGTGTGTTCGAAGACTTCCTGATTCAGAAAGAAGAGATATATTCTCTGTCAACGTGATGAATTACCAAAAAATGCAGAGATAACCCGTTTTTTCCTCCTTGCAGTGTGGCCTTTGGGTTGGGTGGTCCGAACCTCAGCCACAGCTGGAGCACTGGCGTTGCTTTTCACCGCGTCTTGCGCTTCTCACATGGAGACAGTTCCCGGCCCGGTTGAACCCGGCATGGTAAATGCGGCTTAGCATGAGTTTATCACAAATCTGGTTTTAGTAAAACAAATGGCAAGTGTAATTTTCTTTAAAAAGAAAAAATGTGGCAGTGGGTTTGCAACTTAACTCACTTTGCTATGGAAACCTTTGAAGAGATTATAATTCACAGAGGAAACCGAGGAACTTTCGGGCGTGTACGAAGCATCATCTACGAACTCAGTCCCTCTCGTCTCGCAGATTTCAGTGCCGCTGAACTTAGCAACGCCGCTGCTGTTGGAACTGCAATACTTCCTGCTGAGCTGCGTCATCGGACTGGGATTCGAGAGGCTGTCTGAAAACATCAAGGCACTGTTCATGCCTTCGGTGTCGCCCTCTGGTGCGTTCGCGTGCTTAGGCCTCATTCTGGACACGTTTTGAGCTCCAGATTCGCTGAATGGGACTCGAACCGAACGCGTGACCCCACCAGTGGATTGCTCTCCGAACGAGGAATCCATTGGTGGGGTCACACGGTCGGTTCGAGTACCATTCAGCGACTCTGGAGCTCAAAACGCGTCTCGAGTTTTGGCCGCCTCCACCGGTCTTGGCTGAGCCGTGCGGCGTGTTGACGGGCGTGTTGACGGGCGTGTTGCAGCTGGGTGGGTGGAGGCGGCGCGGCGCAGCCACGAGCAGCTGGTGTCGTTGTCGGTGACGCTGCACCAGCTGCTCGGGCCGCAGCTCCTGGTGGTGGTCCTGGCTTGCCGCCTGAGCCTGCTCGCCGTGGTCTACGTGCTCGCGTCCGACGTGCTCGCCGCCGCGGCCATCGGCCTCAAGCGGCCGCTCCGACTCATGCGCGACCAGATGCTGGACACCGTGTCCTTCTTGCTGCGCTTCTTGCTCATTTGCGCGGCCGGCAGCGTCATCAAAGTCAGGGTACACTGTACTAGTGGCGGATCCAGAGTCGGCCCAAGGGGTGGTGGTCAAAGTAGCACTTTTTGCCTACTTACAGGGGCAATGTGGTGCTTTTTGCCTACCTTTCAGGCGGCTATGTAGGAGTCGGGGGGGGGGGGGGGCAATTGTCCTCCCCCCCCCCCCCCAGGATCCGCGCTTGCACTGTACTATACAGAAACGCAACGAGGAGGAAGCGCCACCCAGAGAAATGCTGTCTTCATTTTTAATTTTCTGGGTCTTTGTAAGAAAAAAAATTTTAACACAAGAAAACTTTAAAACAAGAAAATTTAAAATTTTCTTGTTCCAAGAAGTCCTTTTTTTGGGGATGCGCATTGCAATACCGACTGAAAGATGACGAAGGGGAATCTCTGAAAAACAATTGAATTTTCCGAAAAAAAAAAACACAAAAAAACACCGTCTTAGGGTACGTTGCGCTCATAAGTTTCTCTGCATCTTATTTTCTTCGCAGGCCTCGGAGGTCGTTGAGCATAGTTTTCGAGTGAACGCCCTTACGTGGGGAGCGAGCAGCAAAGCAAAGGTGAGACATCTGGACTCGGGAAATCCTCCGGAAGTGGAAGTATATCCCGAGGAATTAATCTCTTTAGTAGTTTCCCACCACACGGTCACTTTGCAATTGCTCCACTGCTAAGGGGCTATGTGCACACCTAACGTGAGTCGAGCAGTGGTGCCAAACGATTATCACTCGTTACACCACACGTTGTCCTCTGATTCAGTGGATCCTTCTCCTTCACCAACTGGACACTGTGAGGCCGACTACCACATTTGGTGGACTTGACGTCGGATTGGGGCTCATGTTATCGGTGAGAAAAATATTTTCACCGAGAGGGGAACAATATTGCTATAAGATAAACTTTACTCAGTGTCATTGGACAAAATTTATTGATTAGAAATGTCTGGCCTATGCGCTTGCTTGCAGTTGTTCGCGACTACGACGACGTACCTGCTTGTTCTCCTTCAATTTGAAAAGTGATCACTGCATACCAAGGTTATAGTGTACCGCGTCATTTCCATATTCGACAAGTTTGACCAGCATCGACATTCCCTGATATCACGATAAAACGTTTCCTGGCTTTCGCAGGAACTCCCTGGAAATCGTCCGTCTTAACCATAGACTTGGAAAACCATGAAACGGTTTTACCGTGATAACAAGTCCAAAAATGAAACTTTCTGTTGTCTTTCTGCCACGTGTTTATCAAACGAAACTAAGAATTTAATTCTCTATCCTTTGAATCCATGTTCTGATTGGGATTGTAAGCATTCAAAAAATAAACCACCCGCCTGTCGTCTTCAAGTCATGTGATTATTTTTTAACGAACTTCATCATTCAAGCCCCCAGCCACTTAACCCGCGCACCAGTTGGGGTTCGTCATGCAGTTGGACATGCATGGCTTGGTGCAGGCAGGAGTCCCACACTGACCGCTACACTGGCTAGAGCATTCCCCTGAAGTGCATTGCCCCTGAAAATGAGAGGTCCAGGGTATAAATAAACTCCTGAAAGATAAGACAAGTGAAACAATGTGTCCGGCCTATCGAAGTGCCAGGCTGCAGTTGCAGTTGGCCACGCAAACGATGGCAGTTGGCAGTGGGGTTTGCAGTGAAGTGGAAGTCTTAGCCTTTCTATCCTCACGTACCCTGCGGACGCGATGGGGCTCAGCGAGGAAATCATGTGATGGGAGTGCTGGTGAGGCCTCGATGACCTGGCAACAAGAAGCTCACTAAGTCACCCTCCCTCTCAACATGTCATGAGTTCACTGAAAGATCGATGCAGTTTGTACATTTCCGATTTCGAAGCATATATTTCAGTCATAAGCCTGGCACTAATTGCCAAGGGAAGCGAAACAACATTCAAGGCGTGCACACAGGATTTGCCCTCATGTCGCACTTCTTGCCTACTTACAGGCGATTTGTATGACGTGGCAAACAAACATTTTCCAGTGCAGCGGGTACATACCACGAGGCAGACGAGCGCCGCAAAGGCGAAGAAGGCGAGGAGTTTCATGTTGACACTTTGCAACCGCAGCGGCCGACCTGCGCATTTATAACGGCTCGGCTTTGATCGTAAAACGGCCCATCACCGCCCGGCGTGATTAGAAACTCACGATTCCCAGCAGGTGGGACTTGTTGAAGTTTGGTACATGACGCAGAACATAAAAATACGTTACCGACGCGTACGCTCAAACAGATAAGACGTAGTTTGTGCGCTTTACTGTAAAAGTAAGAACAAACATACTCGAATTTGGGCCATTTTAAATTTTTGGCCCTAAACTTACCTTAGCTTTTTTCGACGAAAACAGTCAACCTCTTCCGATTTGACTGAATTTGGTGTGGAACCTTCTCATGGGTCTAAGAAACAGATACCCGGTACCAATAATGATGAGCTCAGTAGAGCTCTGGTGCGAAGAAGAAGCTGTGGACGATGGGTGGCCTACCTATCAGGCGCTTGCTCAAATGATTCCAGTTTGCCGCCAGAAACAGACTGTTTAGGGCCCAAATGGCCCTCGAAATAGTGTCAGGAGCCACGAGGGAGTACCCCAGCACAACATACTCGAATTTGGGCAAATTTCATGGCATGGCGCAAAACGGTAAAAAAACATGATTTGTCCTCCGATTTGTCTGAAATTCATGTGAAACCTTCTCATGGGTCTAAGAAACAGACGCCCGGTGCCCAATGGCCTCTGGCACATCTATTTTGGTCTTAAAATGACTTTTCCGGCGACGTTTGTTGAGTTTTAGTGCGGGAGGACGGTGGGTTGCCTAACTATCCGGCGCATACCCAAGAACTTATAGTTTTCGCCGGAAGTTTTCGCCATTTTTACAGGTTTGAGCTTGGGTGACCACACTGACCACACTTGCCTAGCTGGGGCCCCGCTTGCAACTTGCTACCCCCTCGACCTTCACAGTCTGTGTCTCTGCCTCGACTGCCTCCGCTGCCCTTCGGTCCGTCGCACAGTGGGCCAGAAGACCGGCGCAGGCGGCCAAAACTCTGGACGCGTTTTGAGCTCTAGAGTCGCTAAATGGGACTCGAACCGAACGTGTGACCCCACCAATGGATTGATCTCCGAGCGAGGAATCCATTGGTGGGGTCACACGTCCGATTCGAGCCCTGCTTAGCGACTCTGGAGCTCAAAACGCGTCTAGAGTTTTGTCCGCCTGCGCCGGTCTTCTGGCCCACTGTGCGTCGGTTCGTTCGGAAGGCTGGCCGTCGTCCGTCCCCCCTGCGCCGTGACCTACCCCTTCCCCCACTCCGCCAGCCCCGGCCCCGCCCCCGGCCCCGCCCCCGTCCCCGACTGGCAAGGAGACAAGTTTTATTTCAGTCAGAGAGACGCGCTTGCAAAAGCGACAACGCTGCCCCGCCCCGGCCTGCCCCGACCCGCTCGACCGAAAAGTTCGAAAAGAACGGTGCGCGTTGTGGCGACGGCGGGCCCTAGAAGGACACCCAGAAAGGACTCCAGGAAGGCCCCCAGGAGGAACTCCAGGGAGCACTCCAGGGCAGACTCCAGGGAGGCCCGTCGGGCTTGAGCCCGGCGCCACAGGTGGACGGCGAGGACGCCGACGATGGCCTGAGTCTCCACCCGCGTCGTAGGATCGCGACATGGTGAGTCTTCGCTCTGGAGGCACGAGAGGGTCGTAAATGAGTCAATTTTTTCCGGGCGGATGAGCGCGCCAAAACAACAATTCAAAACACCCAAACGTCAGCACTGGTTCGATTGCTGCGATCGCGCGTTTTCCGTGTCCGAGTGAGCTGCATGTGTGTGTGTGCCGGCGGCCCGCCGGAAGTCGTTTGAAATCTGCAATAACTCGGTAGTCTGGCCATGTGCACCGGGACACAGTGGGCCAGAAGACCGGTGAGGTGGACAAAACTCTAGACGGGAATAGAGCTCCAGAGTCGCTAAATGGCACTCGAACTGAACATGTGAACCCACGAATGGATTCCTCGTTCGGAGAGCAATCCATTGGTGGGGTCACACGTCCGGTTCGAGTCCCGTTTAGCGACTGGCGCTTTGGCCGCCTGCGCCGGCCTTCTGGCCCACTGTGCCCGGCGCCTCATCAGCGGAAATGAGGCTCTAAATCACGACCTGTCAACAGACGACTCAATCGGCGCGCGGACAGCTCCAATGCGATTTCAATTCGACGATGGACAGCCTCCGCCGAGCACTACACTGTGGAAATGCGGGGCTGACGTGCGTTTCGGTGCAGGCGCTGCTGACGCTGTGCGTGCTGGCCCTGGGGCTGGCCTCCGCGCTGGCCGACGTCATCGTGAAGGAGGTGGCGGCCGGCGCCATGGCCATCCTGGAGTGCCACTCCAACGACGACCACCACCGCTTCGCGTACTGGCAGCTGCACGACGACAAGGTGGTGGGCCCCGGCAACGCCTACGACGACTACAAGTACAAGTACGAGGTGCTGACGGGGCGCCTCTACATCAAGGTGAGTGCCCAGTGGGCCAGAAGACCGGTGGAGGCGGTCAAAATCACGGACGCGTTTGAAGCTGCAGCGTCGCTAAATGGGACTTGAGCCGAACATGTGACCCCACCAATGGATTGCTCTCGAAACGAGGAATCCATTGGTGGGGTCACACGTTCGGTTCGAGTCCTGTTTAGCGACTCTGGAGCTCAAAACGCGTCCAGAGTTTTGGCCGCCCGGTCCACCGTATAACGTGGCCGTGACGGTGGCCCTGGCTTCCAGGGTGTGTCCACGTCGGAGGCCGGCTTCTACAAGTGCGTGTCGCGGGCGCTGGCCGCCGCCGATCCCGCCAACATCAAGATCGACAACGTGGAGCTGATCGTCAAGAAGGACTGGGAGGAGGTCTACGAGGACGACCCTGAGGTCAGCAGTGAGCTATTTCCCTGGAGCTGCGCGCGTGGTGAAGTATGTCTGGTGCAATTTGAGAATCTCTCCGGCGACTGCTTCCAGAACAACACCTTCCGGGCCGTGACCGCCCTGACCGTGGTGCTCGTCCTGCTGCTGGTGCTGCTCTTCTTCCTCCGCATGCGCCGCAGCCGGCCGCTGCGCTTCCGAGGTGCGCCGCTCACTCCCCTCGTAGACAGTGGGCCAGAAGACCGGTGGAGGCGGTCAAAATCCCGGACGCGTTTTGAGCTCCAGAGTCGCTGACTGGGACTCGAACCGAGAGTGTGACCCCAGCAATGGATTGCTCTCCGAACGAGGAATCCATTGGTGGAGTCAAGGTGCAGGGGGTTCTTCTGGTTACTCGCTCAGGAAAAGAATGATGGCTACGGGACTCGAACCCGAGCTTTTCTCACGGCAGCCGACTCCTTAGCCCACTTTTTTTTAAAACTCAGCTACGGACTCGCTTAGAAGAGTGGCTGCGAAACTTGTTGTTAGATACAAGTGGTAAACTGATGAAAACATACTAGTTAGTGTCTGGGATTCGAACCCAGATCCTGCTCAAAGCGGCTGCCTCCAGTGTTACTTGCACGAGTGACCTCATGACCCGTGTTTGCCCTCAGACCTGATCGACGAGGAGTCCCAGGACGAGGCTCCGGCCGCGGCGGCGGCACAGGGCCAGGCCCGCGCCGACGTCTACCGCCCCACTACACTGCCGTCCTCCAGCCAGGGTCTCGGCGTCAAGGACAACCTGGCCGTGGCCGTGGACACCGACTTCCCCACTGTCTTTGAGAGCAGCCACGACGGCCGCCTGTGAAACTGTCAACGCGATCCTGGTTCCACCTGGTTCGACCGCGCCGTGAAGAGCGGGTCATGTCTGTGAAGTTAAGTTCAAGTGCCAAAATGGGGTCGGGACTCAACCTGGAGGAACCCCACTTGACGCAACATTCACTAACGTGTTTCAGCCATCGACGAGGCTGATGTACAGTGTAAAATAAGTCGTTGCTCTTTTTTAGATTAGGTATGAATGACGAAAGTTTGTAGTCACCCTCGCCAATGTGCGTAGGATGGGTGGCCTAGCCCTAGACACAGCAAGACCCATCGTCCCAACATTCCACCGAGTGTCGCTTCAACGCCCAGAGCCACTCGAAGCCCGATCGGACTTCTTGCAAAAAGGACTCCCTCCCACAGTGGACTTGCCAGAAGACCGGTGGAGGCGGCCGGAATCCCGGACGCGTTTTGAGCTCCCCAGAATCGCTTAACAGGACTCGAACCGAACGTGTGACCCGGTGTGACCCCACCAATAGATGGTTCTCCGAACGAGCAATCCATTGGTGGGGTCACACGTTCGTTTCGAATCCCATTTAGCGACTCTGGAGCTCAAAACGCGTCTGGGATTTTGGCCGCCTCCACCAGTCTTCTGGCCCACTGTGCCTCCCCCTCTCCCTAATCAAGTAGTGATAGTTGAGTTTTCTGTTTGTGCGCTGCAGGCTCTGAGTTGCCGAACTATATTGCGTACCAGCCTGACAGAACAAAATAAATATAAATCTGTGACCTGAGTACAAGAAAGGCTGTAATGCTTCTTCGCTGTTTTCCCCACTACTGTTCGGATTAACTTATGCAACAAAGTACGCATGCTTTACCACAGATCAATCATTGCAGATTTATTTACATCAAAGTCAACATTTCACAATAGTTTACATTTAACATTGTTGCCAAATGTAAATAATAATAAAGATAAAAATACAATAATATATAATCAGAACAAATAGGCCTTAGATACTCTTTAAAAAGAGGGCAAAACAATGTTAACATGTTAGCTTAGCACTCCAAGGGTTGTCTGTAATTGTAAAAGAAATCTCTAAGAATGTCTACTTGTTTCAGCTAAACATTACCTGGACATCCCAGGTATTTCAGGTACAAATTTCATTCCTATTGACTTTTGATAACATGATCATCAAAATAATAAGGGACAAGAAGTTAATAACTTCTTAAGGAGAAGATATTAAAAGACAATTCAAAACCCTATCCTTGTAAAAGAAAAATTAATTAAAACAGTCACAATTACAGAGAGCAAAAATCTCTGAGAGTATAAATTATTTTGGGCAATGTGCCCAAAAATATATGGCTAATGATCACTTTCAGGTTTACATCCATCACGGATCATATACCACAAAACTTAATTTATTTACACTTAAATCATAAAGTGACTCAAAATCAAGAATCTAACACCAGGTCAATTTATTTAAACTGTTGACACCTACACTGACAAGGGCTTGCAGGGGTGTGCAATTAAAAAAAAAAAAATTCAGTCAAATCAAAACTTGAGCCAAGCATAACTAGACTAATACAATTACACAATTAAAACTGAATAGATTTATAAAGTTAAATACTAAGTATAACAACCCATCATAATGTTTACAACTAACGATGACGGGCAAAAAGTTCACCAAGCCTTACAATGTGTTTCGTATCCACATACAAAAAATAAGTCTTTTAGAACTGACTAAGTTTAGGATGAGCCACTCTTGCTGCCCAGTTCAGATTAAAGCTTTACACACCCCTAGGCAAGAAAAAAAGCGTCAATAAAAAGGCATTCACTTTTTATAAAAATAAAAGAGGTCAATTTGTACCCTGGAGCAGACTTCATAACTTCACTATCTGTTATCATTTGAATGCCACAATGATTGCTAAAACAAAAATGTACAGAATTACATAATATAAATACAAACCAGTCAAAAATGAGTATCTAGCCAATGTTAATATTGCCATTTTAATGAGTATGAAATGAACAATATATCAAGACCGACCGGGATGAGCCCATAATAAATAAAAAGGCTTAACAACTGTTCACAATACTGCTACGTTACCAATTAGTACATGTCATTAAGAGTTCATGTGGACGGATGGTTTCATAATATATAGCAATATTCATTAAATGTACACGCCCTTTTGGTTTACGGCTTAAGGCTACAATTATGTACACAACCGTTCCGTCAAGAGTCCTTGCACACTAGTTGGCACTAACCTACGAGTCATGAGCAGCAGACTAGCACCTGGTTCACTTATGGCGGACACTTCACTTGGGAAAGATAAACGACTGGTTGTTGCTTCTTGTATTAGTTGCATACAGCTGCTGTTGGAAATTATGGAACTGTTGGGCATAATTGGGGTCCGCTGTGGTGGGCCCAATGAAGGTGGAATTCTTGTAGTTCGAAGGGGGTAAGGGTTGACTGGCGTCCATTGGGGAAGACTTTGCACCAGGGACAAACATTTGATTGTTAGGCCCCATCTCACCAGGGTTCGGTCCTCCATGAGGCCCACCGTGAGGTCCACCGTGGGGGCCTCCAGGATACATGCTCATACCACCAGGCATTCTCATACCCATGCCCATTATGTTTCCACACTGTCCAGGACCAGGGCCCATGCCAGGCCTCATGTTAGGCCCCATCGGGCCAGGCCCGCGAGGCCCCATAGGCCCCCCAGGCATGCCTCCCATTCCAGGACCTCCAGGGCCCATTCCAGGGCCTCCAGGACCCATTCCAGGGCCTCCAGGACCCATTCCAGGACCACCAGGGCCCATACCTGGTCCACCAGGACCCATTCCAGGACCTCCAGGTCCCATTCCGGGACCTCCAGGACCCATGCCCGGTCCACCTTGACTCATCCCTGGACCTCCAGGGCCCATGCCTGGGCCGCCTGGTCCCATTCCAGGACCTCCAGGGCCCATCCCGGGTCCCATCCCAGGGCCTCCAGGACCCATTCCAGGTCCACCGGACATCATGCCCGGGCCGCCAGACATCATGTTCGGGCCTCCCATGCCCATGCCTGGATTACCAGGGCCCATTCCTTGGTTTCCAGGGCCCATACCCTGGTTGCCTGGACCCATGTTGGGCCCGCCGGGCCTGATGCCGCCCATACCCATGCCCATGCCGCCCATGCCCATGTTCATCATGCCGGCGCCGGGCCCCGAGCCTGGGCCCGCCGAGCACATGGGTCCCGCCGATCCAGCCGAGCTGGGCCCTTGCGACACGGGCGTGCCAGGGCCCTGCTGAGGTCCTCCGGGCCCTCCAGGTCCCCCAGGCCCTCCGGGGCCGCTAGCCACGCTGGTGGGCGTGTTGGGGCCGGGCATGCCGGGGCTGCCGGCCATGCCCATGGGCCCCATGCCCCCCATGGGGCCGCAGGGACTGCTGCCGTTCATGCCCATGCCGCCCATGGGGCCGCACGACGTCGGGGTGCTGGGCGCACTCGAACTGTTGGGGTACATGTTGGGCCCCGGGCCGGAGCCGGGGTTGGTGACGCGCTGCAGGAACTCCAGGCTGGGCGGCCCTCTGGGGCCGGCACTGCCCGCGTTCTGCGGCCTGGCCGGCATGTACTGGATGGTGTTGGGCGCGCTGGCCTTGACTTGCACGTTGGCGCCGTTGAAGGGGTTCGGGCCGCCGGGTCCCCCAGGACCTCCAGGGCCTCTGGCGGGGCCTCCGGGCCCCATCATACGCTGTGCCATGCCGCCGGGCCCCATGCCGGGCCCCATTCCTCCAGGACCCATGCCGGGTCCCATTCCAGGACCCATTCCAGGTCCCATTCCTCCAGGGCCCATTCCAGGGCCCATTCCAGGCCCCATTCCTCCAGGACCCATGCCGGGGCCCATTCCTCCAGGCCCCATGCCGGGCCCCATGCCCGGACCCATGGGCCCCATCCCTCCGGGGAACGGTGACGGTCCTCGCGGCTTGGGCGAGCCTGGGTTGCTGCCCTGCGGCACGCCGGGGCTGAAGTTGCTGGGCATGCCGTCCATGCCCATGGCCATGTCCATGTCGTTCATGCCCATCATGTGCATGGGCGGCGAGTTGAAGGGCATCATGCCCGGGCCGCCCATGGGCCCGCCGGGCCCAGCCATGGGTCCACCCGGGCCACCCATGGGTCCTCCCATGGGTCCGGGCGAGCCGGAGACGTTGTTGGCGAGCTGCTGGTTCATCTGCGCCAGCGAGGAGATGGGGTCGAAGACTCCGGCCGCCTTGGCGTTGCCGGGCTGGCCGTGCTGGCCGTGGCCGGGCTGCGACGCGGTGCTCGTGTTGAGCGGCGCGTTGTCGGGGCGCCCGCACGGCGAGCCGTCCTTGCCGGGCGACGACACGTCGAGCGACGCCTTGCCGGGGGGCGTCTGCTGCGAGAAGGGCGACGGCGACGACGCGGGGCCGCCGGGCGCGCCCATGAACCGCGGGGGGCCCATGCCGTCCACGCCGGCCGGGCTGGGGCACGTCTTGCTGGGCGTGTCCGCGCCCGACACGGGCGTCCGCGACCCCGAGAAGCGGCCCTGCTTGTTGTCCTGGGGGCCGCCGGGGCCGCCGGGGCCGGCCGGCGTGTGCGGACTGGGCACGGGGAAGTGACCGCCGTCGCTGGGGGTGCCGGGGAAGGACGGCGTCACCGGCGTGCCGGGCTCGCGCGGGCCGCTCGGTTCCGACATGCCGCCGTCCAGCCTGCAAAGCCAGCCAACAGTCAGCCAACACGCTACGCAGACAAGTCAACAGCCAACACACAGGTACTTACGGGGGAGATAAAATGTTAGGTTCCTTCAAACTAGTATTTGGTTGCTTCTGGATCGTCAACTCCTGACCCTCAAAGGCATTAAGGTACTGAATTTGTTGCGGTGATGGCACGGGCATTAGGTTGGGCTCTTTCCCTTGCTGTCCAGACTGCTGCTGCTGTTGTTGTTGCTGCTGCTGTTGTTGTTGAGCGAGGTTTTGCAACGTCCGACAGAACATCCCATCTGCAAAATAAGGTTGGCGTTAGCGGTTCTGCCTGTAACAGTGAGAGAGAGAGAGAGAGAGAGCGAGAGAGAGAGAGAGAGAGAGAGAGAGAAGCGAGAGCGAGAGCGAGAGCGAGAGCAGAGAGAGAGAGAGAGAGAGAGAGAGAGAGAGAGAGAGAGAGAGAGAGGGGCGCGCGTACCCGGACTCTGCTGCGGCGGCGCGGCGCTGCCCGTGTGGGGCGATCCCTCCTTGCGTCCGGCGGGCGGTGACATGTGTGCTGGCGCGCAGGACACCGGCGTGCTGGGGTTGCTGTGGTTGTGCTGCCGGGCCGCGCTGGGCGAGTCCGTCGAGGGGTTGGCGTTGACGCCGGACCCCCCGGACCGCGCGGGCTCGGCGGGGGAGTTGAGTCCCGACGACGTCCGCGGCGAGGGCAGCGACAGGTTGGACGTGGGGTTGTTGGGCGAGCCGGGCGTGGGCGACGGGGCTGCGATGGGGACGCTCGCCGACCGCGGCGTTTGGTGGTATGGCGGTGGAGGTCCTTGTGCTCTGGGACCGCCCGGCCGTGGCCCCGCGCCCATCATGCCCATGCCGCCAGGGCCCATCATCATGCCCGGGCCCATCATGCCGGGACCGTTGGGACCCATGGGGCCGTTGGGGCCCATCGGACCATTCGGGCCCATTCCAGGACCGTTAGGACCCATGCCAGGGCCGTTGGGACCCATGCCAGGGCCGTTAGGACCCATCGGACCATTGGGGCCCATGCCTGGGCCGTTGGGACCCATCGGGCCACCCGGACCCATACCAGGCCCGTTGGGGCCCATGGGACCATTCGGCCCCATTGGCCCGTTAGGCCCCATTGGACCGTTCGGACCCATGGGCCCGTTGGGGCCCATGCCAGGCCCATTGGGACCCATCGGACCATTCGGGCCCATGCCAGGCCCGTTGGGACCCATGCCGCCCGGGCCCATTCCCCCAGGTCCCATGCCTGGGAATCCAGGGCCCATGCCGGGTCCGTTCTGGCCCAAGTTGCCCATCATGCCAGCGTTGGGGCCCATCATGGGGCCGTTGGGACCCATGGGGCCCATGTTCGGACCACCCTTCTTGCCCTCGAGCAGCTGCTGCATCTGCTGCATCTTCTGCCAGTCCATCTGAGTGGGCCCGCCGGGGCCGCCGGGAAAGCCCTTGCCGTCGCCCTGGTTCTCGGGGAACAGCATCTGCTGCATTTTCCGCAGCGTGGCAAGCTGCTCCTCCCGGTGCTGCCTCTGCTGGGGAGTCAGGTTCTCGTCGGGGACCTTGACACCTGTGGAACAGCAGGGAGTCAAACACGCGCTCGGCAAGGCACTGGAATAAGGGTGGAGAAAGGCACACGTACCTTGCAGAGAAGGGTGCGCGCCTCCGAGCTCTCCAAGGAGGGCGTCCTCGGCAGAAGGCCCGTTCAGTCCTGACGGCGTGGTGGGGCCGGCGCCTGACACGGGGGGTCCGGAAGGTCCTTGGTTTTGCGGGCCGCCTGGACCGCTTTGGCCACCTGGTCCGTTGGGACCTCCTGGGCCGCCCGGGCCTGGGCCGCCCGGACCGCCTGCGCCACCGGGTCCACTTTGACTGCCAGGGCCACCTGAGCCGGGGCCACCAGGCCCACCTGGACCGGGGCCACCCGGGCCACCAGGGCCGCCGGGACCACCCTGCCCTCCGGGGCCACTTCCAGGGCCTCCGGGTCCACCAGGCCGCGGGCCAGACATGGGGCCGCCAGGGCCCATTGGACCGCCCATGTGTCCAGGACCGCCTGGACCGCCAGGGCCGCCAGGGCCCATGCCGCAGTTGGGTCCCATGCCAGGTCCCATCATGGGGCCTCCGGGTCCACCCTGCTGCCAAGACCACACAAATTAGAACAAGGGATGAACAGAGATGAGCAACCTGAGAACACAATCCACCAACCTGATTCCACATAGGCATTGGTCCACCGGCGTTTCCAGGTCCCATGGGACCCATTGGGCCTCCACTATCACCCGGAAATGAGCCTGGGCCCATAGGCCCACCTCCCATAGGTCCGCCTCCCATAGGTCCGCCGCCCATGGGATTACCTCCCATGGGTCCGCCACCCATAGGTCCACCTCCCATTGGGCCACCTCCCATAGGGCCTCCAGGTCCCATAGGGCCTCCAGGTCCCATGGGGCCGCCGGGTCCCATAGGGCCCCCAGGACCCATAGGGCCTCCAGGTCCGCCGGGCCCTCCCGGTCCCATCATGCCACATTTGTTGGGGGGCCCCGCCATGCCTCCCGGACCTCCAGGCCCGCCAGGGCCTCCCTTTTGCTTCATCTGCGCTAGGTTGTTGAGCCACTGAGCAGGGTTTTGGCGATTAAATTGATTCATTTTGAGCGGATGTTTCTGGTATCACAAAAGGCAGAAGGTTAGAACAAACACGGTAAGTATCAAACTTTAACGTATTTCTATGATGGACGTCGAGCTTACCTCTAAATACTTTTTTGTGCCTGGTTGTGAACAGTGATATGCAATTATAGAGGGGAAATGTCCCTGAAGAACAGCTTCGGCAGATTTGTTGGCAAGAGTTGTGGAGAAGACGAAGATTTGACTTTGTTGCTGCATGTATTGTGCTTCCATACTTGATGGCTGCTGTTTGCCCATGACATTGCTGGCTAAGGGTTGGGACGACCCATCCATCCCCGCTCCACTGGTTGGAGGTAACGGAGGGGTAGGTCCGGGAGGACCCCCCATGGGGCCTCCCATGGGACCACCCATGGGACCCCCCATGGGCCCGCCCATGGAGCAGGTGCCCCCAGCGGTGCTGCCAGGGGGACCCGAGGGGCCGCCTTCTCCAGAAAGCCCCATACTATCACATAGATCTAGAAATGCAAAGTGGAAAATGAGAGACACTGATCTAGTGGTTAGGTATCCAAGTAGGCATTGACTTGACACGGAGGACTTACCAGAACCAAAGTCGTGGCTACTACTAGGGTCTTCAGTCTTGGGTATTTTACAGGATGGAGAGCCATCTTGTAAACTAGAGTCACCAGGCTTTACTGTAATTTTAATGAAAGAAATTTAGCCAAAACATGGTATAAACCAAATGTAAGTAAAGGCAAATTGATATGGCGAAAAAGAAAGCATACCATCAGATGAATCCAATCCTAGATCTGATGAGGAGTCAGGAGGATCACATGATGAGGATACAGTGCCACTATTAGTAGACCCAATGATATTGGGTTTAATATCTTCGGTACCATTAATCCCAACCTCCTCCTAAAAGACAAAAATCAGTCTGGTTACAGTATGCTGCGTACATAGAAAACAGCTGAAAATTCAAGGGCTGCAAGCAGCTGTTACCTTCATTGGAGTCATGGGGGCATCTGATGGTTCCATTTTAATTGTAGCTCCATTACTTGAGGAGGAGCTGTTATTTGAATTTAGGTTGGATGCGTTTGAGGCATTTCCACTGTTAGCAGAGACTTTCTTGTCCCGCTGGTGCTTCTCCTTGGTTGCATCCTTCATGGCGTAAATATCCTGCTGTTCACTTTTGAGATCACTATGGGATGGCAAATGCCAATAAGATGTGCCGCTGTAACAGAAGCAACAACAGGCTTCAGACAAGAAAACACAGATACAGACCTATAATATAAAAGTAATATCCAATATAAAATTGTAAAATATCATAAGCCATAGAGAAACTATTAAGGTGATCAAGCAATTCCTCACCGTGTTTAAAAAAGAATAATAATATGGAAGCCACTTAAATGTACACACCTTGTCCTCTGCGCTCTGTAACTCCTGTCTTAAAATGTCTGCTATAAGAGCAGACCACGTATTCAGAATAGCTTCCTGTCAAGAAATAAAGGTATTGTTAGCCTTGGTGGTGGAGAATATTTCAGCCAGTACAAAAAATAAATGAAGAATTCAACGCACTCACTTTGAAATAAAGACAGGCAAAGTTGAACTGAAGCTGAAAGACGTTGACAAACTCAGCCAAGCCGGCTGACTCCCAGCGGCTTCGGATTCCCTCATAAGGACTGTTGGCTGAAACAGCAAGAGCATAGTCATCTTTCGATAAGGAACATAGACACATGGCTGGGAAACAAATAAAATAAACAATTCTACACAGCAGGCCAAAACATGGATAAATTCATGTTTGATCACGAAAAGAAAGAGTAATTTAAACTTTTAAACAATGTTACGATCTGTGGATTGTAATACATTAGTTGAAATAACTAAAAATTATTGAACCAGACTGCCCAAAATTAATTGTGTGCCAGAAATAAAAACTATATTAAAATGTTTTGACTATACAAAGTTAAAACACTGCTTCTCACAACTAAAAATGGTGATTTCAGGTTTTTCTGACACCGTTTTACAAACTGCCACAAGAGTGAAAAACGCTGAGACTGAGTTGGGCAGCATATTCCGCAAAATGTTTTCCTATTTCGAATCCGTTTTGAAGCCAAAGACTCATCACTCCCAGCAGTACTTGATTGAAGAATAGGCTCTCTGACCATGTACAGGTTATGTGCATCTTGCTTCCAGCTCTTGGAAGCGCATACAGGATAACACGGCGACCCTGAAGGGGAGTCTGTTGACGTCGCGATGTCACTTGGAGTAAAATAGAACGATTAGCATGCTCCTACTCAGCTGAACGGTGTGATTTCAAACACTGCGGTTAAAAACAGCTCCCAGACAGATTGGCTTCAGAGCCGCTCAGGGCACGAGCGGTCGGGCTGCAGTGTCGGGCCAAACGCCGCCAAACGCTGTGCAAGGATGGCCCACAGAGAAAAACAAATCCACCCAAAAATCTACCCACCTTTTTGTTTTGCCCTCCAAGGCATCTTCAGCAGAATATCAAGGTATTTTCAATTTCCTCGCAAGAGGACAGAAGAGTGCAGCTGCCATTTTGGAAATCCATTTAGCCTTTTTGAAGAGCGAAGATTCGAAAGACACTGGGGATTAGCACGGAAGTCAGGGCGGGAAAAGACGGCTGGATCAGCCGCGAGTCCTGAACACGGCTCACACTCGCAGCAACGGCACAAATCACATCGCAAATCCAATTCACACGGCGAGTGTTTATTGTTGTTGTGTTGTGTCGCTACTCAACTCGCTCACGGCCCCGCCGACACTGAGGTTATCAACCGGAAGAAAAGGCAAAGGCACGGGGAGGGGAAGGTGTCAAACCGGCGGTGAGAAGTCACTAGAGGGCAGCAGTCTCATTTTAAGATCTACCGCTGTCTTAATCATCAGATTAGACAGTCAGTTTAGTTGATTACCTCAACATTTGGTTCGAAATATTCGCCAATGTCTACGTTAATTTTATTTTTGGTCCATGCTTGGTAGCACTGTCAGAAAGCAAGCAGGCCAACGTAAGATTTAAAAAACGCGAATATTTTTCTCGTGTTTCGCTCTTTCAAACAAGTCACGATAGTTCAAGAGGCATGAAAACAGAAATTTTAATTTTTAGATAGCGATTGCCGTCTTAATTCAGTCTTGTGCCCCCATCCCCCAAGAAAATATTTCGCCTGTGCTTTGGTTGAAAAGGCGCCAAATCAAACTTGCACAATAACAAAAAAATAAATAGGCAGACGACAAAAATTGTCTGTTCAAAGTTCGAAAAACAATGATTTATTGGGCTGTTTTATTAGTTTGAAGCTAGTGAACTAGACTAGGATTTCGTTGACGCATTGAAGAGCAACACTTCTTGGCCCGTATGTGTTTATATCGAAGTGTCATGATATTAGTAACAGGTTATATACTCTTACATCAAGTAATATTCACCTATTTGTTATTTGTTTTCAATCTATCTGTTTCAGTTTGCTCCAATTTCGACTACAATCATGAGCACATTCCCAGGACCCATTCCTGAGATACCTAAAATTTCTGTGGACCGTTTCAATTGGCAGAATTTGAAATCGGACATATTCTTTTTAACTCATTTCCACTCAGGTACTTTTAATCACTTGAACATGGATGTCAATACTCGTTCCAATGCTTATTTAATCTCTGCTTTTGTTTTCAGATCACATGGTGGGCTTGAGAGACTATCCATTTCAAAACAAATTACGAACAAACTCAACAGCCTTTCTCTACTGCAGTGAACTAACAGCTCTTTTTTTGACTCAAAACCACTTGAAAGGTTTTGATGACAAAATAAAGGTTTTGCCCATAAACTCACAACAGGTTATTAGTATCAACGAACAGCATGGATGTGTCACTGTCACTGCACTGCCTGCGGGGCACTGTCCCGGCTCCGTCATGTAAGTGTTGATACCAATTAAACTGTAAATTTCAAGTGTAGCCCTTTCCTGTGGAATCAATAATGATTTTCATGGTTTCAGGTTTCTATTTGAATATAAAGGCCTGAATTACCTGTACACAGGTGATTATAGAATGACCAAAGAAAACTTAATGAAAATGAAACCTTTGAAGGATTCAGATGGCAACTTCAAGCCCATTGAGACTCTGTATCTCGACACAACATTTTTCAATCCCGTCTATTCCTACCTTCCCAACAGAGATGAAAGTATGCGAGCACTTATTGCCCAATGTAGGTCATGGATTGAGAAGGGTGATGATTACATTATTGACTTGAGGACTCCAGGTATGCAAAGTGACCACATCTCGCTGGATCAATGAAACCCTGCATTCCTTTTCTTTGTTACCATTACTTATTAAATATTTTTTCTCTCTGTGTGTTATTTAGCTATTGTTGGTATTGAATATGTGCTCATTGCTCTGTCAGAAGAATTTGCACAGCCATTTCATGTTTGCGAAAAAGCTTATGAAAAATATTATCGAATTCCAAGACTTTCATCCGCAGTGACCAAAAGTACCAACACCAAATTTCATGCGTGCCTTGTAAGTTTTACAACATGTGAAAAATGTGACTATCTAAAAAAGTAAATACCATTTAAAATGTTTTTTTTTTCTTAATCTTTTTTTGTTTGTTTTTAGGGAGGATTCAATCAACAGGGGAAAACCTTATTCATAAAACACCATGCTGAATTTAAGAAGCACAAAATTTTTAGTGTAAAGCTTTGCACTATGCATGCTTCTAACTTTTCAAAGAAAAAGGCAAGTCATACACTCAATGATCAACTTAATCAAATCAATCATTTTAGCACTTGGTTAATGCTTTGATATGTCTCTCAGAATTTATTATCTTATCCACCTGAGGAAGGAGGGCTTCACCGTTTGGTGTACTCGTCACATAGCTCTTACAGTGAACTGCTTGAAATGATTGAAACTCTACGTCCAAGAAAAATTGAGCCCTGTGTTGTCCCTAAAAACTTCACTCCTGAGCAGGTACGGGAAACATTCCCAAATTTTGATGCTTAATGCCTTTAAATTATTTATGGTTTGAACTTGTTCGCTAGGTGGTGGATGCTCTGCGACCATTTAATGACAATAAAGTGCAAAGAAGCGACTCGGATGAAAATTCTCTTCTTCAAATGTCTTCCTATGAAGAAGACGCTCCGGGGTGTGATTCTGACGCTGAAGAAGTTGTTCTGAAGCCCAAGGAGGAGGCAAAAGGGCAGCCGCTTTTCACATTTTCCAAGGTCCGTTGGTAGTTATGCATCAACATTCATCTGGATGCACCCGAATTGGCATTTGAACTAATGTGAAAATCTGATTACTTTCAGTATGTGGCCCAGGACTCATCAGATGAGGAAGACGGGTTGGCAGTTGAAAGTGAGGAGGACGAGCTCCCACCATTTAGTTGGAATTACCAATCTGGTACCAGCAAAGCATTGAGCTTCCCAAAACATGAAGAAGAAAGGTATGCTCACATTGAAGGTGTGGTGCGTCCCCAAAGAAGTTATTACTTATTGAACACTGCATACATTGACAATCTGTTCCAGGTTACCAGCCAAACGTCAAAAATTAAATGGCAGCTAACGGCTTAAAAGCACAGTTACAACAAAGATATTTTAATAATGTCATCTTAAGTTTTTTAGGATGAAATTCAAGACTTTGGTATGAACCCATAACAAAAAGAAGACTGACAAATTATGTTACTATTTAGAGAATATGTAAGATAAGTCAATTTTTTCTCTATCCTAATGAAATAATATCCAAAAAATGAACTGTGATGAAATAGTTCACGAATGATTTGGTTCTGCAAAAAGTGCAGTTAATTGATAACTAGTCCTGTACTAGTGTATTTTTGATTATTTTTTTTTGTAAACTATTCCTATAGAATATAATTTTCTATGTTTCAAATTGCACATGGTTTCACTTGGAGTGACGTAGAGCCCTACATTACTCCTTCGGAGTGACGCAACCCACTGGCCTGCGGAGCGTTGCGGGACTGCCTATCCCCACAGTTTGCAGGCGTTCCTCACTCACAGTGCAGCACACAGTGGGCCAGAGGACCGGTGCAGGCGGACGACACTCTCGACGCATTTTGAGCGCCAGAGTCGATAAACAGACCTCGAACCGAACGTGAGACCCCACCAATGGATTCCTCGTTCGAAGAGCAATCCATTGGTGGGGTCATCCACTCAGTTCCAGTCCCGTTTAGCGACTCTCGAGCGCAAAACGCGTCTGGAGTTTTGTCCGCCTCCACCGGTCGTCTGCCCCACTGTGCGTCGGCGGCCGGCCAGCGCCTGCAGACTCATTCCGAGAGTCGTTTTCGTCGCTCTGTCTCTCTCGCACTCATTGGCTGGTCCCATGTCGGCGCGAGAGAGACAGAGCGAGGTAGACGACTCTCGGGGTCAGTCTACGGGCCAGTTCCTGGGCCGGCAACAGTGACTGACAGTGAAGGATCACACACATGTCGCTTGACCGGGCGAGGCGAGCCGGACGCGGGCGATGGCTGCGTCCGAGGAGCCTTGCCGAGGAGGCCGTGGCTGTGCACGGATCGGCCGCCTAGTCCCACAAGTCCCGGACGCGGCCTCACGCGGCCCCGATGCACACTGTCTCAGCCAATCCGAAGGTTCCGAGGGCACAGGGCTATCAACGGCAATTTCGCTCACCCCACTTCACTCTGTCCTGTCCCTGTCTCTCCGCGCGGCGGAGAGGGAAGGCGGGAAACTGCCCGTGTGATCAGAGCAGCCACCCCTTTCACTCGCACCAAAAAAAGAAAAACAAGAAAAGTCTTGCTGGGCAGGATATATTTTTCTGACCATCATAAAAGACGGATCGAAAACCACGGTTTAGTCTTGATCTCCAGTAGGGTAGAATTTACGTGCAGCGAGAAGTCTCCCTGACGGGTTGGCAGCCCTGGATGTGATTTTGTTTCGTGTTGTTCCGTGGCGCAATTTCCGGTTCCGAGTGCCGTGGCCGGGCAGCACCTCTCTCTCTCTCTCTCTCTCTCTCTCTCTCTCTCTCTCTCTCTCTCTCCCTCGCGATAAGGGTGAGGTGCCGTGGTGCCGTCTCACTTCCACCCCCAGCGGCAACCAGCGGCCCCTAGGAATTGACAGAGACAGAGAGCCCTGATTGGTCATTCCCCACCGCGGTCTCCCACCGGAAATTAGGGGTCTCGGTGTCGGCCGCGTTGCAGCGTCAGCTTCAAGGGGCTCAAAGCGAACAGGTTCACTGCCCGGGTTCGAATACTCGTGGGGGCGTGTAAAAAAAAGAAGACTCGTGCCTCGTCGCTGACATAATTTATTTTTCGGCTACTCACTAGGACAGTATAAAGAGTTTGATATAAATTACTTTGATTTGTACATTTGTAAGAATCTACACAATATATAATATGGCTATGCTAGTCGAGAAGAAGCCAATGTATTTACAAAAGAAATGGTGAAACGCCATCGCACGGCGAACATCCGTGGACAAAATCTATTCGAAATTCGTACACGAAATTAATAGTAAATGGATTACAATAAAGCCTCCGAAAAGACAGAAAACTTAGAATCAAGCCGAAAGTCAAAATCATGCATGCTAGAATATCCATACAACTTAAGGCGCACATAAATAAACCATTACACTTTTTAAAGGAATAAAAAAAAATGGTTTAGATTTAAAAATTAATGACTTGTACAGACTTTCATCATCAAAAAAATGTGAAAACTGGATACACGATTCAAAAAACATAATCCATTCAGTGGGGCTCATTATGCCACCACACAATCTTTTAAAATCAATGCCCACACTTCGCCGCTCACTGGTGTGATAAAGACACAGTAAAAATTTAATTCAGAAATTTCAGTGGAAGGCCCACTTTGGGTTGAAACGCGTCGAAACGTTCGCGCGGAGCAAAGCTTTGCTGCCACCATTCCGAAATGTCGACAAGAACACTTAACACCTACACTATACAAACCGTAACGCAGGTATCTATACAAGCACAATAGTTCTCGCCATGACTCCTTAAGTACAGCTCTAGGAGCTCACTTCGCGGCAAAAAGAATATCTACAGATATATTCAAGAAGCGATGACACTACGGGTTAGAGGATAAAGAGCTACCTGTTGAGAATCGAATGGAATGGCATTGTCAATGGCACAAAGGCTGACTACACTAGAAGGCATTGAGTGCGGCTCTCGCGTTCAACAGACACCGAGGTTCGCTTCCGCCAGTGTACAGGGAACTTGACTCTTTTTCACTGGGAAAGCAGAAGGCAAACACGATTTCATCGCGGCGTGCCCGAGGGCGTGCCCTCCAACTCGCACACACGGCACGACAATATTAATATTTGGTGGGTACAGCTTTGTGTGTCATCTGCTCAACACACGTTGTCACGCATATAAATTAAGTACGTCAGTTACCGAAGCACGCTACAAATCTCTCAGTTACACGGTTTTAAAATTGGAAAACTATTTACAACAGACGCACGGCCTGGGGAGTCCGCGGTGGGATTTCGAATGTTCAATGAATTTTGTTTGTCGGGATGCGTCTGTCTCCATCCCGCAGGCCGCCGTTCAGTTCCGACAAACCCTTTCAAAGTTGCGACCGCGCTGAGTGGGGCCCAGTGTAGGGCCGAGGCCGCGGGGCCACAGGCAGGGCCGCCCCTCGGGTTGTCTTGCATTTGGTAAAGCAGCTGAGGGCGTTACTGTCGAGTGCGCAAGAACAACGACTCGCTGTGTTGGGTTGGTACTCCTGCCGCCTCGCCGACTCATTTGCAGGTGTGCCTGTCCATCACGGTCTCGCACGTCTTGCAGGTCACGTAGCAGCACCAGACGAACTTGCAGTGGCAGCGCTCCACGTGCTTCACCACCTGGAACAAGCGGAGGCACAGGTGAGCCCGTGGCCGAGCGACAAGCGAGCTGGTGCGCGGGGGCAGAGTCGCGGGTTCAAACCCTCGATCACAGTCTTTCTTTTTTTGTCGAACGCCTGGAGGGTAGGCCGTCCCGTCGAGGCAAGGTGCCATGCGGCACAGCCTACACTGCAGGCGTTGTCCACGCCAAGCTTACCTGGGTGTTGTACCCGCGGCCGCAGCACAGCAGGTCGCAGCTCTGGGCGCCGCTGCCCGTCTTGTTGCAGGCCCTGCCGCTGGTGCCGGCGATGCCCCGCGCGGGGTCCGTCACGCAGTAGTCGGGGCTCTTGTGGATGTGCACCAGGTCGCCCTTCGACAGCGACCTCTTCCATTTGTTGCGGCCGCCCCTGCAAAGCACAACGCATGACTTCTCTGGTGGCCGAGGGGTTAGCGACCTGACTCGCGGACCGGAGACCGCAGAGACCGCGGGGCCAAATACCAGCCCCGGCGGAATTTTTTTTTTTGGGGGCGGGGAGGGGGGGGGTATTGTTGCGGCCGAAAAGGTCGACACTGACAGCCGAGGGGTTGGAGAGGTGGCTTGAGCGCCAGGAGCCCCGGGTTCAAGTACCGCCGCCGGCGGATTTTTTTTTTCACCTGTTGCTCTGGTTGCTGCCCGAGCGCGGGTTCTTGCTCTTCCGCCGCATCCGCCGGCGGCCGCGCGACGCGGTGATCTGCACGGCCTGGCGGTACTTCCGCTTGAGGAGGTCGCCCACCTCGCTGAAGGCGGGCAGCGTCCGCCAGCACGTCTTGAGCTCGCACGAGCCGGACACGCCGTGGCAGCGGCAGTGCATGCGCAGCAGCGAGCTCACCACCTGCGCCCGTCAAATTGCAAGTAAAGACACAGAAAAAAATCATATTTTTTAAAAAAAAATGAGAACAAAAAATTTGAAAATTAAGTTTTAGGGAAACAAAAAAAATTAAATTTTTCTTGGAAAACCAATTTAAAAAACCCATTTTTTTTTTAAAAACAAAATATTTTGAATTTCTTTTGTAAAGAAAAATTTAGAAAATTATATTTCAAAAAATTCGAGCGGCAAATTCGAATTCGGCTCCCCTCACCTGTCTGCCCGCCTCGTTGTTGTGCAGGTTCATCCGGGCCCTGACGGCGAACTGCTTCCTGGCCTTCGGGTCGCCGCTGTTGGGCTTGGTCCTCTCGGGGGCGTCCACGAACTTCCTGGAGAACTGCAGGCCGTAGTGGAGGTTGTCACTGCGGACATAGGAAAGCGGTAAACCGTGAGAAAGTGGAAACTTTTTTTTTTGACCGTTTGCCGAACGGTCTTAGGCGCGTTGGTGGGATCGACTATTCGGCCCGTTGTGGAGATGATCTCGGGCCGGGTGGGGCCGGGCCGGCCGAGCCACGATGTGACACGACGCCGCCCCAAGCAGAGAATAATTACTCATTAAACTTTTAAACTCGGCTGAAAAGTCGCTAGACTAAATTGAAAATAGCGGAGGCTGCCGTGGAGGCCCCCGGAAACCCGTGGCAACGACCCCAGCCGCCGGCCAGGGGCGGCCCGGGGAAGGCCGGGGGCGGACGAGCCAGTTTTCGAAACTGTTGGCCCCGGACCGCGCTCGAAGAGGGGCCTCGACTGACAGTGCGCCAGAAGACCGACGCCGCCGGCCAAAACTCCAGACGCGTTTTGAGCTCTAGAGTCGCTAAATGGGACTCGAACCGAGACCCCACCAATGGATTGCTCTCCGAACGAGGAATCCATTGGTGGGGTCACACGTTCGGTTCCAGTCCCATTCAGCGACTCTGCAGCTCAAAACGCGTCCGGGATTTTGACCGCCTCACCGGCCTTCTAGCCAATCCACTGTGCGCGGCGGAAACCTCGGCCGAAACCGCAACTCGTCGTGTTCCTCTTTTTGCGCGGCGCGTCGTGTCGCGTGCTGGTCACGCGTTGGGCCGCGACCGCGGTCGGGACCGTCCCGGGGGACAGTTTTAGCAGCGCCACTGAGTCTAGTCGCGATTGCCGGCGGGGACCGGAGGGGACCGGAGGGGACCCTGTTTTTCGGGGCGGTGCCCCCACCCGGCCCCACCCCGCCCCGACGGGCGGGGTACCCTCGAAGCGCCCTCCTGGCCATCCCTGCCGTGCCTGCGCCCTGTAACGGCGAAGGGAGGCTTTTGTTCAAGTCAAAAACAACAACAAAAACACGGCGACACTGGGTGGCAGATGGCAACGGCGAGCTCGACGAGACGGAGCGTCGAGAGGGTCGAAGCCCAGAGGGCCCTACAGTGCAGGGGCACAAGGGGCAGCTAGTCGGGAGACAGGTGTCACAACGTTCACAATGGATACATTGGTACATTTGGTCCGATGCCAAATTTCATCCGTAAAAAGAGCTTCTATTTGAAAAAGTCGCAGTTTTTTTTTTAAGGGGTAATTTTTTTTTTTTGGCTGGCTCCTCCTGTGTGGTCTCGCCTCTCCAAGCCGCAAGGAGCAGCGTTCTTGTTTCAGAGGGATGAAGCGGCATTCGTCTTCCGCGTGCTTGGCTGGGATTATATTCTGCGGCAGCCCCGCCCCGCCCCGCCCCGCCTCGCCCCGCCCCGCCCCGCCCCGCCCTTCTTCGACGCCCTCGCGCGCAGACAGGGCCACTGAGTCCCTTTGAGCCGATGCAAGGGCCCAATGTGTCCACACTCTTCTTTTTGCTCCTTGCTCTTGTTTCACTTTTGAAAAGTTGGTGGCGTCAGGCTTGTCAAAAGCAGCCTCCCCCGCCCCTGCAGGCCCCACAGTGGGCCAGAAGACCGGTGGAGGCGGCCGAAACTCCAGACGCGTTTTGAGCTCCAGAGCCGCTAAATGGGACTCAAACCGAATGTGTGACCCCACCCATGGATTGCTCTCCGCGCGAGGAATCCATTGGTGGGGTCACACGTTCGGTTTGAGTCCTGCTTAGCGACTCTGGAGCTCAAAACGCGTCTGGAGTTTTGTCCGCCTCCACCGGTCTTCTGGCCCACTGCGAGCCCCTCCAGGCCCGCCACCCCCGCGCCCTGGAACAATGAAGCGACGGCGCTGCGACCCAGCCAGCCCCGCCAACCCTAGCGACCCTTCCCACCCGCACGTACAGTGGTACCAACCGTCCCAGCGAGGGTACGGGTCGCAAGCCAAAACGGAACCTAGAGGCGGAGAGCTCCACCCCGAAATTAGCGGGCGTTTCAAGGTAATTTGGGCCGCAATTGGCACCACTGACGTAAATACAAAGCCCCCGGAAACCGGACGGAGGGGCTGCACTGGGGAAGCTGTACGAGGGCAGCGGATCCGAGTACGAGAAGCACGGTTTGCTATGAGTGCGGATTCCAACTTGGTGGATGGACGATGTGCTGACATTACAACCAACCCCTACGCCATGCGTCACGCAGTCATCCGCTTTTTACTTTTGTTGCGTTGCCCTTCCTGGAATGGTGCACGACACTGCCTGCCCCGCTATTTCAATTCGCGGCCCGCGAGCCGCACAGTGGGCCAGCAGACCGGTGGAGGCGGCCAGAACTCTGGACGCGTTTCGAGCTCCAGAGTCGCTAAATGGGGCTCGAACCGAATGTGTGACCCCACCAATGGATTGCTCTCCGAACGAGGAGTCCATTGGTGGGGTCACACGTTCGGTTCGGTGCCCGTTTAGCGACTCTGGAGCTCAAAACGCGTCCAGAGTTCTGTCCGCCTCCACCGGCCTTCTGGCCCACTGTTCGGCGGCCGCACGCGCCCCGCGGGGCCCCCGGGGACCCAGCACGAGTCGGTAATGAAAAAAACTGGAAAGCATGCGAGTCGGAAAATGGGAAAAACGGTGTGCGAGACGAGATAACCAGTGTCCTTGCCTTATCGCGGAAGGGACCGCCCCCATCCGCCACCCCGCATCGCATGCAGCGTGGCGCCACAACAATCTCAAAACTTGCACGCGTCGGCGGAGGAAAAACAACAATAAAAAACAAAAACAAAAATCGCAACAACAAAAAAAAATTGAAAACGGGCCGAGATCTGCATGCGAGGCCGCACACTCCACTACACTGGTGCAGCCTCGGCCAATTAGCGCGTCTAATAAACAAGGACGGGCGGACTTTTTCCTTCCTTTTTCCACCCTTCCGGGGAATTATTTTATTAATACGTCCTCCCTCCGGGGCGTCAGTCTCGGCACAGACAGATGTTCCTAATTAGGGGCGGCTTCAATTTCAAATCCAATTATTTGGCTGAAGATGCGGGGGAGGGGGGGGGGTTGCAATCAGGAGGGCTGCCGAGCCGCCGCGCGCGAATTTCACACAAGAGTGCGGACAAATCTCGCAACTTGCAACACATGCCCCGTGTGCGTGGCGTTATACAGTGTCACGGCGGGGAAGGGGCGATGCACCGCTCGCCGAATTCCAGCAGAGAGATAGAGGGGGAGGGAGAGAGAGAGAGAGAGAGAGAGAGAGAGAGAGAGAGAGCAGGGGCGTGTCCTCGCGACTCACACGGTTAATTTGAACTCGAATCGAACTCGTGTGGCGGTACCAATAGGTTTGCCCGTCACTCCGAAAGTACCCTCAAGTGTTTGATTCGCGAGTCCTGTCCGAATCATGCCCCGTGTCGCACTGCTCTGCTTCGTGGCATTTCTGATCCACCCCGCGGACGCACAGTGGGCCAGAAGACCGGTGGAGGCAGCTGCAGAGTCGCTAAATGAGACTCGAGCCGCACTTGTGACCCCACCAATGGATTGCTCTCCGAACGAGGAATCCAATGGTGGGGTCACACGTTCGTTTCGAGTCCTGATTAGCTACCCTGGAGCTCAAAACGCGTCTAGAGTTTTGTCCGCCTCCACCGGCCTTCTGGCCCACTGTGGGACGGAAAGTCGACCAGACAGTCGCTGATACTGACTTATGGAAATCCCGGCGATGGACAGCCACGCCCCGCCCCGCCCTGCCCCGCCCCGCCCTGCCCCGCCCCACCCCGCGGGGTGATGCCACGCAAACACGGACAAAAGGGTGTCGTCGCCCTTTCCCTTCCTTCTTTATTAAATCGGCCGCAGCCATTGTAGCGCACGAGAACGCCGTCTGATTGGCACGCCGTAATACACCACCACCTTACTTTAAAAAAAATAATTTCAGATTTCGTTTTTGCTATGTTTTTACCAATACTCACGCAGCACTGATTGCATGTCAAAACGTTTTCAGCCCCTTTAAAAAAAAAAAAACTGTCAATAAGCTGTCAACAATTTCTTTTTATTTTAAAAAAGACAGATTTTTGTTTTTGGAAAACTACGTCCGGGGGATGCTGAACGCTACAGCCGCGGCCGTTGGGTTGTTCTCACGGAACACACTGTGGCCTACACTGTACACAGGGCGAAAGTGAAAGGGGCCGGGCGGGGCGCTTTTTGCCGAAGGGCCGAGCGAAGGGCCCGACCCGACGGGCCTAAAGGGCGAAGGGCCGCAAGGGCGAGTGCTGCTGCCGTGCTGCTGGTGGCGGCATGGCGGCATGGCGGTCGCCCACAGTTTGTTTTACCCCTCGCACGGCCCAACAACAACAACGTTACCACGGAGATTACCGCCACTCAACAACAACAACACTTTTTCCTCCTGTCGCTTCTTTTCTCTCTCTCTCTCTCTCTCTCTCTCTCTCTCTCTCTCTCTCTCTCTCTCTCTCTCTCTCTCTCTCTCTCTCTCACGGCGGAGCGAGCGCGCCAAGGTGCGGATTCCGCGCGGTGAATTTTTCATCGCGGATCGCGAGGCCGCGGGGAGTCGCATCGGAAAAGCGGATATCGGCGGAACGAACAGTCTACAAGCGGGACAAAGCCAGTCGGCAAAAGCCAGTGAGCCAGTCAGTGACGCACCGAAGCCAGCTCGCCAGGCCGCCAGCAAGGTCAGGGCCCTGGCCAGTCCGCCGGGCTGTGCGCGACCGGCCTTCCCGAGTGGACTTGGAGGCATCGAAGTGTACTTCGCGAACCAAGTACCGACAGGGCGAGTCCCAAAGCCAGCCAGGCGAGCGGTCTGCGAGCAGCCGACCGATTCAAGTCGCCTCGTCGCTCTGTCTCTGTCGCACTCACGGGGCTCGCCCTAAGGGTGCAAGAGAGACAGAGAGCAGCACAGTGGGCCAGAAGACCGGTGGAGACGGCCAAAACTCTAGACGCGTTTTGAGCTCCAGAGTCGCTAATGAGACCTCGAACCGGACGTGTGACCCCATCAATGAATTCCTCGTTCGGAGAACAATCCATTGGTGGGGTCACACGTTCGGTTCGAGTCCCATTCAGCGACTCTGGAGCTCAAAACGCGTCTGGGGTTTTGTCCGCCTCCACCGGTCTTCTGGCCCACTGTGCGCAGCAATGTGCGCAGCGACAGCGAGCCTTGGCATTAATTTAATACCATATCGAGTGCAGTGCGGTGCCGAGTGCGGAGCGTGCGGAGTGGGTGCACTGCAAGGACTGCAGGCCGGCAACATTGCCAACGCGCAAGAAAGCAAAGGACGCGAAGGGAGCCGAAGGAAACCGAAGGGAACCATGAGGGTACCGGCTGTCCACTGCTTCTTCTCTCTCTCTCTCTCTCTCTCTCTCTCTCTCTCTCTCTCTCTCTCTCTCTCTCTCTCTCTCTCTCCTCTCTCTCTCTCTCTCTGCAGAGCGCTATAAACTGAATGAAACAGACGGAACATAAAGACTCTGACAAAATTATTTGCACCAGTTTAAAAAGCAAACCCCTAATTTTCGACAGTGGATAATTTTCGAGATTCCATCACTTTTTCTTCGTTTTATTGTTTAATTTTTTTTTGACAGAGTGGTCGCCGCGCAGAGTCCGGTCGGGCGGCGCGACATTGAGACATGTCTTTGCGGATTACTGAGGCGCCCGAAGGACGAGGGGAGAGGGAGAGAGAGAGAGAGAGAGAGAGAGAGAGAGAGAGAGAGAGAGAGAGAGAGAGAGAGAGAGAGAGAGAGAGAGAGAGAGAGAGAGAGCCCAGACGTGGCGCTCGTACGTTTTCCAGTCGATTGAAGAGAAGTCGACCCGTCCCGTTCCCCCGGCATGCAGTCCGGACGCGGCCCGCGCCGCATTTAGTATTTTTCAACGTCATTACAGCCGAGCAGCGATTCCGTCGCTGCTCTGTCTCTCTCGCACCCCCGCGTCAGGCCGAGAGCGAGAGAGACAGACCGCAGCCGGAGAGAGTGCGGCGAGAGGGCATGGCAGAGGGGGTGCAAGTGGTCTCGACTCTGATGGGCCCCGCACCCACAGTGGGCCGGAAGACCGGCGCAGACGGCCAGCACTCTAGAGGCGTTTTGAGCTCCAGAGTCGCTAAACAGGACTCGAACCGAACGTGTGACCCCACCAATGGATTGCTCTCCGAACGAGGAATCCATTGGTGGGGTCACACGTTCGGTTCGAGTCCCGTTTAGCGACTCTGGAGCTCAAAACGCGTCTAGAGTTTTGTCCGCCTCCACCGGCCTTCTGGCCCACTGTGGCACCCTCCCTCGCCCCCGAGGGGCCCCGTCGGCCGGGCCGCAGGGGCAGCAGGGCCCCGGCAGGGGCAGTGTCGCTCGACAACACGTGGCGGCGATGGCGAGCCCGAGACAAATGAAAGAGGAACCAACGTGCGTGAGGACTCGGTGTGTGTGTGTGTGTGGCCTATGCATTGCGCGGGTGTGCGTGCGACTGTGCGACTGAGTGTGTGTTTGTGCTGAGGTACTCGGAGACGGAGTTGGGCCCTACAGGGTGTGGTTCCCACGGGGGCTGCTCCCTGTCCGGAGGACGCCCGCCGCGGTAGGCACTCCCGGGCGCAGGCCTGTCCCCGGGACTGCCTACCCGGCAGGCGCTATCGCTTGCGATTGCGATTAATGGCTGGCGAGCACACTTAATGTCATGTACAATTTTGTACAAGACCTTACAGTTTTTTTTAGGCTCAGGAGATTTTCGTACAAGTTTCGTACGAAATACGGCAGATATTTCCCCATTTTTGAGCGAAATCGCGTACAAATTTGTGCGAAAAGTTGCTGTGCACAAACAATCCGTGATGTCTCGTACAAAATTTGTGCAAAAACAATTAGTGTAGAGGCGATTTGTTGTCGTTTTTGTTTTTCATGTTTTTTTAAATTGCCAAGTGGGTTACCTGCAGCCGCCCCACTTCCAGCCCTGCGGCGTGGTCCGCTGGTCCGAGATGCCCGGGTCGCAGCCGCAGTCCGTGAGCTCGCCGCCAGAGCACGCCTGGGTCACGGCGTGCGCCACGCCCGCGCTCGTCACCGCGTAGATGAAGGCCGTCTCCTTGCTCCCTGCAACAGAGTTCCCAAGTCACATTTCGGGACAGTTTCAAGAAATTGTTCCGTTCCGCCCTGGAACATGAAGCTTTCTGGTCACATTTCGGGACAATTTTGAGACATTGTTCCGTTCCGCCCTGGAACATGAAGATTTCTGGTCACATTTCGGGACAATTTTAAAGAAATTGTTCCGTTCCGCCCTGAAACATGAAGATTTCTTGTTCCATTTCAGGACAATTTTGAGAAACTGTTCCATTTCAGGACAATTTTGAGAAATTGTCCCATTTCAGGACAATTTTGAGAAACTGTCCCATTTCAGGACAATTTTGAGAAATTGTCCCATGTCAGGACAATTTTGAGACATTGTCACGTTTCGCAACAATTTTAAGAAATTAGGTACCTAACCACACGCAGACACACACACAAAACACTACGTTTGAATGTCAACTGAAAAATTCTGCAAGGGTAGTAAAAATGTCGGTTTTTTTCCTCCGACAAGTTGGCATTTCGATTTAAATTTCGAACCCTATGCTGCGCCTCAAAGGAGTTGCAAACTCTGCGCCCAATGTTGGCTGCAATGAAAGTGCTATTATGCAGGGGCCGTCAACTGCACTTCGTCCATACTGGGGAGGGGGAGGGCTGTGCCACGCTGGATATGCCTGATGGCCGAGAAGAGAGACAGAAAATCGGAGGCATGGCAGCAGGTGCCAGTGAGTGACAGCAGATCGGCACAATACTCTGTAAAAAACAGAGGAAGGAGGAGGGGGAGGGGGGCACTACAGTCGGCAGATGACGTCTTTTTCAGGAGCTCCACCCTGCAGACTGATTCCGAGAGTCGTCGCTCCGTCTCTCTCGCACCTCTACGGGACGCCCCATGAGTGCGAGAGAGAGACAGCGCGACGAAAACGACCAGTCTGCTGAGCGCGAAGTGATGGGGCGTTTCGCGTTTGCAGGCCTTTTGTCGGTGCCGCTGCCTTTCGGAACTAAATGCCGCCTTCCATCGAAGCCGACAATCGCAGTGCACTTTTACACGCAAAAAAAAAACACGAAAAAAAACTAACTTTTTGGCTCCTACAAATTTAAATACGAGATTAATAAATGACAGGAAAGGGATAGTATAGACAGGCCGATTCTCTGAAGATCGGATATGATGATGTAGACACTGGGGAGGGACAGAGAGAGAGAGAGAGAGAGAGAGAGAGAGAGAGAGAGAGAGAGAGAGAGAGAGAGAGAGAGAGAGAGAGGCGCAGGCCGGGAGCACACAACATTATATTGGACTACCATCTGGCGCCGTGGTTGTTGCAGACCTCCATTAAATATGCGGAATCGGGTGCATAGGCTTCGAGGCCTGGAGGGCTTCGAGGACTACCACGCACCACGGCACTGTCAAGTCACTGTTGCCACACGAGTGGGGCGAACACTCCCACGATGCACCGGTGTCCACCTGCCTTGGCTTTACTGTCGAAAAGGCAGCCCTTTAGACACCGTTGAATAGTGGGCCAGAAGACCGGTGGTGGCGGCCAAAACTCTAGACGCGTTTTGAGCTCCAGAGTCGCTAAATGGGACTCGAACCGAACGTGTGTCCCCGCTAATGGATTGCTCTACGAACGAGGAATCCATTGGTGGGGTCACACGGTCGGTTCGAGTCCTGTTTAGCGACTCTGGAGCTCAAAACGCGTCTAGAGTTTTGGTTTCTGCGTGCTGGACGACCGCACTCGGAAATTAAGTGTGTAATGTTGGTAACGTTGACGGGATCCGCCCCCATTCGTCAAGCCGGACGAAACGTCTGTCTCTCTCGCACCGCCGCGGGTGGGCTAGGGCGAGGCCCGGGCTGCCCGTGAGTGCGAGCAAGACGGAGACAGCTGGCCGTGATATTGATGCATCGGCCATCGCTCTAATTCGGAGCGGCGTTGACGCCCGCAGTGCAGGCGCAGCTCACCTCGCCTCGCTCTGTCTCTCTCGCACCCAGACGGGGCGCCCCGCGAGTGCGAGAGAGACAGAGCCGCTGCCCCAGGCCGCCCCAGGCCGGGCGATGACGGAGTGCGTCAGTTCGTCAGCGTGTCAGCGGCCAGCGGCCGCCAGCCCTCCCTCACAGCGTAGCCTGGCCTACGCGGGGCACTGGTCCAGACGGTCAGCGACCCAGAGAGAGAGAGAGAGAGAGAGAGAGAGAGAGAGAGAGAGAGAGAGAGCAAGGGGACCGGCTACAAATCGCCAAGGGAGAAACGTAGCTTCCTTATTCGTGTGCCACTTGCTTGTCCCCGTTCCCGAGGAGTCATCCGCACAATGCCACTGCATTTCCGCCCCAAGCGCCGTGGCGTAGTTGGTTAGACGACCGACTGCTGTGAAGAAGGTTCGTGGTTCAAAACACCGATAGATGGTTAATTTTTTGTATAAAGAACTCCAGAGCAGAGTAAGCTCTTTAAAAAATGATAGCATTTCTCCGCTGTACTGTCGGATGCGTCCGATACTTCCACAGACTTTCCACCTCGATTTGTTTACAGTGTGCCAGAGAGGCTGATCCGAAACAGAAGGTCCTCGCTGACATGACGATCATGGATCGCCTTCCCTGTTATAGTGGCTGTCCATCACACGAACGATACAGGCTCAAATCACCAGCCATCACCACCACGGTGTCACCACGCCGCCTGGTTCGCTCCCGAGCCCACCACGGCCACCACGGCCACTGCGGCCACCGCGATGGAGGTTAAAACACTTTGGTTAATGCTGGGGTCCCCTTCAATGGAGCTCGCTCAGCGCAGCTCACCCTCCCTGTGGGTAGATGAAGCCTCAGGAGTACAAGGGCTGAAAGCGCGCTGGCCCCCGCTAAGCCTTCTCTCTCTCTCTCTCTCTCTCTCTCTCTCTCTCTCTCTCTCTCTCTCTCTCATTCTCTGTCTCGCCCCCTCGCCGTGCGGCCGGCGGGGCGCCCTCCGCCAATGAGCAGAAAACTTTCTCGTTTTTGTTGCTTGTTTGTGTTTGGCGACTCCGGGCATGCCGGGGCAAGACGAGTGCTGCAGCCTTTTTCCCAGTGCGCCGGGCGGAATGGAGAAATGCAACGCCGAAAACGCGAGGCCCACCGCGAGCTCGTCGACGGCAGAGGAGAGTGAGCTACCCGCAGTCTGGTGGATAACGTTACGGACTGCAAATGTGAGCGCACAGGGTTCGAGGCCAACCGAGGTCAAAATTTATTTTATCACATAAAACTTTTTCTTTTAGCCGCTTCCACATTTTACGATACTTTCGTACAAGCGAGCGCACCGCGTGTGGGATGCGACGAAAATCGAGATATCGAAAAAGCGGCAACTTTAATCCGTTTACGAGATCCTGGCTCCTAAATCCGTGGATTTGGATACGGACCGCGACGAATCGGACGGCAGGGCCGACGCAGCCGGCATGGGGGTCTTGACGTGGGCGGCGAGGCCGTCGCTCTGTCTCTCTCGCGCTCGTGGGGCGTCCCGTGTAGGTGCGAGAGAGACAGAGCGACGACTCTCCGTCTGCTGGGCAGTGGGCAACACGTGTATTCAATTTGGGCCCCGAGTGTATCCTGCGTCGCGTCCACGCCCCGAAGTCCCGGCGACGCTAAGTAGACACCTCCGGGGGACCCCAGCAAGAATGCCTGATTTTTACGACCGGAATGAAAAATTGAAGCCCCATTTGTTGTGTGCAGTCTAGCCCGGCGGAAAGGGGGACACTATCCAGGTGTGTGTATGTGTGGGAGAGAGAGAGAGAGAAAGAGAGAGAGAGACATAGAGAGAGAGAGAGAGAGAGAGAGAGGGGGGGGGGCGCTCTCGATATTTTCGGTAACGTTCCTCGCTGGTTGTTGTTAATTTCGCAGGGTATCGAAAGGACGGGGCTGACGGGCGTAATACGCGGCACACAAAAACGACCCCAAAAAGTCTTAATCAAGCCAGCAGCAGCAAGAGTCACGGGCAGGTACGGCATCAGAAAGGAAGCCGCGTTCAAAGCGAAAACAGGCCAGACTGCGAGCACATATCAGTGCGATGTCGGAGCGCACATACCCCTGTCAACCGTTGTGTGTGTGTGTGTATGTGTGTGTGTGTGACCGCGTGCCTCAGTTCGCGGGTCTCTGTGTGCGTGCGCGCGCGCTTCGATTTGAATTTGTAATTGGGCCGCAATCACTTGATGCAAAATGTCATCTCCATGTGTACGAACAACACTGGCAAACAAACACACGCGACACACACACACACACACACACTCTCTCTCTCTCTCACACACACACACACACACACACACCGCAGTCACGCAGGGGCGGCCAGCTGAGTGCCGGCCCGCCTATTGGTTGCGTGTTAGCTGTTTGCTAATTTGAGGACATTAGCTAAGTCCCCCCTCCCCCTCTCGCAGTATCACACGACGACAGAGTTGCGACCCAAGAAACCGCACACTAAATGACCCGCATTTTTTTTGAAGGAAGGGGGGGGAGAGCAAAAGGTTTTCTTATTTTTGATTTTTGATCTCTGTCTCTGTCTGTCTGTCTGTCTCTCTCTCTCTCTCTCTCTCTCTCTCTCTCTCTCTCTCTCTCTCTCTCTCTCTCTCCCGCACTCCGGTCCTGTCGCTGATGTGCCGGGCCCGTCCGACCGTTTTATGATCGGATTATGCATACGGAGAGGCGTTCGGGACTTGGAGCCAGTGCAATGTGACACTGATCGGGGCGACCCCTGGCGGCCCTGGCGCACGTCTCCGGAACTTCTGGAAGCTCGCTGGAAGCTCCCTGCAAGCTCCTTGCAAGCTCCCAGAAAGCTCCCTGCAAGCTCCTTGCAAGCTCCCTGAAAGCTCCCTCCAAGCTCCTTGCAAGCTCCCTGAAAGCTCCCTGAAAGCTCCCTGAAGGCTCCCTGAAGGCTCCCTGAAAGCTCGCTGGAAGCTCCCTGAAAGCTCCGAGAAAGCTCCATCAAAGCTTACTGGAAGCTCCCTGAAATCTCGCTGGAAGCTCCCTGAAAGCTCGCTGGTAGCTCCCTGAAAGCTCGCTGGAAGCTCCCTGAAAGCTCGCTGGAAGCAGTTGAAACCTTGGAACCACTGAAACGTCTGGAACCCCTGGAAGCTCTGGAACCTCTCACCGAGAAGCCAGAGCAGGCCATGGCCGTGGCCGAGTCTGAGGCAGTACCCGGCCGGTGCCCGGTGACGCATCAGATAAACGTCACCGTAAAATGTGCAGCAAACTCGCAGGGCCGTCGGGAAAATGTAACAACAGCCAGCGCTCTGCTCGGGGGGACTGCTCTGGAAACGTAGTACCCGGCGGAGTGGCGTGCCGTGCGATAAGCCGCAAGGCAGCGTGGCCGAGCGCGCAGCGACGCCGACCTCTCACCCGTGAGTCGGAGGTTCAAAACCGCGTCACGAGCACCATTTTCATCACAGTACAGAGATCCCGAATCGCGTCACAAACCGACAGAGTAGCGTCACAGAAGTTCCAACATCGCATCACCTTTTTAAATCTAGCTAGGGCATATCCTTTTCAACGGTCTCCACTGTAACAAAATAATCTTGTCACACACTTATTTTTTCTTTGATTCAGACCAGACCGTATCATCTGCCATCATGTTCCAATTTTTAATAAATACTTTTCCTTGAAGATTTTTAAAAATATTCTAGCTTTTTAGAGGCTCTCTGTCTCTCCAACCACCCCGTCGACGACAGGCCGATCTCTACACGCACGCACGGACACGCACGCGCGCGCGCGCGCGCGCGCACACACACACACACACACACACAGAGTGCGGTTTCTCCCGGGTTTTCACCCTTTCCCGCCCTCGCCTCGAACGCCCGGGCGATTATCAAGACACATTAGGGATTGTCCGCTGGCAAAAAGCCCGCGCAGCCCGCACGGCCCGCACGCCGCCCACGCCAGAGAGAGAGAGAGAGAGAGAGAGAGAGAGAGAGAGAGAGAGAGAGAGAGAGAGAGAGGCGAGAAAAAAAGATGAAGGGGCGAAATGTTGGGTTCGTTCATGCCGGTGCCAAAGTGTGTGTGTGTGTGTTTTATTGTGTGTGTGTGTCTTTGCGTCTCGCGTGTGTTGCGTGAGTACAGAATAAGTACAGTGCAAAATCCCACAAAGCTGCCCACCTGTGGCCACGGCCAGGAGACCGCCAGGGGCGCGAGAGAGGCAGAGTGTTGTAAATGGAATCATTAGCAGTGGCCTCAGGCTACCCGGGGCCACACGGAGCATCCTATTGGAATGTAAATGTGGGAGGGAGAGAGGGGAAGGGAGGAGTGTTCTGGAGAAAGAGAGAGATGGGGAAGGGGGGGGGGATTTCTCTCTCGACAAGGAAAAGATTTCCTCTGCAACGAAGAGGCAAGGAACGGAGACTGTGGCGGCTGCAAGAGAGAGAGAGAGAGAGAGAGAGAGAGAGAGAGAGAGAGAGAGAGAGAGAAAGAGGACTGGGGCTGAGAGGGAAGGCAGGCAGCCAGGGCATGAGTAACAAGCAAGCTCATCTGCCGTAGAAATGACTAGCGACAAAGACTGGTGCATTTCCAGTATCACCCTTCTTTCCAGTGGTGGAGCGAGGCGGGCCGGGGGGCGCCTACACTGGCAGACGGGCAGCAGCACCCAACGCGCCAATTGCTCTAAAAAAGGGAGAGGAAAACACGGAAAAGCGTTTGAAAACAATTAGCCGGAGAAAAAAAATGCATTGTGAAGCTTTTTGCGGTCATGATGTGTTTTTGTTCGCCAGGGGGAGGGGTGCTTTTGGTCTGAGGTGTTCGAGCAATTTGCCAGGCCACCGCGGCCGGGGGAAGGAGGGGAGGGGGAGGGGGTTGGCCGTAGCAGCGACTGTGTGCAACCTGCTGACGTCAGGAAGTCCGCCATGCGGGTGGTGGAGGCCTGAACGCCAAATCCGAGAGTCGTCGTTTTCGTCGCTCTGTCTCTCTCGCACCTGCAAGGGACACCCCATGAGAGCGAGAGAGACAGAGCGATGACTCTCGGAATCAGGCTGCTGCCAGAGGCCGCACAGTGGGCCAGCAGAAGACCGGTGGAGGCGGCCAAAACGCTAGACGCGTTTTGAGCTCCAGAGTCGCTAAACGTGACTCGAACCGAACCTGTGACACCACCAATGGATTGCTCCCCGAACGAGGAATCCATTGGTGGGGTCACACGTTCGGTTCGAGTCCCATTCAGCGACTCTGGGGCTCAAAACGCGCCTAGAGTTTTGGCCGCCTCCACCGGTCTTCTGGCCCACTGTGGGCCGGGCGCAGCCACACTGCGGACCGAGGGCCCCGCCTGGGTGTGACGAGAAGGGGCCCTCTAAATTAACCGCCTCAGATTTTCCTGGTCCATTCATTCATTCTCAGCAGCAAGACGACGAGCACGACGAGCAGGAGGAGGAGGGGCGAGCCGCGCCCGAAATATGAGCGGCTGACAACGCCGCGACCCAAAACATTAATTTCACCGTTTCGCGCTCACCTTCGCGTTCACCCAGACGGCACCGAGCAGGGGACCGAGAAAAGAAAAAGCAGCAACCTAAAATTGGCTTTCGGCTTTTCTTTTTGTTTCGAGTGGGCGGTTGAATGAATGAATGAATGAATGAATGAATGAATGAATGAATGAATGAATGAATGAATGAATGAATGAATGAATGAATGAATGAATGAATGAATGAATGAATGAATGAATGAATGAATGAATGAATGAATGAATGAATGAATGAATGAATGAATGCCAGGGCACTGATGCAGCGCGCACGACCGAAATGAATCCAAGAATGAATCCCGTCTCCACCATTCGTGCGTGCGGGCGGTGCCAGGCAGTGCCAGGCAGTGCCGGGCTTGCCGGCCGGTGCAGCATCAACCCGCGGGACCCTCTCCTCTCCAGACCGATTCCGAAAGTCGTCGCTCTGTCTCTCTCGCACCTGCACGGGGCGCCCCACGAGTGCGAGCGAGAGAGACGGAGCGACGGGCCGGCCGGGACCCTCCGGGGCGGCCCCCACACTGTACTCACTCGGACTCCTCCTTCATTGTCGGCCCCTTTGTCGGCCCGTCTCTCTCACTCCCTCGCAGCATTCCGAGAGTCGCTTCCGTCGCTCTGTCTCTCTCGCACTCAGGGGGCGTCCCGTGCGGGTGCGAGAGAGACCGCTGCACAGTGGGCCAGAAGACCGGTGTCGGCGGCCGAAACTCTAGACGCGATTTTGAGCTCCAGAGTCGCTAAACGGGGCTCGAACCGAACGTGTAACCCCACCAGTGGATTCCTCGTTCGGAGAGCAATCCATTGGTGGGGTCACACGTTCGCTTCCAGTCCCATGCAGCGACTCTGGAGCTCAAAACGCGTTCGGGATGTCGACCGCCTCCGCCGGTCTTCTGGCCCACTGTGCGCTGGCCCGCTCCATCCTCATCTTCTGGTGCTTGGCGGCAAAACACGCGGGGTACAGCGCGACGGACAGGCGGGCGGACAGACGGACAGACGTTATCGGTCGCATCGAAATAACTTTATCCCCAATCGATTCTTATTAAATTGTCCGGCTGGGCTGATGTTTGGCGGAGCGAGTCGTGCACGCGGCGAGGCGTAAATCAAATAAAACGCAGGCACGCCTGCCCTCTCTCTCTCTCTCTCTCTCTCTCTCTCTCTCTCTCTCTCCCTCCCTCCTGTCTGGCGCGCGGCCGATCTGGACGGTATTAAGACTTGTTCGTTTTACCGGTTCTTGTCCATTACACCGTCGAGCCCCGCATGACTCCAAACACAGACACAGACACACACACACACACACACACACACACACACACACACACACACACAGCGCGGATTGCAATTGGCGACCACTCCAATGCGAATCTGAATCCATACCGGCGCCATGGCAGTGCCATAGCAGTGCTGTGGGGGCTTTGGTTGGACGCGAAGGTTTTCGCGGCACGAAACAGGGAGATTAGGCACGGAGTAAGCGAATGGGGGGGGGGGACAGCCTCGCCACCCCGTGGCCCCTTTTTCCAGTTTCCTCTCTCTTTGCCGCCAGAACGGCGTGTGTGTGTGTGTGTGTGTGTGTGTGTGTGTGTGCAGGTGTCTCCAGGGCTCCGGGCGCTTCGTCGTTATCTCCTGGCGCGGACGCTGGTGGCTGTGGCTGGCTATGGGAATCGCGGGCGCGTTTGAAGAAGACGCGCTCTGTGTGTGAGTGTGCGTGTGTCTGTGCGTGTCTGTGTGTGTGTGTGCACACACACACTCACCACACCTGTGTGTGAAGTAGAAGGGTGAATAATCAGTGGCTCCGAATGTTTAAAAGAGCCCCCTCCAGGTGAATTCGTTTCTTTAGGCAAACACGTCCAGGGCACGCGCGAGAGAGGCGGAGGGAGGGGGGGGGGTAAGGGGTGAGTCTCGAGGCAAAAGGGTTGCTAAAGAAGCCCCGCGCTGGAATTGTTTCTGACAGTGCGCCCACACTGCGGACTCCAGGACTCCACTCTGAGAAAACCTTACAAACTATTTTAGGCCTTACAAAGAAAAGCAGCTAACAAAGTATTTCAAGCATACATGAGCTTATCAAGAAAACACTTCGCAATTTACGAACTACTATTTCTTCGTAAACAAAGTAAATTAGTCTGCACTATGTATGCCGAGCATGTATGCTGAAAATATGTAACTTTCGTAAGGCTTAAAGTGTGCAACTCACCCCGCTCCAGGATGTACCCGAAGACGCTCTGCTCGTGCTCGTTGGTGGAGCAGTTCCAGCGCTCGTGCCGGAACTGGAACTGGCACTCCTGGATGCCCCTGCGCGCGCCCTCGGCGATGGACTTGATGGCCGAGGGGTGCTCCATGCACACGTTGGTCTGCGCCCCGATGAGGCCGGGCAGCGAGCCGCACACGGCGCGCGCCTCGGCCAGCTCGGGGTCGTCCAGGATCACGTCCAGGCCCTCGCCCTCGCCGGAGCCGCCGCTGGGGGCGGCCTGCTGCAGCGGCGGCGGCACGCCGACCAGCCCCAGGTACCTGCCGACAACAACAACACACGTTGCATCACGAAACAATTTCCGGACCTTTTAGGTCAAGCGGGACCGCGAAAGGTCTGCATAGGCCTGGCAGCGTTGATGATGATGATGATGATGTATCAATACTTGAGCTATTACTCGCAAAATGTGCGAGGCTCTGTGTACAGTTTGGTCAAAGGCCTTGGTTTGCGAGTTTCAAGTTTCAAGTTAGGGGTTCCAACTAGCAGCCTTGGGGTGGCTTCACATCCGTAACTTGGACGGGTTGGGGTCCTTAGGAGGACCATGCCCACGACAGTAGCGAGAGCAGACTCTCAATGTCTTACGAAGAAATTTCCCATAACACAAAGGAAATGGCGCAAGCATAATAAGAAAGTGGGTTTTCTTCGTAATGCGAAGGAATATTCGTATTATGCTTGCGCCGAATGCACTGTGAGACATTTAGAGTGCAGGCTGATACATTTACACCGCTGAGTCAAAAACAGTTGACATAAAGTAGAAAGTGTCACGGCGAGTAATAAGCGAGCCTTGCTTCGTTTCCAGGTCGCAACAGACAACAACAACAACAACAACAACAACAAGAGCCGAGCCACGCACGATGAGACGCAACTAGAGCCAACCCTCGTCTCTCGCTCTGCCAGGGACCGCCATCCCTTCCGTATTCAATTAATATCCTGATTCATAATTCATACTCCGACTCCGATGTTGAAAAATACATTTAAAGAGGGAGGCAGCGTCCGGGGGCCGCCGCCGCGGCCAACCGCAGCCACGCCGCAGCCGGCAGAGGGTTTGTCATCCTCCACAGCAATTTTTCATACCGAAGCCAGCAGCCGCCCGCCCCGCCGCCAGCCCGATCGAAGAAGAGGGTATTTCTTGCGTCTGGTCTCTGTTTTCGGCGGGGGAGGACTTTCAGTCAGACGGACGGACAGACAGACAGACAGACAGACAGGAGACAGACACTCCCTTCCAGGCTTTATGGGGTTCATTCCGGTATCGGACACAGGGGGTCCCGGGTTGTCATGGATACCGACGACTCCTTCCACAGAGTCACGGGTCTTCATATTTCAGGACCGACCCGTCCATGAATGACGTAACGGGGGAGCCAAGTCTTACAGTGGAGCGCCGCGCGGGTAGGCAACACGAGCACACGGGTGTCGCGCGGGACTGCCCGCCGCGTCTGTCTCTGTCGCACTCGCACTCGCCGGCGCACTTGCAGTCCATGGCACAGTGGGCGGTGGGGGCGGACAAAACTCTAGACGCGTTTTGAGCACCAAAGTTGCTAAATAGGCCTCGACCCGAACGTGTGACCCCACCGATGGATTGCTCTCCGAACGACGAATCCATCGGTGGGGTCACACGTTCGATTCGAGTCCTGTTTAGCGACTCTGGAGCTCAAAACGCGTCCGCCTCCACCGGTCTTCTGGCCCACTGTGCGACGGCAGGAAGACGCTCGGAGCGTCAACGTCTCGGCATGAATGGAGGTTGCAAATGCGCGGTCTGTCTGCCTGCCCGTCTGTCCGGCCGGCCGGCCGCAAGCCCTGCGGTGCCCTTCAGTGATGGGAAGCGCGGCAAGATACGGGATAAATTGCCCTTAAAAGGGTTAAATTAGGGGGCGGGAGGAACGGGAAAGAGAGAGAGGAAACTGGCAATGGAGAGTGTGGGACGGAGACGGCCGGCCGGACGCCGTTCCGAAAGACAGAGAAACAAATACTGGGCCGAATCGGCCTGGAGGTCACAGTATAAGCTGCAACCAAAAAAAAAATCTTCATTTCATTTTGCTGTGTTTCCGCGTGGTCGTTTTGTTGCCGTGGCGTTGGTGGTTAGCGGTAATTGTTTCCATCTGCAGACGTTGGCGCTACTGCAGCAATTTCCACGGGCACACGCGAACACCTCCGAGGACTCGCCCGGCCGAGGACCACCCCGACACTGTAAGGATATGCAAACTGCAATGCAAAAACAAAGCAAACAGGGAGGCGCTGCTTTGGCCCCCCAGTGTATCCCCCTGAGGCGGCCATACCAGAAAAACAGGCAGAGCCTTGATCAAGCAGAAGAGCGATGCAGCAGCTGCACAGTGGGCCAGAAGACCGGTGGAGGCGGTCAAAATCCCGGACGCGTTTTGAGCTCCAGCGCCGCTAAATGGGACTCGAACCGAACGTGTGACCCCACCCATGGGTTGCTGTCCGAACGAGGAATCCATTGGTGGGGTCACACGCTCGGTTCGAGTCCCGTTTAGCGACTCTGGAGCTCAAAACGCGTCTGGAGTTTTTGCCGCCCCCACCGGTCTTCTGGCAAATCCACTGTGAGCTGCGAGTACTTTCCCAACCTTCCCCCTCCCCCTCCACGCACCCCTTGTTCGAAGGAATAAACTTGTCGGCCAAAAGTTGGGAAATGCATTGGTAACACGCGCGGGCCTCATGGCGCCTCATGGCCTGTACCGGACGGCCAATATCCCCCAGGGATGGCGGCGGTGCGAGAGAGAGGGCATCTTTCACCGCGGCGCAAATCACCGGGGGTGCGAGAGAGACAGCGTCCTTTACCGTCGCGCAAATCACCGGGAGTCAAATATCGCCTGTCAATACTACCCGGGCAAAGATATCACCAATCGGGTGGATGGGGTCTTGGGAGGTAATCCAGAGCGAGCGTGTGTGTGTGTGTGTGAGAGAGAGAGAGGAGACGCAGGGAGCCAGTGAGCCGAGTCTTGATTTAGGCCTAATCCGAGAGGCACATCTGTGGATAGAAAGAAAGGACTCTCTCTCGCTCTCTCTCTCTCTCTCTCTCTCTCTCTCTCTCTCTCTCTCTCTCTCTCTCTCCAGTCCAGCCTGCGTCTGACATGTTTAGGGTCCAGAGACATAACCTATTTATTAAATACTAGAGCTTTATTTTTCTTCGGCTTCGGATCATAAATACCAGTCTGCCTTCCACCGATCCGTGAATATCAAACGTCGCCAACCCGTTTGAGGGCAGAGAGAGAGAGAGAGAGAGAGAGAGAGAGAGAGAGAGAGAGAGAGAGGAGAGAGAGAGAGAGAGAGAGACGAGGTGACGGACTGACGCGTGTAACTGGGGGAGACTCTGACAGCGAAAACGTCCAGGGAATTTCTTCGGCCGGTTGCACACTGGGAAAATTCTGGCTGTCACTTAGTGACAATAATTTCGAGGCTAATTTTCTTAACAAGAATGTAATCAAACCATTTGACGACACGCCTATGTAAATCAGTATAATGGCTGGGATGATTTTTCCGTAGAGTGTCAACAAATTTTGAGTGCACTCTAAATGTCTTACGAAGAAATTTCCCATAATACGAGGGAAATAGCGCAAGCACGATACAGAGTGACAATAATTTTTGAGTGTGCCACGATTTGTCGAAAGGCCTGTTGGAAATTGAAAGAGCTCACACGATTTCTCTTTTCCGAGTTGAATCAACCAATCGGCCAGAAAGGGGCGTGGGGAAGTCACCTAATGCATTCATTAGCAATGAGTGACGGCCGGGTCTCGAACCCGGGACGGTCGCCTTGAAATATGCAAAACGCAAGTCGGCTCCGCGAGACAACTTTCCCGGTAAAGGCTGCTTAATTGGGTTTCCGACCATCCAGTAATTGTTGGCCATGTTTGTCGAAACAACTTCGCGCCAGTTTGGATGGACACTTGTCTGGGACCGACTCGTCTCCTGCGCAAAAATCGGCAAACTAGATTTTAAAAAAATTGTTGGGCTTCAGGTGTAGTGGCATTTTCCATTGTTTCGAAACGTTTCTCTGAAAGTGAAATAATTTTGACGCTGTGACAAAATTTGCTGCTGCCGTTGCTGATACTCGAACCCGAACTTCCTCGAATCGCTTCCTAGAGCGCTCTTTTTTTCTAACTTTTCCTTTTTTTTGGGTGCGTTGTGTCTTCGTGTCGGCAGCACGTCATCAGACCGAAAATGAGGAAGTAATCTCAACCATTGTGAGTCCGAGCGGCTCCGCGGGGGGTTTGCCAGAAGGGCTCCACGGCACGGTGGTCTACAGCCCAGACCAATCGCCCGGACCACCTAGGCCCTCCATCTGGCGTGCGAGACAACTGCCCGGCGGAGAAGAACTGTTTCCCATTTGGCGCTACTCTGCAAGCAACAACCTTCTCTGCAGAAAAAATAAATTAAAAAAAAAGCATTTTTAACGCGCAATTATTTTTTTTTAAATTTCAAGCGACGTTTGGTGAGCAATTTTTTTCGAAGTGAGTGCTTTTGGGCGTGTTCCCACGCATGACGAATCTATTCGCTGTCTTCGGTCATAAACAGCCCGATGAATGGCAGGGCGAGGCGTGGGAGAGAGAGAGAGAGAGAGAGAGAGAGAGAGAGAGAGAGAGAGAGAGAGAGAGAGAGAGAGAGAGAGAGAGGCATCTGGAAGGGACCCGCCCTGCCGACGCCCTGAGACGCCCTAGTTACGCCCTTCACTGTGTCCCGTGTGTCAGTCTGTCTGTCTGTCCGTCTGCAGTGAGACAGCAAGGACCGGGTTGCATCGGCCACATCGCGTGGGCGGCAGTCCGACTGGGCTTTTACAATAACGCCGAGGCTCTCCAGCGACCTGACGGCCTGACTCGGGCCATCGGGGGTGAGTCCGAATCCGGACGCCAGTCTGGTCATCGGGGACCTCGCGTCACGAGTCCACCATGTTGTTGTTGTTGTTGTTGTTGTTGCGGGGCCACGCGGAGGCGCTTATCAAAGACGTATCGTCCTCAGAGGCCCCACGCCGCACGCCCCGCCCCCTCACACCTGCATATGGTAATCTAATACTCTCGTGCCGAGTGCATGCCCTGGTACCGCCTTCCACCGACCGGGGGGAAAAAGTCGTGGCCGGGGATTTGAACCCGTGCCGCGCCGAGGGCCGAGACCCCCGTAAAACAAAGGAGGCCCCGGGCCCACCTGTTGTCCTCTGCCATTTCGCTGGCGAGCCGCACGCGCTGCGCAAGGCGGCGAAGAATCTTGTCAAGCGATGATTCTTTTTCCTTTTTACCCGCTAATCCGACCGATCATTCCAAGTAAAATTCGGATTCCACCATCTTTCTTTCAGCTGGCGCCTGCCGGCGGGAGAAACCCTCGGCGTCATCTTCCCGTCGGAGCTTCTTTTTTTTTCAACAATTTATCCTTTTTTCCACGGTGTACCTGGGAGCGGTTCGGACTGGCCGGGCGCGCGGCGGTGCGGCTCAAATTGGTGGGTGTGTGCCTCGAAGGTCCCCCAGGGGCGGGGGCCGGGGGGCGGCACGGCCGGCCTCCCTTGGGGGCACCCATTTTCCAATTTACCCCTTCTTCTTCTTTTTTCCCTTCTTAGTTTCTTTCCCCTCTTTCATCTTAAACCCCTCCTTCTAGTTCTTTCATTCTTTTTTCAACTTCCCTTCTTAGTCTTTTTTTTCTCCTTCCCTTCTTCTTTTTTCCCTTCCCCTTTTTCCTTCTTTTCTTCTTCTTCCTTTTTTTCTTTTCTCCTCTTCCCTTCTTCTTAGTCTTCTTCTTTTTTCTTCTTCTTTTTCCCCTCCTCCTTCGTGCATTTCTCGCCCCGAAGCGCGCGTCACCCGGCTGTGTGTTATTTCAATCGCGTTGTCCAATCGGTGCAGACTTTGCGGCAGCAGACACTCGCTGCGGTCGAGCGCGGTGTATCGCATTTCTCGTCAAATAATTCGATACGTTGTACGTTTCCGCGTGTCTCTGTGTGTGTCTTTGTTTCCGCTGTGTGTGTGTGGCGCTATCGGTCGTCATCGCGGGGCTTTACGTGTTTTACGGCGAGAGTGGCGATGACACCCATTCACAGACCCCTTTTTCTTCCTCTTCTTCTTCTTCCTCCTCCTCAATCCCCTCCTCCTCCTCCTCTTTTTCGTCGAAGCGGGCAGCGCGCCGGTAAGCTTTAATCGTCCCCCCCCCCACTCCTCCGGGCGGTACACCTTTATTGCGCCCTCTATTAACGTTATCAGGTTGAAGCTCCTCTTAAAAGGCCTCCATTGCCCGCTTCAGCCGAGGCTTCAGCCAACGCCGGTGCCACCATTGTAAAACCAAAGGGTCTCCAGGTGAGTTTAATCTGCGCAGTGTTGCCACCACCGCCGCCGTCGCCAGCGAGATGATGAAAAAGTTGGTAAAAAGGGACACTGTGCGCCTTTGAGTGTTCAGACGTTCTTTCTCTCCCGTTGGCGCGACAGAAAAGTCCATAGCCGCGGTCATAAGACGAGATGAGAGAGAGAGAGAGAGAGAGAGAGAGAGAGAGAGAGAAGAGAGAGAGAGAGAGAAAAGAGAGAGAGAGAGAGAGAGAGAGAGAGAGAGAGAGAGAGAGAGAGAGAGAGAGAGAGAGAGAGAGAGAGAGAGAGAGAGAGAGGGATGTGGTCATTTTCCAGCAGTTTCCGAGACACTTCCAGAGAGCATTAAGACATGACGCATCCCCTAATGAAGGCAGATATTGTCCCTCTCTGGAGCGGCAGGACTGTCTGAGATTCACTCACATCCAGTTGGCGTTGGCTGCACTGGTGGTCGGCGCCCTCAGCAGCAGGGGTAGCAGGAGCACCGGGAGAGGTAGAGCCAGCCTCGCTTGCCCCATGGCCGAGGCCTGGGCCAGGCCTGGGCCTAGCCTGGGGCCTCGCGAGGCGCGCTGGGGGGCGCGCTGGGGCCCCCAAGGGCTGCAAGCTCTAACGCCCCAGGCCCGGGGCCTGCGCCATCCCAGCTGCAACAAAAAACAAAAAATTTCAGGCACTGTTACGACGCCGTTCACATCTACATTGAAATGAAACTTGACACTTTTTCAAGGCTCACAGGACGTCGAGGACATTTTTCGAAGATTTCAGTCAAATGCCCCGGGCTGTACACTGAAAGGCTAAAAGCACCCACTTTTCTCGAAAACGCGTCCGTAGAACGATTCCGAGAGTCGTCGCCCCGTCTCTCTCGCACTCATGGGGCGTCCCGTGTGGGTGTGAGGGAGACAGAGCGACGGAAACGACTCTCAGTCTGACGCGTGGCTCGAAGCACTCGAACGTGACGCCGGCCAAGTGTTTCCAAACTTAAGACAGACTCGTCGTAAATTTGGGGCGAGACCGAAGCCAACGGAAGGCGAAGCACAGCCAAGCCGCATCACAGCCACTGTAAAACCTGAAACTCCTGTGTACGCAGTCCGCGTGTCGGTGAGTGTGTCTCTGTGCGTCTGTGTGTGTGTGCAGGATTCCTGCGTGTGCACAAAAAAGGGAGTGATCAAACTAGGTATCGCTACGCTAAGAGTAACGTTTGAAAAAAAAAACATTGTTCAGCACCCAACGATTTTCATTTTATTTTTTCATTGCTTTGGAAGTGTCCATGGTGCAACCCCCCGGCTTCACATGAAAGAGGCTCCATTCGAGGACATCCACATTATGACGTAACACCTAACTCCGTCTCTCTCGCACTCGCAGACGCGGTCCCAACGGAGCGACAAAGACAGCTAAAAAAAAGAGTCACGTGGTTTAAGCGCGGCCCCCTCAAGGTGCGCCGGGTGCAGCAGAATGCAGCGGCAGAGTGAGAGTCGCTTTCGTCGCTCTGTCTCTCTCGCACTCGTGGGGCGCCCCGTACAGGTGCGAGAGAGACAGAGCGACTCTCGGAATCAGTCTGCGGGGCATTCGACACGCGCCAGCCGCGCATAGCCCGGCAGCGCAGCCACTGCATTAGGCACGGAGCACACGCACACACACACGCACACACACGCACACACACACACACGCACACACACACACGCACACACACACACACACGCACACACACACACACCGCAGCACACACACACACACGCACACACACGCACACACACGCACACGAAGCTAACGAGTTATTCAGTGAATGGCCTATGCTGCATCGCAACCACCCAGCACAGCATCCCTCACCCACAGGCTCATACTTCGGATCCAGCTGTTCAAATTGTTGTTGTTGTTCTTCTTCTTCCTGCTCACTCCCTTCGTCCGCGAACTCGCGCGAAATTTCCGCGGCTTTTCCACGAGTTTTTCATCAATTTTTTTTTCCGCAGTCATCGACGTTTGAATGGTCGTGATGGACATTTGGTGGGCGGGCTGGTCTGCCGGCGGTCTGCTGCCGCTGAGTGGTTCGTTCCGGAGTGGGTGGCGGCCGCTGCTCTGAGAGAGCGAGAGAGAGAGAGAGAGAGAGAGAGAGAGAGAGAGAGAGAGAGAGAGAGAGAGAGAGAGGGCGGGCAGGTGCCGACTGACCGGCAGTGACCGCACGGCGTGCGGGCCATGGAGGCCCCGTACCGTAGCGGGTCAAACGGCGTGGAACACACCCACAGCGTCACGCCGCATATACACTGTAGGGGCCAGGGGCGGCCTCAAAGGGAGCCGAGGGCACCGCGGCAACGCCCCCGGCTCTGGCCGCCCCTGGCCCACCCTGCAGGCCGACAGTCGTCTGTCTCTCTCGCACTCGTGGGGCGTTCCGCACAGACGCGAGCGAGACAGCGACGAATCGGTCCGCTGCTGCCATTCCGAAGCCCCACCTGGCGGACCCGGGTTCGACTCCCGGCCGCGGCGCCGATTTCTCCCCGCCGCCCAGCACCCCCTGCACCCCGTTCTCGTCGCTCTGTCTCTCTCGCACCCGTACGGGACGCCCCACGAGTGCGAGAGAGACAGAGCGACGACTCTCGGAATCAATCTGCAGCAGCCAGCCCTCCCCGAAATCCCATCACGTCAGCTATGATAATACGCCCGTCGCGGCGCACTTGTTCGTGCCTATTGTTTAGCGCTGTTTGCACCCCACTGACTTACTGACTGACTGACTGGACAGACAGACAGACAGACAGACAGACAGACAGACAGACAGACAGACAGGCAGACAGACAGGCGCAACGCGCTGCGGATGAAAAACTATCGACTTTCGGAATGATCGGGCGGCCGGACGAGTTGAACAATGAGCCGCCTGTGTGCAACATTGAAAGTTATCTGGCGATCTCTACCGCCCGGCCCGCCGCCCCGCCCCGCCCCGCCACGCCCCGCCCCGCCCCGCCACGCTCTCGGCGGTGGGCCCTTCCCTTCGGGGTGGCGGGCAGTCTGGCCTTGCAACCCCTACTGCACCGCGCCACGCCGCGCATGTGCAACGGGGCGATAAAAATCAGTGGCGATCCAAATCGGCCACCTCCTCGCCACCCCACAGTGGGCCAGAAGACGAACAAAACTCTAGACGCGTGCAGAGCTTCAGAGTTGCTAAACAGGGCTGGAACCGAACGTGTGACCCCACCAATGGATTCCTCGTTCGGAGAGCAATCCATTGGTGGGGTCATCATGTTCGGTTCGGGTCCTATTTAACGACTGGGGAGCTCAAAACGCGTCCAGAATTTCGGCCGCCTCCACCAGTCTTCTGGTCCACTGTGCACCCCATCCCCTCGCCTCCTGGTCCAAATCCGCCGAATGTTTATCTATTCGCTTCGCGGCAGATATCAGCCCACCCGCATGAGCAAAGGAGTGTGACTGTGGGAGAGAGAGAGAGAGAGAGAGAGAGAGAGAGAGGAGAGAGAGAGACGGCGCACGCGTGCGTGCGTGCGAGCGCGCACAGCCGATGGATGACAGTGTGGTCCTCGGATGGGGGCGGGCATTGGGTCAATGAGAGGCTTCTGACACTGACACCAAGGGAGAGGGGGAGGAAAAAGAGCGGAAAAAAATTGGCGGCACCGGGACTTGAACCCTGGTGTCTGACGCTGAGGGACGCCCACCCATTGCGGCATCCCGTCCCATTCATAGACTTCTCTCACCTACGCAGAAGGTGGAGGCGGCCCCGTCGTTCAAAAAAAGTCCGCGGAACAGGCTGCTCCCCAAGTCAGTGTCTTGGGTTCGAGTCCCGCGGAGTCCCGCTGCATGCAGTGTCAATTTCTTTTTTGTTTTTGCTTTTTTCCAGCAGTGGAAACGACCTTCGACTCCAGCTCCACCTCAACACTCGTGCTCTCCTTTTGTATGGACTACTCCAAAACTTCACACATGAAACTCCTCGGACTATCCACTGCAAATCCCTCCGCCTCGCGACGCAAGTTCACCTTGTCGTAAATCTCCGCGCCCGGAGTGTTCGAACCAGCGAACAGCGCGTTCGATGTCTCGAGACTCGTCAAATCCGGCAGATCGGCGTGCGAATCCGAAGGCGAGTGTACGAGGTCCCGCGGATACACAGTGGGCCAGAAGACCGGTGGAAGCGAGCAACGCGTTTTGAGCTCCAGAGTCGCTAAATGGGACTCGAACCGAACGTGTGACCCCACCAATGGATTGCTCTCCGAACGAGGAATCTATTGGTGGGGGCACACGTTCGGTTCGAGTCCTGCTTAGCGACTCTGGAGATCAAAACGCGTCTAGAGTTTTGGCCGCCTCCATCGGTCCTCTGGCCCACTGTGGGACGCCAGAGGCTCGGTGCCGTCCGGCCGTTTTACAGCCCTGTTTATGGAAGCCTGCTAAATAGGGACGCGCTAAGAAAAGCGAAAAAAAAAATGTTGCAGTCGATGAAATTCGACGGCAAGCCAATGTCGCCATCCTGTCACTTCGCCTCCCGTCACGGTCACCCAGATCCTGGAGAGGAACGCCCCCCCCCGCCCCGCCCCGCCCCCCCCGCCCCCCCCCGCCCGTTGACACAGTGTGTCGCGGGGGAAGACGCGCAAGACCACCCTCCTCTAGGACGACTATCGCAACTAGCACGTGCACGCACACAGCGGCGTGAAATCGGGTTTTACATGCATCCCTTGCTGTCTTGTTGTTGTTGCTGGGGCTGACGTTAATGTTGTTGTTGTTGCCAAGGCTGCTGCGCCGCGCTGCGACTTCGATCGGAGATTAGACGCCGAGCCACATCTTGCACATTTATGGCCATCCGTTTATTGACATGGAAACATCAACAACAAGCAAAACAACAACAAGCAAAAACAACAACGGCAAAAGACGACGGACCACTGCCAAATTGTTAGAGAGGGACACTCGGCCGCCCCAACCTTATTGGCTCGGAGAAGCGGTCGTCCTACCACCGAGAGGCCTCTCTCTCTCTCTCTCTCTCTCTCTCGTGGGTGCGAGAGAGACAGGCACCTTGAGAGAGGAGGCCGCCCCTCCCTCTCCACGTTAAGCCCTGACAGACTAACGCAAGTGAAGGGGCGTAAAATCGAACGATGTTAAAAAGGAGGGAGGGGGGGGGGGCCTCTCCTGGGCAGCAACTAAAAGCACTGTGGTCCCCCTACTTTCCTCTAAAATAGCACGTCTTTCCAATTTACGTGAAAACCCCACACATACACACACACACACGCACACAGAGGAGGTGAGACACAAGGACCGGACAAGCCCTCACAAAAACATTTTTTTTTAATGAAAAGGTGAGGGTGAACCAGCCAAACAGAGCCAAGTTTGTAAATGACAGCAGTGCAGGAGCGGCCCCCACTGCCCGTCAGTCAATCCGGGCCCGCCCGCGTTCGCGAAAAGTGACAGGCCGTCCAGAAATCGGCGTCACAAACTCTGTCTCTCTCCCTCCGCCGGTTATGAGCCGCGTAATTTAGAGGAGGAGAGAGAGAGGGGTTGCAGTGAAGCCGTCCCGAATGCAAATGCAAGGGCCCACAGGGTCTAGCCGGGTCACGCGGGGTGAGGGCGCTGAGGGCAAGTAACGCGGTTCCAGGGCACAAACCAGTGTTGCCGCACGAGTAGGCAAAACTTCCCACAATGCAGGTCACGCAAGGTCCGATTGTTT